GCGAGGCGGTTCACGGTACAAGCGAACTTTGAGCAAACGATCGTTGAATATTGACTGACCTCACCGACATTACGCGTAGAACCTCTCGCACGTTTGATGACGATCTGCATATAAATAACGTAATATCTTTATATTTAGTATGTAAATATATGAAATAAAAAGAATAATTTATTAAAAACTTTACCCTTGAAACAATTGATAGATTGAGAATAAAAATAGCAGGGATTGAAATTGTAAAATGATCCCTTTAGCAATGTTTTGGAAACGTTTTTATATGATTGACGTTAAATTATTGAGAAACGTTTCTGAAACGTTCAAGAAATTGAAATTGAAAACTAACAGCACTGGAAAAAAATCGCACGGCAAAGTTGCAAAAACGCATCGGTAACGTTGCAAAAACCTAACGAAAAAATTTAAAATCTAGAACAAATCAGTTATCAAGGTTACGATAACTAAAATTTCTAACATGTTTCTGAAACAAATGCATACGGATCCTGATATGTCTTGGCAATGATTATAAAACAATGAATATTTTCATCGATGCCAAGAAAAAATCGGTTAGCAAGGTCTCTAAGAATTTTCGACAATGTTTCAACGACAGACATGAAACGTTTCCTCAAGGTTACGTGGAAACAATTGCAGACATTTTGCCAGTTGTAAGAACGTTTCTGGAACGCTTTCAACGCTTTCAAATGAAACATTCCTATGTTTCTGAGAAACGTTTCAGAAACATTGCTGAAACGGACAGAGCAGTCAGGGATACTATTCCAATAAGTATGGCCATATTCGAAATTTATGTAATGTTTACTCATTAATGCGCATCTGACTCTTGATCATAGAAGTATTTGATCATCATTTGAATTAATATTAGCGGTATATTCTTTGGACAGAAATTTTTAGTAATCCTTAGCACGTAGGATTAGTTTGTAAACACTGTAATGCGGTACATTACAAGGCCTTTCCTGAGTGCTGCATTATTTGCAACACCTCAGAAAGGCTATCCCCGTCCCTTGCCGCCCCGTAACCGGTTGCATAAAATAAAGATAAGCGCGCCCTATTCAGAACTATTACTCTTTTTTATGTCCGAACAACCACGCCGGAGATATGGATGAAACAAACTTGTCAAACGCGATCCGACGGACACTCAAAGAGCAGACAGAAAAAAGGAGCGCACCACGGAAAAAGAGAGCGCACGCACACACTCACTCACATACACTCCCGACCACGTGTTGCCGACCGGCGAAAGAAAAAGGGAAAACTTGACTGGGAAATGCAACGGAAATGCATGTTGATGACACATGCAGATCCGTTACACTCCCAGACACCAACACTAACACGCACGAGGCACTGACACTCCTGGGGCGAGTAGAAAATCGCCGATGAAGTGGCAGCCGACAATCAGCTGTGTCGGGCTGCCGAACACCATCGGCGACATCCTGAGCGCCACACACATGAATACCAGCAACCACACACACAAACACCCGGGAGAACATCACAGAACCGACACGGGAGCGCCCCAGGAGGCGCTCCAACAACCGGCACAAGGACACGAGACGTACGCGCTAGAAACTGAGCGGCCATCTTGAAGCGCCGATACAGACTGAGAGCGAGCGAGCGAAACAGACTGAGACAGAGCGAGCGAGACAGAGCGAGCGGAATAGACTAAACAAGAGCGAGCGAGACAGACGATACAAAATGATAAATAGAATAATATGCAAATGCGAAGATGAGGGCGCTACAAATGAAACGGCGTATATTATATACATATCTCTGACAATAAAATTAAAATTATAATTGGAAAATAATGAGCGTGGAACAAATATCGAATTGTAAAATTCGCACGCGGCCGACACCCCTATTATGATAGCGAGCGACAACTACCCCCTTTAGGTTTAAATAATAAATTAACTGACCGAATTTGAACCTCTGACAAAATTCGCTAGTGACGTCACGACCAATTAGCAAATTAGAATAAAATTTGATTTCCGTCCGGATAGACAAATAGATAAGAGTAGAGGTAGATCTTTTCCAACAACTAACGATAGCTACCTTAGTGGGGGGTGAGAGAGGGTAAATAACGACGAAAGTAGGAGAGTTAAGGAGGGCGCTGTATCCTTCTAATTTACATACGGACCAATAATAAAATATTCGGAGGGCGCTACCGATATCCGAATTAGCATACCGACCAATAATAACATTTCTTCTCGGAAAGAGGAGAAGAAAAGCGATCTTTGACCGCGAGAAGCCGATTCTCGTCCATTTTGCCACTGAATATCTGGATAGAAGGAGCCTCTATCAGCTAATCTCGCTGCCGAATTATTAGCGCTAGACGCCTTTCAGATATTTTTGCCAATTTTGTTTGCCAATACCGTAAGAAAAAAATTGTAAGTAGGCAAAGTGTTACTCATTTTTATTTAATCGTGGAGTGCGGGAATAAATCGTTCAGTGCCGAAGGTCGTCGCGACGCGTGGATCCGTCGACGCCGGTGCCTATCGGATCGTGCTGACCTGTCCGCCATTCCGTAGATATAAAGTGAGTGTTCGGTTTTACGAAAGAAAATTGCGATTTAGGATTCGCGCTGACCTTTCGTTAACTATTCATTAAGTGTTAGATGTTACGAATAAAAATTGCAATTTAGGATTCGCGCTGACCTTTCGTTAATTATTTATTACGAACGTATAGGTTTAATCAAATAAAATTGTCTTGATTAGCTATTTGTGTTGACCTTCCCGCCATTTCGCAAACCGAATGTGAGCGTTAGGATTAACCCATGAAAATTGAGATCGAGGATATTCGCGCTGACCTTTCGCTAATTATTTATTGCGAACATAGGTTTAATTGAATAAAATTGTCGTGCTTATATAGTTGTTGATCTTCCCGCTATCCCACAAATTGAACGTGAACGTTAAGATCAACCAAGGAAAATTGTGATTTAGGATTCGCGCTGACCTTTCCGCCATTTCCTAGATTTAAAGAGAGTATTAGGTTCATACGAATTCGAAGCAGTAGTTGAATTATTCGCGCTGAGCTTTTTGTTAATAGTTCGTTACGAACGTAGATTTAGCCGAATAAAAATACCGTGCTTATTCAATTTTGTGCTGATCTTTCCGCCATTTCGTAAATCGAGTGGGAGCGGTAAGATCAGACAAAGGAAATTCGCGACTGAGTTATTTGCGCTGACCCTCTCTCTTTGTTAATCGAAGACCGACCGGAAAATCATTAACGTTCCAATTAAATTGTATCCTTACGGATTTATAGTTATTCAGATTTTTACCGACCCTATTCACTCCGACCTCTTACTTTTACATTATTAAGATATCAATAAAGTGATTAATTATCTATGTATATATAATTTACTTTGATATCCCACCTCGACTGTATGCTAGTGATTTTCAGCCGTGAGCGGTTACATACGGGTATCACTAATTCGCTATATTTTTGGGTCACTCGATAGGTAACATATGCGCGATTTCGAACGTATTCACGACCTGAATCAAGGAGCCATCACCTGAGCTGCCGGCATACCCTAGTCAAGGAGACGTAGAAAAAGTAGGAGAGTTGGACACCAAGGCCTGAAGAGAGAATACAACGCGTATCCCCCGTTTGCCCACTCTGCGCAGTCGCCGTTAAGCAAACCGGGATACGCGATAACCCTACTGGCCTTACCCCCGACGATCGCCGTAATCAGCCGACGGTCTGGCGCCCTAAATAATCGGGGGTAGAGCCAAACAGGCCTTGTGGCGGAGGAAACTCGGAGCGCGGTCAACACCCCCGATATTCCCTGCCACAACACTGTCAATTACACTTGTAACTCGAACTTGCACAGTGTTATATTCCCCTCAGAAATTACCTTTGTGTGGTACATTATATTATTTTATCATCTTAATATTTCTTTTTCTTCGTGTAATTATAATCGTTTCACTCGGAAGGGAGTGATGTAACGGCCACGCACTGAGCGTGCGCATCTCACACATACAGACAGTCACATATACTTACTGGCACAAACACGCTTTTACACTACTTCAACCATTTCCAAGCGATGTTCCCGCTGGAACCGGAGAAAGGAGAGAACTTCTTGGACTCGAGTTTGATATCTTTGCTTAGGCCCGGTCCCATAGGTACGTACGGATGCGGACGGATACGGACGCGAATCGCAACTCTAGTAACATCACTAAAAATATCTAGTTCGATTATTTAGTACCAACACTACCGGTAGTGAGCAAAAGTGACGGTTGTTTAAAACTGTAGCGCCGAACGTACCACATTTAATGAACGCCTATTTAACCTTTACATTATTGCAGTCTATAAGATGGCAAATGATAGAGAATTGATAGACTTTAGTGGAATTAGTAATTAATAACTACAATTAGTGGAATTAGGCCTTAATTTTATGGAAGTATGTACTTGAATATATGAGAAGAAGAAGAAAATATATATAAATGATATGTATTAATCATCCCAAAAACTTTTTTTACATTAGCATACTCATCAATAAGCAATATTCATGAAAATTTGAAAAGTAAATTGTAGACCTGACATTGCACATTAAATGTGGTACGTTCGGCGCTACAGTTTTAAACAACAGTCACCTTTACTCACTACCGGTAGTGTTGGTACTAAATAATCGAACTAGATATTTTTAGTGATGTTACTACAGTTGCGATTCGCGTCCGTATCCGTATCCATACGTACCTATGGGACCGGGGCCTAAGCAAAGATATCAAACTCTTCGTCAAGTCAAAAAACATGCGCGCCTGCGCACAAGTCAGTTGATGGTATAAAGAGCTTGCGTTAAGTTAAATCCCACTGGTACCAATAAAACCGAACAGAACATACGCACTGAAATCGCTCTCGATGGATTCCATTATTAAATTGTCAATAAAGTTGTACTGTCTTAAGTGGGAAATAATTAATTCATAGATCAATAAATTCTAGTAATAGTGGTATTTTATTAGTTCAACCTTTAATTACATTGCTATCCAACAAATCCTATACATCTTTCCGTTTCCAAAAGCCACCGCCATCTATAGTAAAGTAAAATAAAATAATATAAGTGAAGTTAGCGTACAAACATGAAGTCAGCTGAAAGTTATAAATGTGTACATATGTCGAGCTGGTCGAGCATGACTGCGTGATGCAGTAGAGCTGTGATCTGTAATTCATTCATTCAGTGGCTGTGGTAAAAAGTAAAAACTGTCAACATTTATAGTGCCTCTTTCTAACTTAAAGTTAAATCTCTTATATTTTTATTTTATTCCTTTCTTAGAAGTATTAAGAAAGGGTTTAGTTTTCATCATTAACTATCAAACAATATAAAGTCGTCTTCTCACTCAGCGCTTGTCATCAGTCGTGCATTTAGAAATTGTTTATTTGTGATACTTGCAACTATTAAAGTTCTATCATGGAAACCACAAGTGAAGCTCATGAATACATTAATTTTATGGAACTATTAGGTCGATTGAAGGTAAATGTCGACGAGAAAACTGCAACTTAAATAAAATTCAATTTTATAAACTTGTTATATGATCCTCAAAATATTTAGAAAATTATTCTATAACAAAAAAAGAAGCAATCAAGTACTTAATGACAATTCAGAAAAGTTTAATAGAATGCATGTTTAGTAAGAGTAACTCATGTTCAACTATATAAAAATATATGCATCAAAACTCAAACAGATTGTATATCAACTAGTAGTGTGTTGAAACAAAATTCTTTTACTTTTAGTAGTTAATTTTTAGTTAATTTAGTAGTTATCTGTGACCGATACACCTATTATTCCTCATTTCCTTAATTTAATCGATCAAAACATCTCATTCATTTCAGCACCTAAAAAGGACAGGTTGGGTAATTAAAAATATTCCTGACCCTGAAACTATTTCAGGACACATGTATAGAATGGCTGTCTTATCTTTTTTAATTGACCCAAAAGCAAACCTTAATAAGATGAAGTAAGTGATTGTGTTTACATTTATCATCATTTTTTATCAAATGTTCATGCTTAATAATTATTTTATTTGTAAATTCTTATTATTATTGTTTTTTAAATATTTATTAACTAATAACTCAATATTTAATTAAAGAATGATAATCGAAAAAAAACATTATGTTGCACATTTAGTTTGAATTAGTAAGAATAATTGTATTCTTCGCAGAATTATGGAAATGGCTTTGGTTCATGATTTAGCAGAATGTATTGTTGGTGATATTACACCACATTGTGGAGTTTCTGCAGAGGATAAACATAGAATGGAAGATGAAGCAATGGAAGAAATTTGTAAAAATCTTGGAGCCAGAGGTGTTGAAATGTTGAAAACATTCAGAGTAAATAATTTCTTATAAATAATAAGATACCATTTTTGGAATAGTTTGGTTTACTAATTTTATGAATTTTGTATAGGAATATGAAAAACAAGAATCACCAGAAGCTCGCTATGTTAAAGATCTAGATAGAGTTGATTTGTTATGTCAAGCATATGAATATGAAAAACGAGATGAGTGTCCAGGGGAATTACAGGAATTTTTTGATGCATCACAAGAAAAAGTAGAACATCCTTTTTTAGCAGCTATTGTCAAGGAAATCAATCGCAAACGTAAAGAAGTCACTCCTGAAAAACTGCTGAATGGTAATTGATGATAACTTTAAATAGAATACTAATGCTTCAATATGTTAATTAGAATTATTTAATTTGAAAATTAATTCTACCACTTTTTACTATTTTTGAAGTTATAATTTGTGTTATTATTTGAATTCAGTATGTTCAATGTTTAATTTTTAATACTGTTGTTGGAGTTCTTAGTTAGTGCTGTTCAAAGTAAAATATTTCTGAATATTTTAATTTATATCTTCATACATAGAAATTTTAATTGGCAATTATGTGATGTTTTACCAAACTTGTGTTCTATAAGTAACAACTTGAGATTTATAAAAGTATTTATAAACTTAATTATACAGTAACATATTTTAGTTGACAGTACATTATAAGCAATAAAGTACTCATTTCAATAATTATATTGAAATGAAGTTAATGTTGGACTGAGAATGTAAATAATAAAAGCATTATGGTTATAGTGATAGTGCGCAATTATTAACATGTGCTTATTGCAAGTGATTTGGTTTTATATGAAGCATTATCATTTATTTTCTAAACATTATAAATTTGAATTAATTCAGAAAGAATTTTTTTTTTTAATTTTATAAGTACATGAAATAGTGAATCAAAAGAATATTAAATTTTAAGTACACAAATGTGTATGTCAATATTCAGAAAGAATGTAGTTATAATGGAAGAATTTAATATGCAATCAATTTTTAGATATCAATAGATAGTATGAGATATCTCAGATCATAGAAATAATTACAAGACTTTAACAAATTTTTATAAGTACAAATAAAAATATATTTATGACCTGTAAATAAACTGAGAATAATTTTCAAAAGTAATATTTATGCAATAAGAATATTATATATCATAGAATATTGTGCATAAAAAATAATAGCTAAAAGTATGTTTCTGTAATACTATCTTGAATAAAGTTAAATTTTTCTTAAATTATCTTTTAAAAATAACTTTATCTTATTAAAAAACAATAATTTAGGTAACATGATTCATAAATTGAAATTATATGCATTTTGATTGGAGCAATTTCTGTTTCCAGCAATTTTGTGTCTAATTAAAAACAATACATATAATTTCAATAGGTTTATTGAGAATTAAACTAACTTTAACAAATTAGAGAATAGCTATAATCTTTCTTACAATTATAGTACATTACGATACAAGTGTGTGAAAATAGATTCTTAGAAAATAGAAAATAGAAACTCTTCCCGAACATGTGCCGTACCGTATTTTTTGATACGATGTGTGGAAAGTGCGATTTTCAACGCACGTTTTTTGATGAGCGTGCAGGAAAAACGCACTTTCCGCACGGAGTGTCGAACAAAAATTATTTGACAATTCATTTTTTAACTGTAAGAAAGATCATAGTTCTTCAAATTTGTTAAACTTGTTTTGTCTGTAATATACTTTATAGCCTTGTAAAAAGCTTCTGAAACCTTGGTGGTTAAAATTAACAATTTGCTCGAAAGTAACCCTGTAAGGATTAATTTCAATAAACTTCTTGAAACTATGTATATTGACATTTTTATGAGTAGCTCGCAAAAGCAAAATTTTGATTAATCAAACATGGCTGTTTAATGTATGTTTTAGACACTTTTTTAAATATCTATATAAAATAAGAATCTACAAAAATTATCATAAAAAATATAAGCTTTCCAACCATTGGTCAAAATATAACTACAAGCAAATTAAGAGAGTGAGCACAGAGAAAGAGGAATTTCGAATGCTAAAACAATAAAATTGATTTTATGTATAAATTATTAACATAGGATATTTTATCTTTAAATTTTTTATAAATTTAACAGCATAAGTTGTCCTCACAAAGTGTGCACAATAGCAAATTTAACTTTGCATAAATTTAGTGCTGACTCGATTATTAGTGTTATATAATAAATATGACTAACTTTCATATTATTTTACAAACATAACTTTGTAATTTTATAGTTAGTATAACTTTTACATTGACCAGGTAAATCATGGTTAAAGACAAAAAATTATGAGAAATGAAAATACTCTTCAAATAACATCATATGTAATGAAAGTTTTTACTAAGATAATATTTGGTACACATAAATATGTTTTTTATTATTTAGATTATAATGAGCCTTTAACTATAAATTTTTTCATTGATTCAAATAAAAAATGACGCTTTAAATGGATATCAAGCACTGAAAAAGTTGGATTTTTAAACATGTTTGGTAAGTAGGAGACCTCCTCTTTTCTCCACACATAGCAAGTTAAGTTTTTCTTCTTCCAAATGGCTAAAAATCACCTACTTATCGATAGCCCACATCCTACATCCATGTTAACATGTAATTATTTAACTAATGGATTTTTATTTCTTTTGTTCTTTGTGTAAGTATACCTGTATACCCAGGAGTTTATCCTATTTTGGAAGGATCTTTATTAAGCTATTTTTATTAAGCTAGGAATGATTTTACTACACAGGGAACTGAATGTCTTGTACCAAATGAACTTTCCATTCAATGGTAAAGTATAATCTTGAAAAAATTCATCCGATAGATGCATTGTGATTCATAAGAGCTTAAATATCTAACGCAGTGAAGGGGTTAGAAGTAAATACGTGTACAATGAGGGAGAGCCACGTGGGGCGATGAAATTTACATAAAAATGCCGGTTGATGAACAGCTGGTCATTCGCGGCTCACGGTATGATCAGTTATTGGATACCGGCTCGCGGTATCAAGTCGATCGAATGCCGTAACGGGGACGCGAACTGTAGTATTATACCCTGTATCTATGCCTATACTTATGCATGAGTAACTGGTTTACATGTTGCTACGATCGAGTTCGCTTGCTCGTTTCGTCAACGTGCGCAACCTATACCACCACAAGTCACGACACTGACCACTGTGAAGACAGTACCTAGGAACTGCACTCAAAATTTTATCAAATTGCCAATGTACACTACTGGTGCACCTGACTTGTTTTGTCACACGACTCACTTGACTGTATCTAGTAGATTAAACGGCTCCATTCGAGAGATAAGGCAGCAGCTGCTCAGTCGGCAAGGGCAACATAAACACGGCGCAGTCCTAAAGCCCGCGAGTCGCCATAACGTACGACCATCGTCCATCGCTGGCCGATATCGTTTCGTAAGTATTACTACGCTTGCGCACATTCGTTTTCATCATCCTTTACTTCGCGTATATTACGTCATTTCGAATGCTAAACATTTACATCAAAGCTCTAATTATCTACAGTTTCATTTCGCTTTAGTTTTCTCCTAATCAAATTCAATGTATGACCTATAATATTTATATATATATATTATTTTTTTTCAACGTCATCCCTTAACTGCCGCATCGACCTGTAGATTACCCCTGCATATTTCAAATGCCTATATTTAAGAATTAAACATTTACGATAATTACTAGTGTTAAGTTCTGCCGTTTGGCACATATATTTAATTTTTTTCATATTTTTTCAATATTAAATTTGATGTTGCTTAAGTAACTACTAGACAGTATAGATAGAAAAATATTTAAAATAAATACTTTATTAACTAGCGTGCACGAAAGCCCGGTGTAGAGCATCCTTATTATACCCCACAGTTGTAGCAGTTAAGGCTTATTTCTTTAATTTACTACAATTCGATATTGTATTTTATTCAACAATCTTCGCTATTTTCCGGAACAAAAACAAGTTGCATATTATAAGCTCATTTACAGATTTTCATTTACAAAGAAAACTGCATGACTTGGAGATTAAATTGATCGTACCAAAAAGCGATTTGTGGCAAAAGAATAACTGATTCGTATTTACGAATATCAATATTTTAATGCCTGTGATGTTCTGCTTACGTTGATATATCCGAATGAATCTAATTAGATACTTACTTGAAATTGATAAGATGCTACTGTTTCCTCAAATTAATCAATAATAATTAACCAATGTTAAAGACTTACTAAGCATTTACTAATGATCATTGATGGAATAAAGGGGTTTAGAGATTTTATAGATATCTCTCCACTTATATGTTGTAAAAATGTTTTAATTATCACAATGTTAAAGTTCATTTTATGTATCGAATGCAACATTACAAGCTGACAAACATTTGAATGGATTTTCATACATAACTGAATAAATTGCAGTTTCAGATTATTCAAATATCTCTGAATTAATTGTCTTTTAATGGCTTTATAATAATTCCAAAAGTAAATTAATGGATAAAGTAGCATACGAATCTTTATTCAGAAATAAATTACGAGGATTGGTCCACAAAGCAACGCAAAATGTAGATCGATAAATCTTGTTTATTGGTACTTACTTAATTGGTCATCAGTAGACAAAATTCGATAATTGACTAAGAATTTGATAACGTGAATTGCGCAATGGAGTGATCATACCAATGTCAATCCGACAAATATTCATAAATTTTGACTGCAAACAGACTTCGCGATCGTCTTTATGAACGACTTATTATATTATCAAGTATGTTATCTTTTGTTTGGAAATTATTATTCAATGTGAAAAACATCAAATTTAGCATTTTCACTTCACATATTCACGGAACAAAAGAAATTCCGTTTGGAATATATCTTATTGTTAGAAATATCATTCTTGGTTCAACAATGTTTGATTGGTATTATACATTTTGTCGAATAAAGTTATACTCAGAATTATCTGTGGGTGTATAATTTTGCAAATATCATTTGAAAATCATCTCATATTAAGAGGAAACCAAAAGGTTTTTTGTTTTCGGAATTGATGAATTATAGACAATGAATATATATGTGCAACCTTTTTAAAAATAAATAATTTAGATTTAAGCAAATTACGACAGTGAAATGACACTAATATACTTGAAATTGGTATGTTTAAAAGCCGGTTTTATAAATTAATGTTTTATAGTAGTCACTTCTTTAGTTGCTTGGTTATTGATCACAACAGAATTAGGCACAGAAGTTGTACGAATGCAAATAGAAAAAATTTGGTTTAATGTATTTGCAAAGGATATATTTCTACGTACAGACTCATCGAAATTTATTGAAGTTATACTTTATTTAATGTTTTTTTTTTTCTCGTCAAATAGAAATTTCAATCTTTAACTAAAAATGACGCATGTGCTGTATTAAATTGTTAATGAAATAGTTTACAACATGTTTTATTAATCATTCAACTGGCACATATACGCGTATAACTACGGGACGTTTTGTGAGGTAGAATCTGTCGATTTTTTCAACCTTTTTAGTGAAAAAGAAACGTCAGAAAGAAGCAATTGTTGGTTATTTAGCACCGGAAAAACCTTGTCCTCGTCAGATCAATAAATTGTTTCATCGACTTGTTCACCATTTGTGAACCGAGGATAAACCAATATCAATATTATAAGTACTTTATTGCTCAAATCTTTGATTGATGAAAAATGTTGAATGTATATGAAGTGGAAATCAGATTGTCACTCGGCTCGAGATGCACTCGATCGTTATAGTTGAGCATTCGCTGTTTTCTTTCATTCGGATTATGCACAAGGACAGATCATGGCGTCTGTGTTGCTCGATATGCGCTCCAGTTGGACGATTTGGCGCAGCCAAAGCCAAATATATCGAGAGGCATGGGCGTAATCGATGTTTAATGACTGCCGTTGCTTTGTGCTTATTGTACAATAAGCACAAAGCAACGAGCACCATTGAGCAATTAAAGTGCGTAGGTATAGGTAGAGTGTATTTGAAAAGACGGAAATGCAGGTGTGTGTATGTAGGAAAGCTATTATTCAGCCTGGCGGATCGGGCAACAACAGTTGCGATTATCAAGCGAGCGCGCGACGAGTAGGTCCGAAAGTGGGGACTTGCAAGAGAGCGCTGAAAAGCCAAACCGTAGTTGAACAGCAGCAGAGGAGGCAGTCATCGACGGGTTGCCGCGCAACCGATCTGCCTCCGTCGCGCCAGTTGCTGTTTAGTCGATATATAGGTCCGAACGCGAATCCTTATTGCACTGGAGACTTGAACGCGGGCAAGTCGATCGCGATCCGTGCTAGCGTGATTCTCTGCATTTGCCCCCCTCGCTTATTCTTGCAAGAAAGGGTCGACGGCGCCGTGTAATTCGAGCCCTTTCCGCTGTTCGTCCCAGTCGTACAATTTCTCTTATTTTCTTCTAGCCTTAGCACTTTGTTCCGTTGATTTCTTATGCCGAGCGTACACTCCCAGCCAAGCTTTATCCATCAAAATTAAATTTAACGCGTTGTCAGCTCAAATAAAGTCTATTCCAGCTGCAGTTCAGTCCAGGGATCGAAGATGAGCGAAACAGCAGTCAACGGGAACTCGAGCGAGGATAACTGGCAAAACGCAGACGAGCTTTTGTCCAGATTCGACAAGAACAAAGACGGAGCTCTAGACCTTGGCGAATTCCAGGAACTTTGTCTCGAGCTCTTTGGCACGGACGAAATCGATAGACACGGGGACAAGCTCGTCGATATCTTTCAGGCGCTCGACGCTAATTCGGATGGCTTTCTCGACGACTACGAATGGCAAACGTAAGTTTCACTATATTCAGCTTTAGCACATTTTCAAGGTATGCTGACGCTTCATTTCAATATGTATTTCATTCTTGCGCATTTCCTTTTCAAAAGAACTCGTTTCCATTATCTGTCTTGTTGTAATGTTCATTCTAGTTCTTAGCCAATTGCTGAAATATGCTAATTCCTTTTCAGCTGCTACGACAACTGGCTGAAGGTTGTTATAAAACCAGTCAACATATTTTTGATCGTCGATGTACAAAATGATTTTATCGATGGAACACTGGCTTTGAGAAATCTGGGCTTAGGTCAAGATGCAGCTGACATCGTGGGACCAATTAATACCCTTATTACAGACTGTCATTGGGACAAAATTATCTATTCCCTCGATTGGCATCCACCTAATCATATTGGATTTTATGATAATTTGCATTTGCGTGAGCTACATCCCGATTCTAAGGTATACTTAAGTTACATCAAACCTATATCATATCTTTTAGCGTTATTGCAAAGTTGCTAATATACGTAGGTTACCACGCATTTGTTATTCAATAAACGAAATAAGTATGAAATTTTGCATCTATTGTCAAGTGGTATCCAAATTAAGTTTTCGTTTACATGTTAAAGTTAGTAAAATTGACATCGGTGGATCTAGCTATTCGAATTTTATAAAATACGATTAATTATATATTTATTAATCAACTCCAATTCATACACCAATTACAGGTAAAAAAGGAGGATGCTAAAGTTTTTGATACAGTGTTATTTTCGAAGCCTAAACGGGAACAAAAGTTGTGGCCGATTCACTGTGTTTTTGATTCATGGGGTGCTCAATTACACAAAGATCTCATTATAGCGCCAAACTCTATACAGGTAATTATATTAACTCTTGAATGTTTATCGGTGAAACTTTTAGCGATTTCTTTCTTTCACGCCTAATTAATATTAGTTAAAACCAGCGCATTCATAACAGTTCATAAATTTTAGTCAATATAATACATGTAGCTTTAATGATGAGCAGACTTCTCGGTTGATTTTTTTAGCAAAGAAAGAAAAAAAACAAAATAAAACAAAAGGATATTACGCAACCACACTGTGATAATCGCCAAGGGCTTTCATTGTTTTTAGTATTATATAACTAATACGTCATTTAATATCTATACATACATAACATAGTCTTATTGACGATTAAATAACAAAAACAGCGAGTGACTGTGAAAGATATGTGTTAGGTGAAAACTACCAGCAGATATAAGATATTATAAGAGTTTAATATTGTACTGTATAAACACAAATACTTATCAAAAGTATTGCAGATATATTCCTTTAAAAACTATTATCTAGATATTTCCTTTTTTCAAATATAAAAAATAGAAAAATATTTCTTATTTCAACTAAAAAATAATTTTTTTACATAGATATTTTACGCGAAACACGAATACATGATGCTAATGTCACTGTATCTATAGGCTCTACCTAAACATATTGTGTTCAAATGAAATGTTGATTTTCTGAAAATAATTCTTTTTCTTTTTCCTTTTATAAAAAAGAGATAAGTCTGAAAGTGATCCCAGTTTATTCGTAATTTGATTGATTGAACTATGGTTACGCGGGTTACTATTTGTAACGGCATGTATGGGTCTGTAAGCGAATTGGTAGCAAAAATAGCAAATCGGTGGTAATAAATAATTCGAGTTATTATCAACTGATTGAATAAATAAAAAGTAAGATGATTGGTAGATAAATCAGAAAAGAAATAAAACACACATTCACCCAACGGCCTAACCTTAAAATAATATGGTAAAATAATCTTAATGCGCTTAACTACATTTATTCTTAGGACATGTAAACTTATTGAATATTTATCTTATCAAGTTTAACTTCCAATAAATATAATCAACAATAAAGAGAATCATAAATCGATGTTTTACACGAAGTACTCTGAAGTTACTTCAGCTGTTATAGTGCTGTGTAATTACTTGAAAATATTTTCAGAAATTAAATTTATAAATGTAATTATGAAGTCGAAAATGTGAGGGATGAATAGATAAAAGATGATACAGTAACGTTGATTGCTGAAAATGAAAATTCTGGAATTTAGTTTGTGAAAAGCACTGCCCCAAATAAGCTGAAACTGACTTTCAGTATTTTTATTAACAAAATACATCTATTAATATGGGGATATCGTACAAAAGGTTTAGAACCATATTTAGGCAAATAAATGTTAGAATATAAAAAACATATAATTGTCAGGTGCAGCTTACAGTTCGATTTATTTAAAAAACAAAAAGAAAGAAACGAACTTAGTGCACTTCCCATTACCTATAGCTAAACACCTAAAATTCTGCTACATTATTATATTTGAAATTTCAATTAAATCAACAAATATAATTTTAATTGAATTTTTATTTGCCAATTAATATCGGCGGATGTTATGTCAAAGCATAGAATTGTTTGATGATGTGGTGTATTTTAGAATTCCGCTTATCAATAGTTATGATTTGATTCAAGCACGTGAAATTGAATATTAGTACAAATGAAAGATGAACGTGCGAAGCACGCTTAATGACACTGGTTGCAATAAAATCGTGAAAATGAGACGAACGAGCGTAAAAAATGTACTAAAAATGTTACAATGAAGTGATGCAAAAAGTCTTTCATTACATTAAGTAGGCCTTACTTCTTTTTAGCATTAGATATTGAAAGTACATGTTGATGAAAATAACAATGAATATTTGTTAGATAAAGAAGGGTCAAGATCCAGAGGTGGACAGTTATTCAACATTCTTCGACAACAACTTGGAAAAAGCGACAGAGCTACCGCAGATCTTGGAACAGTTGGGCGCAACGGACATTTACATGTGCGGCCTGGCGTTCGACGTGTGCGTCTGCTCATCAAGCTTGGATGGCTTACGACTCAATTATCGAGTGGCCCTCATTGAGAACTGTTGCCGCGGCGTGGATCCCGTGCAGATGGCTGGGGCTAAGAAAAAGATCACCGAGCGGGGCGGTCTTATTCTACAATTGGAACAAGTCAAAGCTCACGTGGAAGGCAAGACCAGGAGCCTCGTGATGGCGTTACAGGGCGCCAAAGCTCTCGCTAAGCGACGATCTTTGCTCTAGTGAACAACTCTGTCGATTCAAAGTCGCAATGCAGGACCTGCTAAATCAATATGTACTGAAAAACACGGAGATCTGAGTAACATTAATCACGTCAAAAGTAAATAGCAATTCAACCGAATACGAGCAAGTTGCGCTTAATAAATAAATTTATATATTTGACAATATATTTCAAAATTATGCGAAAATTGCAAATTCTAGCATATTACTGAAGCATATATTCTTTTACAAAAATGTCCATTTATATCAATATCGATTTCATGGCACCCCCGGATGGCCATGTTGCAATTTCAATGGCGATACCATGTCCTGCGGTAAACTTTTCCGTTATCTGTGAGATCATTGGCTAATACACTGTATAGTTAGACACAGACTTGAAATTTTAACTTCACTTTTGAGCCTAACCTTAACTTTAGCTGTTGGTAATAAATATATTTTTATTATGTAAAGCGAAATCGAGTTGGTATACAATTTCTGCCTCAACTATGCATCAAATTAGCCGATGACGTCATAACTGAAAACGTTATTGACACATGCACAACACATGCGCTTCAACGTACTTATCACTGCCCAAGCACACACGCGGCCCGATAAAACCGGCATTTCATCTTGTTTCTCCACTTTATTTGTTTTTTATTAGTTACCGTTTTTTTAGAAAGTACCTGAGTTTTTCCGAGGTCGATTTTATTTCGAAACATATTTTTGTAACTTATTACTTGTGATACATATTTTGAACAAATTGATTGAAATAAAAAATGAACAGAAAAGAAACGTTACTTTTCTGCTTTCATGCAATGCAGTTGTATAAATTTTGCTTGCGGGTCGAGTCTATAATTCAAAATCCAATTGAAAATTGCTTTGATGTATTTAACACTGGCTTTTTCCTTTCGCGGATTACGTTGTGTGCCTCGCATCCAGTGTTTCTAAACCCTTTTACTAATCACATTAGCGACTAGTATTTATATACACGCAAAATATTTTATAGAACTTAGTTGTCATTCCTATTTTTAATGTTAGGTTTTAGATACCTTATTTTTTACGGTTTTAAGTATACTCACAATTATTAAAATAATATCAAGATCTGATAATAACTAAAAAAAGATTTCGTATGCCATGTACAATTTTTTTAAATCTTCTGGTAACGGTAATCCATTTACAATTCGATGGTTGCGGTTATAAATTTGAATATTAAATAGTATACACACTTATAAATTTATCAATACGTTACTGTGTAATATAATTGTAATTATTTGATGTGTATTCATTCATCATAAATTCAAGTTTACCGTGTTATTGGTGAATCAATAAAAACTCGATGCTTCACACGCTTGATTTTTATTTTACTAAACTCGACTATTAAAACATACCTTCATTTGAAAAATTATCTATGACAACTATAAAAACTAATGGAAAATTATATACAGGTTGACGATAAGTAATAAATAATTTAAATATATAAATAAACAATGACGACGAGAGATGCTTTTCGCAATATAGCTATATCATGCTGATGACGAAGATATAGGTATATGCGTAGGTGAATGCAAACGACGAGCAAAATTAATCAAGCAATCAAGACTTTCCGAGCTATTCGATCAATTTTATTGGCTGACTCGTCGTCCTCTGACAATTCACAAATATATCTCTGCCGCGATCCACAGTCTTCCCCCCTGTACAGAAATATCCTCGAGACAGGGTTGTACTCAAGCTTGAGGCACCTGTAAATAACGCACGATAAGTTGGAAAAAGATCGGTTAGTTAGGAGTTGGTGCTTACCTTCCGTCGCCGACGACATTTTGCTTGGTGTCGTGCTGAACTGGTCTCGCGCTTGCGGCCCAAATCCACAAGAGACCTGGATTCAGTCCGCCCGTCCAGTAGCTTTTGTTCTTGACCTTCTTGTCGCTTTGCAAGAATGCCACAACATCTTGATTTTCCTCGACGGTTTCGAATTCGACGAGATTTCCGCCCATTCCACGGCACAGACTCGCCGATGACTTCCAATCGTATTCGCGAACACTGAAGTGGTAGCAAAACTGCCCCACCCTCGTGTAATTATCCGGACATGGCTCTAAGGCGGGCAACGTCAAACATTAGTATTCTGATTGACCGATTATACGACCAATAGACAAATCAGAGCTATCCGTACCTTTGGATTTGTTGTTACCCGCAATGACGTAGTATATGAGCTCTTCGGCTCTTTTCAAGCGCTTCTCCAAGAAATCCACTCGGTAAACTAGTTTTTCGATCGCTCCTGTCACGGCCACGATCATTTCATTGCATATTATTATAATTATTAGCAGCTCACTCTCATCCCGGCTATTGCGTCAGTGAATTACTCGTGAGCGCTAATTGCTTACTTTCGCTAAATAAAAGTACCGATAGTTCGCAGGTTGATCGCGATTAGTCAGTAATTCAGCCATTCGAGCGTTCAGATTGACGATAATCTTTCATAATTACTCAACAATCATGCAACGATTGTAAGTTGATCGATTTATATATAAGATCTTACCGAGTAGATAGAGATCAGTTTCGGAGACGTCCCTCTTGTTGGGCGGAGAACCTTTGTTGGTCGGCGACACTTTGAGAGTTGTGTCGCCAAGTTTCATCACTCGTGAACTTCGGCAGCAGTAGTTATCGCCCGTAGAAGTGAGCCAGTCCTCAAGAATTTCGCTCCAGGGACCAATTGATTTTGTTTTTGGCAAATTTATGCTTTCGCCTACTATTGTTTCGTTCCATAAAGGCTCTCGTGCTGAAACACATTCCGTCATTATTTACTAAAACTGAAAAGTAGACTTTATTTATGAAAAATTGACTTGTATAATATAATAGCGTACGGATGAACAGACTGTAAACACAAACAATAAAAAAATCCGACTTATTGTACAGTTTGAAATCGTGCAATAACCCAATACAACGTGTAGCAGAAGTCTTACGATGGTTCTTAATCGTAAAGCTGAACAATATGAATAACCGCAAAGAACAAGCTTTGAGCCATTATCTGCATAACAATTGTATCGTATCCCAAAGTAGATTATTTATAAAAATGATTGTATAAATAAAGAGTCATAGGACTGATAAGAAAGAATTACCATGTCTAGCAAAGACCGCACTGAGCGTTGCAGCGACGAGGAGAAGGCGAAGAACGTTTAGCATGGTCGCTGGCCTCTGAAACAAGATGTGAACGTCGATCAAATAATGCGCCGTAGCGAAACGTCGGAGAGTGAGGAGATTCGTTGGTGTGTTTATCCGAGTGAAATGGTATAATGAGCGGCGGCTCGCAGATCGCGTGGAAATTTGCATAGCGCGCGAAAGGTGGTCCTACGGTGGCTCGACTTTCTCCTGGAAATACCGGGCTTCACTGCCTCCAAGTTGATCTTTCTACGCTCAGTTCCAAGAAACTTACATTTGTCGTAGAGCCCTCACGGCTCGACCCTATGCAGAAGTCCAAAAGATTTGTCGCGCTTGCAACGTCGCGCAGTCGCTCGCTCCAATAACTTGGCAGAGAAATATGACTACGAAAACACTCGAGCGGCAAGTGCCGCTACGTTAATTCAAAGCGAAACTGAAAGTCGGCAAGAGGAAGAAAATTAGAATCGGGCGTGCAGCGACGCGCTCGCGAGCTAATGGCTTGCCAGAAGTGGGTCGTTGCAATTGCGTTGCAAACGGGTACAAGCAGACAAGCAGGCGGGAGTCTGCCCAGTCACTCACGTGTTGACGAGCGAAGGCAAAGACGAGGCAGAGGAGTCGTCGCCGGTCAGGAGGACAATGCGCGCGCGACGTGCATCGCTAGCGGACTGAGTGGGTCTCGAAGGCCGGCCGGAGCGAGCCGTGCGACGGCAATCCTGAAAAGCAACTGGCGCCCGGGATCCGCTGCGGGCCACTTTCTCCCACCGTGGCCGCGGCTCGCCCGCGCGCCCACCGCACATCAGCCACACTTTCTTCGACCTTGTCGCACGTACGCGCATAGGTCTCTTTTCGACAGCGATGACGTCTGTGCGAGCGACCGGCCGACCTGCCGATCATTATCACTCGGATCTCCAAGTCGCGTCCGCGACTGTGAGACGCGGATGCACCGTCCGTCGTAGTCGCTCGGGTTGAGAAAGCGGATGTCTGCTGGTCTTCTCAAGCGCTACCGTTACTGCATCGATACATCGTACACTTTAGCCAGCTGACAAATAGCAAATCACATTTCCACCTCGGACGGCCTGTCGTCATTGCTACACCATTGACGATAAGCTTTCTTTTATTTTCTAAAAAATCACACATTTTATTATTCGTTCACGAGTCCCGTCAATTAAATTTGTTCAACGCTTCTTCTTCGAGTAGAAGCGACAGAATTTCAAGAATAGCCATCAAATTGTTTTTTAGATCAAGAAATTAGCATCCACAATCGGTTGATTCAAACGAAAGGCTATTCCGTGTAAATCCATTAACCTACTAGCCTTATTGTTATGATGATTCAAAACAGATTTGGATATCCTACTTTACAGCGTTACTTGTACTTTCATTAGTGGCAATTAGCAACGTGTATCAACTTGTCACTTGAAGAATCATTAAAAATCCGTCAATGTGCTACGTTATGACTTGTCGTTGACAAAAGATTGACCGATAAAAAAGAATGCGGCCTACTAATCGTGATTTTCACATTTATTATAGGCCTGTCCAGCGAAGCGAGCAAGCGGAAAGTTGTATCGATTCTTTGTCGACTTGTGAAAGCAGTAAATCCAGGAAAAATGAGTTGCGTTGACGATTGTATGAGGTAAGATTTTTATTAAACGACGCAAAAGGTACATACAAAGTATTCTCGGCACGACTGCCGAGAATGTTGCAGTGTAGGCAATAATCTGTACAACACAAGAGATGCGGGAGTCTCTCGATCGGAAGCTTAAAAGTAGACGGTCAAGTTGAGCTGTTCGTTGTTCGCATGGCTGGTGCTTGCTCGAGCTTCCGCTGCTATTTCCACGCTGTCGACCGTCTGCTCGACGAGACAGAGACAAGCAAATGAAGGCTCGAGCGGAACTGACGAGTGTTGCGGAGGTCGGAAAAATGCGAAAGGTCAATTTACCCGATCGTCGTCGTCCCACGAGAGTTTCTTCACTCTCCTGGACATGGACTCGGCAGGCCAGGTCGGCGCCAACGAGTCCGGCGGATCCCCCGAGAAGTTGGAGGAGTTCTGCGAGCCCGTTTCCAGATTGTTGATGTTGCTGCGGGCGCTCAAGTCGTTCATGTTCTGCACGAGGCCGCCGACGTTGGGTATGTTGGACGTCGCCGAGAGAGCGGGTGGCTCGGGCGCAGGCGCCACTTTGTGCCTCGAGTACAGCGGCATTTGTCGGCTCGACATCACGCCTGCGAGTCGGCGTTCATGGCCATGAAACGAACCGTCTGTCGACGCACTTACCATCAGCCGGGCCCATTTACTTTTCATTGTCGCGTTGTAGCTGTCATTGTCCTCTCCGAATACCGGATTGTCAATGTCATTGGACGCGCATCGCCTCTCTCGCGATATTTCCAGGGTGTCCTGTAGAATGCTGGCGCCCAATATCTGCGGTGTAGGGCTCAAAGCCGACGGGACTGGCGACTTTTCTCGGTACCCCGTGCCAACGGAACTCACGGATCCCCCGCTCTTCGGCCTTTTGCTGGTAAATCATTGAGCTCGATGAGAATCGCCTGGCTTCGCACCACGATCGGGGCAACAAGCCTCCGTTAACTTACTGCTTGTAAATATACAAAATGAGAATGAGTATGACGACTCCGAGGAGGCCGAGAACCGCGCCGAAGACCGCGACCAACAGGACGCTGCTGCCGAGCCAAGCGGGAGCTGCTCTCGCTGCTACTGGCGTTGTGCTGGCCACGTCGGGCAGATGTACTATCACTGGTATCATGCTCGATCTGTTCAGCAACAAATCATTCGGTGAAAATCATTCTACCAGCACAGACGAGCAATTACCTTGGAGGTTTGCCCGTGTCGGAAGCAATTGCGACTAGCCGAGCTATGCTGCCGTTGAATGGTCCCATTGATCGCAGAATCAGTTCTCCGTTATCACGAATTTCAAACGACCTAGACATATATGTTCATTTATTCCAAATGCCTATCGGCTACGCCCATTGCTCTAATATAACATTACCTAGCATCCGGTCCCCTTAAAGACAATGAAACTCGGTCACCGCGGTCGCCGTCTGCAGCTTCAAGTCTACCTGTAAACATCGTACATTGCAATGCTTAAGATACGCCCATGAGAATGAATGAAATATTTTCTGTTAATGTACAAAGTCAGCAGCACTATAAAAGATGTCTGCAGTGATTTTGATATCAAATAGAAAATGTTTAATTACCAACGATGGAACCTTCCCTCAAGGTTCTAGCGTGAAATTCATATCTAGGGTGACGAAATCTTGGCTCCCATTCGTTGACATCTTCTACTGAAATATTGACTCTTGCCGTGTCGTTCTGCAACGGGAACAAATATTAGCAATCCTATTGAGCTGAGTATTCATATCAAACTATCAGCTTACGTTATGCTTATCGGTAACATGAACCAGAAAACTATGTTGAATCCTTCGCTCGTAATCTAAGTTCCCTTTGAGAATCAATTCGCCCGAGTCGGTAATGTAAAATCTCTCCAAATCTTCGGTAGCACCAACTAGCCAAAATTTAAGATTCTGCCAATTACAAGCGTGTAATAAGGTCAGTTTGTTTATAATCAGATTATTTCACCGTCACATGTTTGAAAAGTGCAACTTACCGGGTCAATTTTATTGACACCCGCAGTGAGAATAACGCTGCCGGGTGGCGTATTTTCGGAAACACTTGCCTGGTAATCTTTCAGCACAAATCGCACTGGTAAACGTCCACCGATCACTCCTGAAAATTCAACGTCGTATCATTGCTTGGACGTAGACTTACTGGCAGAAAATTATATTTCTTACCATTTACGGAATCATCTTCTGTACTTCCTTCTCTAGAAACAATAACGGTCGCCAAAGTATACCGATCGGGATTGTCTATTTGAGTTGCCTGAAAAACGAATATTTTTTTCGAACATCAAAAATATCAATTTTTTAAGAAATCAACGCAGATAGAAGAACCTGCACCGGAATGGCTGGGAAAACGTTCGTTTTAATGGAAATTATTTGTCATCACTCAATACGTAATGTACAAAATACTTTCAGTCCGGTCAACTTTTAGGTCCATTCCGCTCTAGGTTGGTATACCTTTTGCTTACAGACCTTAATTACGAGTGTTGCCGAAGAAATGAGTTCGTGATCTTGCAGTGGACGAATGATAATCAAATCGGCCGTTTCGGAGTTGAGCGTGAGAAATGGCAAAATCGCGCCTTGTATAGAATACCTTACGGGAGCGCTGATGCCTACATCTTGGTCTACCGCCTTTATCGGTGCTGGATCAACGCGTAAAATTTTTCTCTAAAAACATTGCGATTTCATTTATCCAACTGATCAGCATCGCCTCACAATACCTGTTATTTACAAAATAACATCATACCGTTTTTATTTGCAATGGAACATATACTCTGTATTGGTCATTGAGGAAGGCAGGATTTTGATCGTCCGCGTCGATGACATTCACGTATAGTATAGTCGTCGATGATTGTGGCGGATTTCCATGATCCTGAAAATATTTCGTTCTTTTAAATTCATTCTTTTTTCAATGGGAACCGTAGCCAAGGACAACTGTAACCATACTTGCGCGCGTATCCCCACGGAAAAATTGCTAAGAGTTTCGTAGTCCAGAGGCTTGCGCAGAACTAACGTCCCCTCCAGAGCATTTGCAAAGACGAAAAAATCCTGTAAAACAAGAAACCTCATTGAAATTCGATCGCTGCATTTTATCCCTATCTTATTTACATAATATCGTTTTACTCCATAATATTTACGTGCGCTTCAAATGTGTTATCATTCAAATTCTGTCAATCAATTTTTATCGTGACAATAACAAATATACATCAGAGCATCGTGCATATATTTACATGCAAATAATCACAATAAACTGCTGTCGTCATCATAGAAGCATATCATTTACAGCGTAATTAACGTCTCGAGTTTTTTTAATGTTACCTCTAGCGACACTTTTAGCCAAACTTTGCAATCCACGAAAATAAGCTGCGTGAGCAATTTCAAATAGTTTTACATATTGAGCATAAGGCAATTAATTGTAATATTGGATGAATGACTCGAGTAGTGTCCCGGCAGAACCTGCCAAGTCGACATTTTGTGAAAATTGAGTGACCACTGAATTCTTTGAATGTTTCGAGTGAGTCTTGTTGAAGGTATCATCATGTGGTACGAGCAAGATCTAAGTGATGCCAATCGATTGAGTAGTTTTTCTTGAAAATTCCGGGCGATGACGGAGAAACGAGCCGAGGGATTCTGCCGGGACATTATCGAATGAAATACTCAACACGGGCCTACTTACAGCGTGAGGCCCCGGCAGAATAGAATATTGAACAGTTGAATATGGTCCCGGCTGATCGGCATCCACCGCTCTAACACCTTGCAGTACTCGTGTGCCCACCACAGTCACCTATAAGTTACGAGAATGTCAGCTGATTAATCTCAACATCAACAGCACACAATGATGCGTTGCGTACCTCGGATATATTGAGCACGTAGGGCGCATTGATGAATTGTGGAGCATTGTCGTTAGCGTCGGTAACTCTAATATTTACAGGTATGATGAAACCCTGAAATTAAGCAAAAGGTGCATATGAGGAATAAAGAAACATAGAAGAAAGCGCAACGGGGTCATACCGGGTCGAGTGTATGCTTTCTCTCGCAGATAACATTGATGAAGACGCTGGCAGGCCCGTCGACACCCTCTTTGTCAAGGGCTCGAATGAGCGTCAGATTCCGCGAGTAGGCTGAGAACTGGACCGGGCTGTCGTCCTCTTTGAGCCGCAGATCAATGTCACCCTGGGGCCCCGGATCGCCGAGGACGCCGAGGACGCCGATCACGTCGCCGACCTTCATGTCCTCGCTGACGAACAGGTGGGCCGCAGTCGCGCCGTTCTCCAGAAAGCATCGCGTATCTCGTATCACTGCAAGCAAGTGGGACGATCGCTGCTGCGTGTCGGTGCTGCGTGCCGTTGAAAGCTTTCGAGCAATGCAGCGCAATTCGGAGACGCAGCAGCGTGAGAGCAACTTGTGGCGCTCGCAAGGGTCCGAAATAATGCGGCGAGGCCAGGCTCGCTTCGACATCCGGCTGCGCGCCGTTACTGCGGTTTTTCGCGCTGCCCGTCCTGTGCCCGCGGGAGAAACCCGTTTCGCGTGTCATCTTCGCCTTCCTCAAATTTCACGCTACTGTCCCGAGGCGCGAGCGAGCAACGACGAGCAGTGCGCCCTGTCCTACTGTCCTGGCGCGATGCTCGTGATGCTCGTTTGCACACTGGGAAATGCCCGCCTTGCAAAATTACGAGAGCAACGGAAAAACAAGTATTATACACGTATGCCGTGTACCGTTGCTCCAATTAGTACATTCGCTTTTCGCGTGACTTATATAACCGTCCGCTATCCGCGCTAAAACGCTAGACAGAATATGCAATAAGCAGCGCGATGGAACGCACGTTCAATTAATTACGAAGCCGCGCCGCTGGACAACGCGCTTCCATGCACGAGGCGCTTACGCTGCGCGGCTCCGTGTAGCTGCGAGTTGCGCAAAAGCCCGCTTCGAACAATAACAGACAACTGTACCGTTTTCGTTCTCGTTGCCGTTGTAGTTTTCGTAATCGTACGAGCGAGCAAAGCCGTCTAGTCGACGGCGAGATGGACTGGGAAAAAATTGGAAAAAAGTCGGAAGAAATGTGGAAAAGCAGAGTGGAGCTCGTCGAGGCCCGTTGGTAGCCGTTCGGCAGACGAGGACCGAAGGGCCTAGCGAACCACTGGATGTTCCATTTCGTAGGATGCACGCACACTTGCTCCACATATACGTGCGAGCCGAGAATAAAACGGCGAGATAGCGCGTGATAGGCGTATAATGTATACACGTGGCCGGCAGGCAGCCGCAGGAGCCCGGCGCGCTTCCTCGGAGCGGAGTTCCGGTCAAGCTGGCCGCGCCGCGCCGAGTAGCGCCGAGTAGCACCGAGTAGCGCCGAGCAGCGCCGAGCGCGCCCCCGCGCACGTCCTTATTTCGCTCGCTCTACAAACTCATTTTCCTCCTCGCTTCGGACTTTCGCCGAAAAGCGGCGGCTCGATCGGTCGGTCGCTCGCCCTGACAACCTCCTCGAGCGCCGCAGCGACGCGTCCAGCTCGGGGCCTCGCGTCACGCGATACTTCAAGACGCGCGCATCGCTCGTGCGTTTCGATCGCCGGTGACGAGCGCTGCGCCGATCGCGCGCAACATAAAAACATTCCGATTGCTCGAGCGCTTTCCAGACGCACAGCCTACTCGGAACGGCTAGTTAAGTTTGCCCGACTCTTGCAACAGGACTGCGCGATCAAGGCGAAGGATATGTATCTTTGCTTGCTGTTTGGCCCCATTCGAATACAATAATAGCTTCTTCGCTACAGTATACGTCTTCACAAACGACTGTCTCGTAAAAACGCAGCCAAGGCGCAAATAGCACTGGCTCAAGGAACTTGGCTCTTACTCATTTTATTGCACTTACAGCGAAAAGATTCACCAAATGACCGGAAATTTACCGGCAATTCAGTCGCTTCCTTTGCACACACTCCATCCTCATTTTCAACGCATCACCAACATTCAAACATGCATACATTTCCATCCTACAATATCGATTTTATATAGTATTGGAAAAAACGTCTACTAAAACGAACTGCAGTTACCGATCGAACGGCAAACCAATGCTCCGTTTGCGTTTTCTCGACGAGCAAACCAATCATTTTTCTTGATTATAATAATTTCGAGAATAATAACAGATACGTTGCTTGTTTTTATTGAAACGCGGTTTATTGCACAATCGCCCGGTCTGCATTTTCGTTTCAAAGTGCAAACTCGTTGTGAAATAATAACATGTATTCACTTGAAATACAGCCAATGCATATTTGAATAGTTACAAAATTGATTAATATTTTGCGTGGCTGGATCGAAAATCTTGCCTGAAACGAAATTTGCGCAGCTATTGCATCTGGGGCCTACTTACAGTTAACCGCTATTTATTCGCGTGCTTCGACCAAATTCAAGTGGTCGTTAAACGGCGATGCAAGTACTTGTAATAGCGCTGCTAGTGACGCAATGTCATCTCCGCGTGACAACGAAAATAGATACGCCAAGGCGAATTTTTCCGAGCACATGTTACGACGCTTTAGTATTGCGAGTTCATTAGCCAGAGTAAATACAAAGCTCAAAGTGAAATGAGACGAGCAACGGTTCTACAGAACTGCATAATAAGACGCGAGTTGAAACTTACATTGACCCGAGGCTCCATGAAGAATGCAGCAAAGCAGTATCAGAATTTTGAGAATCATGAGCTCCATGTCAATCCGAGGTCTCCATCAAGCTGCTGGAATGTTGCCTCGTACATCTGCAAGTGGTAAACTTTCTGAAAGGTTGTTTATCGCTATAAGAATACTTGTTTTACTCCTAATAATATCGTAGCAAAGCTTCGATTGCGTCACGGAGGTTTGCCTGCGTACTAGCCCGATCGATCGATCCAGACCACGTGCGATCGAACGAAACTCGATTTATGAGGCGCTAATTCGGGTGTGCGGTATATACGTATACGCAGCCGAGAGGAGGAAAGGGCAAAATCGCGCGCGTGCTCGGCCCAGCGTGGATCGAGCAGGTGTCCAGACGGCAGAACGGGGGGCGCGGGAAGAAGCGAGCGGAAGAAGCCGAGCGAACTGCGAGAGGTTGCGTCAAGGAGCCGAGGAGCAGTGCCAAGCGATAGCCTCGGACCTTTCCCCAGCGCCGCAATCACACGGCTGCTCGCAGGGAGGCGCCGGTGGCACGGGGGAAATCTAATCTATATCTCGGACGATACGGATTATTCGCCGGCGCGCGAAAAAAAGTGAAAACGAACGCGCGCTTTCGGACGGGCATGAATTAACGCATCTGATTTCACCGTATCGACGCCGAGATTAATGGGCTCGGCGAGCGAGAAGGCGAACCAACGTAGCGCTTCCCCGCGAGCTGTCTATTGTTCATCGCAAGGGTCAGTTGCGCCCGCCTCCGCTGAGTTTCACTGCTGCTCGCATTACAATTAAGCCTTACTAATTTCACTCTGCTATCTTATAAACATGAAAAAACTTTCGCTGTCGGGACGGTTCGTATCACGAGATGCAATATACTCGTACTTCTGTATGCCTTTCGCCATTGCTCGATGCGCGTAGTTCCTTAACAATCAGCGAATAACAAATAAACCCATAGAAAATCCAAATTTGCTACCGGAGAAAGCCGAGATGAGTTGAAACGTGAAAGTGCGGCTTGCCGTGCTCGTAATCGCAACTAGATATATAACACAAGATAGATTAATTGCGCGCAAGGTGTGCAGCGATCGAGAGGATATATACGACAATGGCGGCAGCGGCGGCTGCTTTATTGTCTTTTTTTATGGCGCGGTTATTTGGCCGCAGCCGACTCGTCGGACGCTGAATAAATTTGGCGAAAGCGAGGCGTGCGTGATAAGTCTGAAAGGCCGAGGGGACGAGCGGATGTCGGGCCCTCGCGTGCGCCGCGTTCCGTACCCGCGTTCTCGCGCTGCTCTGGACCGGCTCTTTCTCAAGCTGGCGGTGCGGCGCCTCGTTGCGGCTAGAAAGCATGCCGCACGCCTGAACGAAACGTCGCGCTTCGTTGCCGCGCTGTTAATTTGACGGACGCCGCTCTCGTGCAGACTGTCGCGCGATTTTTTTCGCCGCCGTTGCCGCCGTTGCCGCCATTGCGTGTGCTGCGCTCTTGTTGCTTTTACGCGGCGCTGCCTCGTTATGCGCCCGACTTTCCATCGGCAGACGAGGAAGCGCCGAATCCAACGAATCCAATGTCCGTGACAAGCCGCTTGCGTCGCTCTTTTTCCGTATTTTACGCAAACATCCTGGCTTAGCATCGAGCATTGCATCGACGACGATCTGCTAGCTGCATTTTACAAATTGTCTAGCAGCTTGGCAGCAAATCGTTCGTTCGCGAGCGGAACCGACTGGCTTTTACGTCGATGAATCAATTGGCCGAGGCTCGAGTACAGTGAGCTTTCGCTGCGCGTCGAGCATGACCTATGCTATAAGCGATCGATCGACAAAAGAGAGCGCGGAGAGAAAATACTCGAACAGAAATCATACGTTGCGGCAATTATCGGGAAAAAACCTGCAATCGCATCGAAGCCCAAGGGAATGACTCGGCAGCAAGGCAAAAGGAGTAGCCGCGCACGAATGCTGGTTCCTTCGGCACTTATTTGCACCCTGAGTCGCACATGGCAAAGAATGCGACGGCAGCGATTGGTCCTAGAATCTCAGTCGCGACGCAGCCGTCCGTCCGTTGATTGGCGAATGCGGGTCGGCGTGGTGCGAGGCGTACGCGATCCGAATGGTTCCGGCGCACGTAAGTTCCGCTGAACAAAGGACAAGCGTGAGCTTGTAAGCCGGAGAGCAGGCAAAATGCCGCTGGCGTTTGGCCAGAGGAAATCCGAGAGACAGGCAGAGAAGAGAGCTGCGCTTTCTTGGCTGCTTTGGCTCGGAGCGACAAATCGATGGGAACACGTGGGGGGCGAGTATCGAGCGTTGCTCGGGGCTGCACGGGACATCCAGTCGGGAAGCATAGCCCGTGGCCGCCTCTCTTTCCCGAACGTTACGTCTACTTGGCTGAGCAACAAGTGTCCGAGGCTCGAGTTCGACGATAACGCAACGCGCGCTCAAATAGAACTCCGCGAACAATGCCGAACGTGGTCGAGGTGCGTGTGCAACATTGCGATGCGAACGCAACGAAAACGCTAATAAAACGATAAAACGGGGCGCGGTGCGCGATGAAGCAAAATTGTACGGACTCACCACGAAATTCCTATCGAGCGTGCCATGAAGGTCCGTTCTTTCCGGCGCAGCTGCCTTGTGTGTACAACAGTGCATTCACCCGCATTCATCGATAATTCACTTGCAGCGAGCGCGCTCGCACGCGCGCCGGATCAATCGACGTGCAACTCTTGGCGCTGCAATTGTTCTCGGTGCAATCACTGCTCGATCGACATTCCCCGCTCTCGAGCGAACTGCCGACGGGCCGACGGGGGCGCTCGGCGGATTTCCGACGTACGCGGGCAGGAGACGCGCCGCAAGGACAGACGGCCGGCGCGCGCGTCCGCTCGGCGTTGCTTGCGTTGCGATCTGGACGGCGCGGCCAAGTAAGGCACATACGCGCGCGGACGCCGGAGCGAAGCACCGGGGGAAAGGAAGTCGGCGGCGGCGGCGGCGGCGGCGGCGGCAGCGGCGGCGGCGGCGGCAGCGGCGGCGGCAAAGCAGAGAAGAAGGGGAGAGAAGCAGCCATCCGCTACCGGACAGGTGTTTGCCGAGGGGACACACTGCCGCGAGCAGCTCAGCTCTCGCACGCCTGCCTCTTTTGCCTGACGCTGTCGCTGGGACAGGAAAGCGGAAGGCGAGCCCGATGTGTCCCCGCCAAGCCGAGCTTACGCGCTTGCAACGAGCTGCACGTGGCTTCGCGTGAATCAGCTCGCCTGCGTCGCGTAAACTCGGAGGCGGAATTCCGAGCGCGTTGGGCGAAGCCGCGCGACGGGTCGTGCAATTGGGTCAGGGCGGAGGGTCCGAGCGATCAAGCGCGCTTCACAGGCGATCGAATGGGCGTGTTACGCGTCGACAGGTGGAGAATCGCGCGAGCGCGTACGAGCAGCAGTGCCGCAAGGTCAGCCAGCGTCACGCTCCGCTGCCCGCCTCTGAACCCTTTTCCCCTTTGCACCGAGGCCACGCTCGCGTCGGCTCCGGCCTTATCGCCGCCCAGACATCTCCATACTCGCTATTATTATTATTATTAACATGACGCACGCCCTGTGCTGCGCTTCATCCGCGTTTCTTTCTTCTCGGAACAGTCCTTTGTCCCGTCCTCGCCTCGCGTTCGCAGTGCACGACGAGCGCCTCGGAATCCCAGCTGCTGCGTCGCCTCGTCCTTTTCACCGATCTCCCTGGTCCTAGCCGCTTTTATAATGTGCACTTTATCCGATTAACCTCGTTACAAGTATTATTAGCATTGAACGAACTTTTCCACAGTTTTCTTTTTATGCAGTGTTTTTATCTAATCTGTGTATACCCGTCAAAGTCCCATCCTCGGAGGTTTTCCCATAATTAATCCAGCCATATATGCACAGCAACATTACACCATTAGCGCTCTCCAACAGAAAAGAATATGTAATTGTGCAGGATTGTGCAATGCCGCATTATGGTCAGCGCATACTGGCATCTCGTTGCATAAGTTTGCCCTTCTCCAAGGAGAGCCTGGACAACTAACTCCACTTCCATTCAACAACGTTTTCTTCGTATCAACGACTCAACGTGAAAATCAATCAAACGACAGCTCAATCATTTACAGCTTGATAACATTGAACTCGGCTACCACCGACAGATATGACATCAAATTCCGCGTTTATATAATGATTCATCTCAAATTTTTGGCTCCAATCAGGCCTCACCTTAACTACTTTACGTACAACTCTCTGAATAATTAGTTGGTGAATTCTGAGTGAAAATACGAAAAATTGAAAGCTAAGTAGACCAGTGCGTGGCAATTCAATTGGCACAAACGTTAGTAATGAAGAAACCGCAAAAAGAAAGCGGTCGATGATATGTTTGTTGGAAGAAAAGTTGTCATAGAAATTTAAATAGAAAAGAATTTGAAAAACGGAAAGCGCAGTTCTGGAACAAGATGGTCCTGCAAAGGTAATCCTGAGGTGCAGCCGGTGCACTACGAGTACATCGTGGCCCTGGAGCAGATCAGTATGAAGGTGCGAGTCGAAATACTGCGACTGTCTGCAAGATGACCAATACTGAAATGAAGCGACAAGATGATGAGATTACGCTGATAAGGTGCAAGATCCAACACGAGTAGTCGAACAAGAGAACCTGATGGTACTCTCGGATTGTAGCTCCTGCATTGTAAAAACAGCTGCATGGCCGAGGGTGTGGACAAGCTCCAACTGGCTAAACGACTTGATATACGAGCCACTGCTGACGAATACACCAATCTTGTGGGACGCTCTGGACGATCTTCAAGAGCACTGCCATATGTTCGATCGTCTTATTTCCACATGGTCTGTCGAATTTGTCGTATCGAGTCCACGTCTTTGTGCACCATAATAATTGACATTGGAATCATGCATAAAAAAATCAATGGCGTGCAATGTTCATTTGAGCGTAAAAGTCATCGGCCAGTATCGTTGAAATCGAGCTGATTAAAATCAGAATGAAAAAAGCTGTACAAAGCGAGTGCCTGAACGCCGTCAAGCAAAGAGTAAATTCGCAATAAAAGCTGCAAAGCAAAGAGAGAAAGAAGATAAAAAGATCCGAAGAGCGAGAGAGAGAGAGAGAGAGAGAGAAAGAGAGAGACAAATCGGCGATGGCAGCGGGAGCAAGAAACGCGTTTCCTTTCATCGCGAGGCGCATCGCCTTGCACTTCTCACGGCTCGCACTGGGCGTACAACCATTTCACGGGCTAATGGCGCGAGTCGGATCACCCGCCACTGGCGACTCTATACATATCTGTCGTGGACTTTTCACGGCCGTATAATTGCAAAGCACTGCGAATAGCCCAGTTCTCACGGAGCCTAGCTTACGATACGACTCGATGCTATTTATTTCCATTTGTCTCGTCGACTGCTCCAATGCTCGACGACTGCTGCTATGCTTTTAGTAGATCTTGACGTGGCACTTCAATCTGACTTACTCGCGGGCTAGTCGACCAACAACGATAGTTACAAGGTACTTCGACGGAAATAACAACGACGTCTATGATTTCGTCTATTTGTACGACAGGATACATAAAAATTCATTTTACATGTGACTTGGCGTCTCACTCTTTTATTAGGTCGTATACAGGTTATTTGCAAAATGTCTAAACTGTCGAAAATGCATTAAAATACTGCCTAATGCTGAAAAAAATATCTAGACGACAATTGGACAATTATTTTTAAAATATTTAGAAATACTTGGCAAAAATGAACTGAGAAGGCGGTGTTTATTTCTGATAGGTGCAATGCCATTAGGAGCAGATTAAAATCGGGTCAAAATCCAGCGCAATAGCTGCAGAATGACGTGACGCGTAGTTTACAAAAGACGTTGCTGCACTTGACAGGAAGTGCGGGACGCGCTCAGCTGCAAATCGATAACATTATAGTTGCAAGAGAATGATTGCCGTGTTTGCTTGCGGATCAATGAACTCCGCTTTATTCGAGCTGCGGAAAAATCTATTGTAGAGAGTTTTCTGTATGCAGAAAGAAGGCAGCAAAACGCTTGATTTATTTTGTATCTTTATACATGTATGGAAAATAAAATCATGGCGCACAGGTAAATTTGGGAAATACTTAAGAAGCGAAACACCCATCTGCAGACATTTTTAGCTCGATTCGCACGAAAAAGATTGTCACTTACATTTGCCAATACAACAACATCGAGACATGGAACATATTTACAGCGAAACTTTTCGCCGCTTGTGATTACAAGTGCAATTACAAGTGAATTATTTTAAATGCTGCCTTTAACAATAGACTCTAATTATAACACCTATACTCAATTTTTTAAACTTCATATGGTTTTCCATTTCTAGAAAGTTAATCATTTATCAGCTGTATAATTATAATTATATATAGCATGCCGAGTCTCTATATCAAGCTTTTACTCGAGAGTTTTGTACTTGTAACGTATACTTTGGTAATTGTCTAGCAATATTTTACGGACACATACACGTACAATTATCATTTGAACATGATTCCGACAATAATACCGAGGCACAATTGCACGACTGCTACAAGCACCGCGATAATAAACGCGAATGGACAGTTATGCAACGTAGCGGTGCGAAGCAATTGAGATTTGCAAAGAATATCTCTGCGAAAGTCATTATTCAGCATTATAAACTTGGTAAAAGTAAAGTATCATTGGTGGAAATGGCGTTTAATGATTGCGAAGCAGATCGCTTTCACTGGGAACAATCGCAACGATTTGTTCCGAGCGGCGCTCCGGTAAAAGTGGTGGTGAGCCGAGAAGAAGATTGCTGCCGCAAGCTTAAATCATAACGGCGAATGCGATATTGAATCGGAGTCTGGTAACTGGCAATTGGGCGAAGCACACTCGTAGGCGTCATCTAGAATCAGATCGGATGCCGGCGATTCGCTGCGACACGGCAACAATAGCAGCTCTCGGCGAGGGCGACTCGAGGCGAACGAAAGGGACCAGCTGCGAGAGCTTTCTCATCACAGCACCGGTGTTCCGCTCCACTGGATCTGCGCGTCCTGCCACCTTAGCAGCGAGCACGTGAAACGGCGTCATTCAATGAGATTGTCGCCGACAGCCGTTGACGCGCGCTTACTTGCTGTGTATGAGCTTCTCGAGGGGCGTCGCGGCAATGTCGACGGTGTCTCTGGCTGCGCCGGCGCCCTCGATGCCAGACGCGCTCTCGCGGGCGCGCGTGTCCACGGTGAGCGTGGCGTGACTGCCGCCGCAGGTGTAGTATTGCAGGTCGAACCTGGGCCCAAGGTCAAGCGAGTAGAGTAGCGAGGCCTGGCTGGCTCTGCTCGGTCTTACCGTCTCTCGGCGTGATAATTGCGCAGCAGCTCTCTGTTGGTGTTGAACAGGACCCCGTGGTGGCCGAGGCACAGCGACACCCAGATCGGCAGGCTGGGCGTCTTCAGCCGGGAACCCGGCACCTTGTTCGCCTGGCCGTCGCCCTCGTGGATGAGGAAACCGATCTCGCTGCGCACCAACACGCCCCATTGCGGTATGGCCTGGGAATTTTCGGAATTGCGCTCATTATTTGGATAGTGCTCCCCGCCCTCGAGCCATCTGCATTCGTTAGTCTGATATTATGCAAATTCGACCGCCCAGCTTTCTCATTGCGTTAGATTTGAGCTCTGCACCTCGCGTCATTTGCACGACCGACAATCAAGTTGCCTTTCGCGCTGCGTAAATAGTCAAAATACCAACGTATGTGTTTTCGTCTCCGACGTGCACTACGCCATTGTGAACGTGGGGCGATGCTCGCCCAGTGATCGCAAGCAACACCAGGCTTATCGGACCTTCTTCGGGAGATCCGCCAAGAATCGATGCTCTTGGATCTTCCAAGTCGTTGCGAACTCTGCAAATATTTTTCATTATTTATGATTTTACCAATTTTCACTCTGCGAGCTACGTGACGAATCTACAAACTTTCCACAGCATTACTTCTAATCATTTATCAAATTATCGACGTTCGAAATATTTTTTAGCTCTTTTGACGATTAATTATTGATCGATGATAGACGCAGTCGAATGCTATTGTTTGCTTTTTTAACAAAAAAAACAGCGATATCAACTAATACGCTGCTAAAAATATCGTAATATTGATATAACACCGTTACACATTTTTTGAATAATTTATGTTACGAATAATTGTAAGTATTTTCAAGCTTTCAATCCAATATTTTACAGCGCCCGAATCTTACTTTTAAGTCCGACCATCTGTAACAGCAATGAACAGTAACGTCATGACTCGCGGTTTTTTTACAACATTCATCAATGGAATTATAAGTAATCTCATGGGAATATTTCAATCTTTTAGCAACTATGCAGTTGACACGATAATAAATTGTTTTATTTAGGTTGCAATGTAAATATACACACTACACTTACATGTTTTGCGGCGCATACTACAGTCGACAGAATTTCTATACTTTACTTTAACGACATTACATCACGCAAATTTTGTAATGTCGTTATCAATGTTGCATTGCGTTGCGAGTCTAAATACAAAATTTGTCAATTTATAGAATTGTGCAAAAGCTCAACGGCTCGACTTGACCCGAGCTTTCGAGCACCTGACCATTATCTCGAGCAGACCATTATCTGAGCATTCGAGCATCAAAACTATTTAGATTTACTAAGTATACAGTTGTGAATATTTATTTGAAGTATACGATCTAATTGATTTGTCGAAGTTATACGATCACTGTAGATATTTTCAATGTATTTTTTACGAAAGTTCGCGTTTGAGCCAGTTCTGGCTTGGCCGAGCTGTGGCTCGAATTACTTGAACTTTTCAAACTTCTAAAGAAGTATAATCTATGTCATAGTTCTTGTAATGCTGTTTCATTATTATTTACCGAATATTACTAAAATCAGAAATAATTTATTCGATACGAGGCGAAGATAACGTACTTGGATAATCCTCGGGATAATATAGCACTGTATAAAAGTAATTGAGCTCCAGGACCTCCTTCGTCTTGGAACTGCAAGAATTTATATTATTTGTCCATTCACGCAATATGCAAAGTTTCGGAAATAATCAATACATACCAAGTATAAATATCGTTTAATAAAGATTTCTAAATCTTCCAAGGTAGTGAATTCAAATAAATGTAGCTGTAAAATTCAGGTTTTGGAAATGAAATTGTTGTTTTCTTCTTTTCTTGCTTTTAGGACGGGAAAGTGGGAATACGCAATATTACGCGGAAAGAACGCGTCGACAAGAATGGAGCTTGTATCGACTTGCAAAAACTTTGTTCACGCCTTAACCTTTGGTTCTCACCTTCATACATTTGGCTACTTGCCACATCAATTAAGTGCTCAGAAATGAACTGGGTGAAATCGTTGGTAGGAGTTAACGAGCATACAGAGTGCACTTCGCAAAGGAGTTTGCCACTATATCGAGGTGAAATAACATCCGTCGTCTTAGCAAGACAGGTGAGGAGCGCCGTTCAGTTATTTGTTATTACGCAAAAAGAACGTGTCGAGCGGCTGAAAATCGGTGTCGGATCGGCTTATACTTACCGTTGGATCAGAGCGCGGTCGAGTCGAGAGAGGGCTCGATGCGAGTCTCCGCGGCTGCTGTTTCCATAAAAGAAGAAGCGAGAAAAACAAGAGACGCGAGACTCGGAAAAAGACCGACTCTGCAACTCGAGCGCCGGTATCGCTAACAACATTTCGAGATGGCAAACCGACGTACAGTCTCCGTCAGCCCATCCTGAAAGTATTGCACGCTGTGCTGCAGGTAGGGGGTGTCCTGCGGCAGCGCGACCACGGCCCTGGGCAGGCAGAGGCCGGCGGTGCAGCCGGCGCCCTGCGCCGCGAAGCCCCCGGCGCAGCGCCAGACGATCTCGGCCAACGAGGCGTTCAGCACCTCCAGCTGCTTGTCGTAGCTGGGCTTGAGCAGCCTGCAAGCGAGCGGACCAGTGAGCGAGGCAGCGGCGACGGCGGCGGCGGCGGCCGACACGCACAGGTCCGGCGAGCAGAGCGCCTCCTGCTTGCTCAGCCTGAAGAGGAAGTGCTTGAGCATGGTGGCCTGCACGGCGCTGACGAGGCCGCGCGTGGTGTTGCGGGGCGCGCGCAGCCCGAAGCCCAGGCCCTGGCCCGCCGGGCGCAGCGTCAGCCCGGTGCGCGCCCACTCGGCCTTGGGCGGACTGGCGCAGCTGCCGAAGACCAGCGCGCGCAGGCCCATGCAGGTCTGCTCGTCGATGGGGGTGCCGCCCGCGACGGGCGTCTTGGCCAGCGCCCTCGAGGTCCTCGGGTAGAGCACGCGCTCTGCAAGCAGCACGGGTTACTCGCGCGCACTCGGCCGCGGCTCCTCGGCGCCCACCTGGCTGCAGCTCGTCCGGCTCGGCCATGAGGGCGGCGCACTTGGCCGCCCTCGCCGACAGGCTGAGCAGCCTGTGCGAGGCGTCGCACACCGTCGAGCTGTCGCGCCTCATGCTCCGCGGCGAGCTACTGCGGGCCGAGCCGGCGCGGCACTAGCGGCAGCCCGGCGCGCAGCCCATTAGCGCTACGCGGCCTCGCGCCCTCGCGCGCTCCGCGCGACCGCGTAGCGCGCGCGCGCCTCGTGTCACTGCCGGCGAGCCTCGGCCGTGCGCGTCCTAGCGCCGCGCGACCTATTTATAGCCAAGCGCGACTTCGCCGCCAGCCTGCCGAAACCGTGGATTCGCGTGTGCGCCACCGACACCTCCGATTGTTTTCGAATTCGACCCGGAACAACCGACGCCTGTCAAACTTTCCGACAAACTGACAAATTCATTTCTAAGTTTCTCACTCCGCCTGTCGATCTCTTTTCGGAGACTTGCCATCTTTCCGTAAATACGTTTCAGCCTCTACTACTGTCAATTCTCGTTTTCATTCCTCGCTTCGTTTTTCACTTTTCCCCCTAATATTTCACTTGGAACGATAGACATGGCTAGGACGTGCGACGCTATATTGCTAAATTTGGAAAAGTCAGGTTTTCTTGTTGGAAACGTATATCGCGGGAAATCGGCAAACGTCGTATCAACGCTACCTTTATCTGAATGTATGAAATACTAGATTCGTTGTTCAAGGATACACGCCTCATTATATGCGGGATCGTCAAGGACTTTGCGTTACAAATGATTGTATATAGATATACATATTCCAGTTGATATATCATGGAAGATAATTTATACGTTGGAAGAAACGTCGAGAAGAAGCAATTATACGAAACAATATAATAACGTTGATGATACTGGAACAAGTTTCGATTTTAATGCGATACTGTTTACACCTAATTGGTCTTATCTATTGAACATCTTTTGTAAAAATTGAAGGTAGAAATAAGTCGTTTCATTTTTATTAATATTTGTTTACGAAATACATAGTACGATATAGGCAATAATTGCCCACTTTTCCTAATCAAACTTTGAAACCTAAATATTGCAAACGTATCTTCTCGAAAAATATGATCTAGATTGGCCCTGTTTTCAAAGAATTAAATTAACCGAATTTATTTAATTAAAGTGGAAAGTAGTGGTAGCTTAATGAATAAAACGCAGGATTCCTAAACGGAGGAGGTCTGGATTCGATTTACGGTGGATACCAATAATGTCTTTTCAAAAAAGCAGATATGTATAAAGTTAACATAGCCATAGTGGTTCCGAAACCGACCTTAAGTTGTTCGTCCAGTAATGAGAGATGAAGGTGGGGTGACGTCCTCCGGTTGTCTATAGGAAGTTTACACCAGGAACTAAATATATGTGAATAACGACTATTTTGGAATGAGCTAGGTCGATGCATCTTGATGGTCAAAGGTACAGAGCAAAAAGAATCGAGTATTGAAAAGGGAGGAATGTCTACTACACTATGATAGTGAGAAAGATACCCTAAAAGTCCAAGAAGGATAGGCAGAACAAAAAACAAATAGAAATGGCAAATGAAATCGTTATAACCTGAGCACTTTATTAAAATTTATTGAAAGATATTCATTGAAAAATTTATTTAGAGATGAAGAAACAAATTGGAATCGCGAACAATTTATCGGAAGAATGAAAAACGATATGCTGAAATCGTCAAATCTCCGGTAGATCAATCCCAAGAATCTAAACGCGTAAAATATAGATATTTTTATTACTATTGTTAATACTAGATTTCAGGTTCTTTTCAAATTCTACAAAGTTATATTCCTAATATATTTATATGCATTATCTTCGGTTCTCTATAGTTATTGGAGCATATGAAGAATTCGATAACTTTTATTATATCACAATTGCCTAAAAAGGCGCACACGATAATCAATCAGAACTTCTAAAAATATGAAAAAATCGAAGCCTAAAGATAATTAATAAAAGTACTTTTATCTCACGCAATAATTTTCAGAAACTTATTTGACTTGATGTGCAAGAGATGAAATTATGCAAAAGCCAAACTTTTCACTTTTCGCAACAAACACTGACATAGTAAGTGCACCGTCAGTTCATTGACATAGCATTCAATACGTGAAGCTGCATTTAAAGTACAAGCGTGCAATCTATTTTATTGACTATCTAACATTATCTATAAATTGATATCAATTATTTATTTTAATTATGTATTAACGATCCCGTTAATTATATATTAATGAAGAAAAAAATATTTTATATTTATTTTATATATTTAATTTTGTAAATGGTTGTCAGATATATGAAAAAATTACTTATTTAACATATAAATAATAGGGATAATTATTAATTATTTATTTTAATCAGGCCATAGACCGAGTATTTAACGCTGACTGAACATCGTCATGAAGTTAAAAAAACATTTATATTGTATATTTTATCGATCGTAAGAGAAGGAATTCGTATATAAATTAATTAATTTATCTATTATAGATTACAGAAATGTTCTGTATGTGCTTCGTTTATTGGAACAATTAAACTTAATTTGATATAACTTCAAAGTTTAAATTTAATAAAAATTAAAATTGAAGAAATCATATAAATTCTATAGAATGTTGAAAGAAATTACACGTAAAAAAATTAATTTGATATATTGAAAAAATAATCAACTTGGAATAGTCACCGAATAAGGCTTTTCTAAAATAGATTTGCGAATTTCGACACGTGATAATACATGAACGATTAGGTTTTAGGCGTCAAATTCTCAATGCGCTACCCTAGTCGACAGTTCAAGCACGAATATTACTTTCTTCGCCTCGCAAGCTGTCTTTTACTCATCAAGTTTTATGAGCTTCAAGGCTTCGCGTACAGCTGTAAAAACGCTTGTTTAACCTTGTCTTTTTGTACTCGTTACACAAGGTATCAATTGTTAAAGTTTTCCGACATATTTTCAAATCGATGCATTCCCCGAACAGAAACATTCATAAAGCTGAGGCTGACTTGTTTCCGCTGATGCAGATTGACATTGAAATACGAGAAAACTTTGACTGGCAACGACATCCATCAAAACGTCGAGTTTATTAGAATCTACTCAGTATAGGTCGAAACAGTGATTGCGCTATTAACAATCCGATGAAATATATTGAAAAATAGAAATGAAATAAGATCGAGAAAAAAATTACCTTCTTTGTAAGCGATCGAATAATTTGCGAAGCAAGGATGCATGACATAAAGATGGAGTGAAACGTTTCATGCTTCACTTTGTCGATCCGATTTAAAGTATTTCACAACACTCTCTTTGAAAAGCGTATCGCCGAGACACTGTTACATTTAGCATATAACGAAAGTCGATTTCGTAAAATTGTCATAGACGTGACATGTAGCAAAATTAAAATCAACTCAGGGATGGTGAATGAAAATCAGCGGCGATAGCTCGCTCGAAAGTGAACATGTTGGATCGCGTTATGAACGGATTGATTAGCGTATTTAATGCGAATCTTTCGTGTGAACAGTTAGCTGCTATGCTGGAAGGAGCTAGTATAGGAAGATGGCATGTCTCGAGCCGTGACTAAGAAACGAACATCGCGCGTATCGTGCGGAAAGAATGAAGATGCGTGACGAGTGCGTATGATTGAAAACGCAACGAGCGTCTTCCCAGATGGTACCGATAGCCGATAAACATCGCTGTATTTTCAGTAAAAGCTCGCTCGAAGCTTTCGGGAACAAGGCAATCTATAGTAGAAGCGAAAGAATGATAGTTACTTTCAGCGTCTACAACTCCATTCATTGCGAGAAATGCCGTCGAAGCTGACCGAAAGCACAGCAGCAGCGTCGCGCTTTTAATCGACTGCAAGTAGCGCGTGGCTCGAGGGCCAACGGACGTAAGTACGTTGATACAAGAATAGGAAAAAATGAGCGGCTAGAAGTTGCTGCTGACGGCAAAAAATCGAAAAAAAGCATTGCTAGGGAACAAAATAACAGAGAGAGGGAGAAAGAACGGCGGCGGCAACGGCGGCGGCGGCGGCGGCGGCGGTAAGGCAGCAATGGAACAACGAGAGCTGGCTGAGAACGGGGCAAGCAATCGAAGGAGAGCCAATGCGGCGCAAGGCGCTGCGTACCTCGGTCTCGGAGATAGGTAGGCTTCTCGCGGCGCAGCTCGGCCGGCCGGCAGATGAGCGTCCGGGGCAAGCCGGCAACGGGCAGCGGCGGAGGCGTCGGCGGCGGTCGCTCGTCCGCGAGACTCGCCGCGAGCTCGTCCATGGGCGAGCCGATGCGCGATTACATGCTTGCCGAATCGCAGCAGAACCGGATCCGAGGCGGGCGGAGTCTCCAGCGCGCGCGTTGCATGGACTGAGGCGGCTAGCGCTCTCGGCGTTGGCCCTCGCCGTTACGGCTCGCAGGCGAACCGCGAGCCCAGGCAACGTTGCGAGGCTCTATCGGCACGTGCTCGCATGCATGAATCGGCGTAATCGCACAAGTGGCGCGCGCCCCACCCGCGGCCTTCTCTATATAGCCCGAGTCTCTCGCTGCCTCGCGGCTGATGGCCGAGCCCCGGAGCCTCGCTGCTCGCGCACAGCTGAGCTTTGCCGTGCGACCCCGAGCCAGGCCGCCGCTATCTGTTCCAAGGCGCGCAAACTGCGCCCGCGAGCTCGTTAAAGCGTCGATACTTCGATAGCAGCCCAGCGCGGGCACACCTGCCTATTCCGCCGCGGCGCGCTCTTCGATTAACCTTTTCAGCCCGATCTTCTCTCCTTGCCCGGCTCATCGATTAGCTAGCCACGGTGCAGCGCCGCGATCTATCCAAATCTTGATTCGCCGTTCTTCTTGTAGATGCACTTTTGCCATGCGCAATTGTAAAAACTCCTTATCTCGACGATATTTGCCCGTGCAGGAACAAAGTTCTTAATCGCGCTACTTTTGCCGCGGATATCGTGCCAAAGACAAACAAGCCTACACGTCACAACCAATGCGATCGCTTCTTTTCGGAATAACTTGCACGTCCAGTCAGCTTCTTAATAGTTCCGTGCTAAATCTTGCCTGCAACTATTGAGTTGCCGGGTGCAGACCTCGTTTCAACAATAATTATATATATATGTCAATTCCGTAGTTGAATGTTGCTCTTTCGAAGCAATTCAGCGTGGACAGGTGTTGCGTGCCACTCTCGAGACAGAGAGCACATTTTTTCCCGTTGCTAGAAATTGACCGAACAATTCTATTTTCACTTAAGTAGGCGATTACCGGATGGTGCTAAGTTTCGCGAGTATCAAGGGCTTTGATTGACTTTGAGAACTCTGGCAAGTCCACGCCATTCAACGGGAGAGAAAACAAGATCAACTATATCCATGCACGCCAACTAATTAAAATCGACAATTATTGCTTGCTGATTGTAAATCCACCACCGATCGAGTGCAAGCAACGATAGCATCGAAACCTAAGAAGCGAATGCTTGCACTTTTTTTCGATTATCGTGCAGTACATACGGTTACCGCGCGCATCATCGGAAATTGCTTTTTTTTAATTTCAGGTTTCATACAGCTATGGCCCGATATCATATTATGTCAAGGTCCCTGCATACGTCCATAGATATACAAGCAAGCTAATGGTTCATTCTCGCTGCAAAGTTCAGCTTAGATAGGCATCTTAATGCCGAGAAAGAAATCGACTTCAGCTCGTTCAGCCAAATCATTTTGTCCAAGACCTTTTGAAAATCACTTTTCCAGTACACGATACGGCAAAGTGATCAAAACATAACTATACGTTGATTTTCCAAAATTCTAGTCTATATATATATACGAATAAGCTGAAATCGATTCACGGTCCTTTCCTTACTCTAATATACTCATTTTTAAATGTTTTCCGTATAACGAAGCTTATTCTCAATTGTGATATTGTACTTGAGAGATATATAAAGATTGGAAGACAGTAATTATGTAGATGTAACTAGAAAAACTTACAAATACATTAGACATGTAATATGAAAGTAGTATTCTGATCGTTGCAATAAAATGGGACATATTTGAGAAAAAGGATTGATTTAGAATAATATGCTACGTTCACTGGAATTTATAGGTCTACTAAAATATTGTGAACCGAGTCTTTACTAATGTTTTGAAATTGCCGCCACAATTAAAAATAGTAAGCGGAAGAAAAGAAATTTTACAGTAGCTGATCGGCAGCTAATTGCACGGTAAGTGTGCTTGTTACCGCGGCGCTAAGGCTCAGCCGTGGAGCTCCTTGCATCATGAAAGTGTTCAAAGTTGCGTAGAAATAGTTGTGCACGGCGTTGATCGAGCGTAAAATGTTGAGAAGCGCAGCTAGACTGCAAGCGTCGATGGGAAATTGGCGAACGGCGTTGGGCAAAAGTAGGATAAGGAAGGGAGCGAGAGAAGAGGGAAGCAAGTGGGTTGGCCGAGCGAAAAGCTGGCGATTAAGCGGCGGCTCGTGGAGGCATGGGCAGAAGCGTGCAAACTTACCGCCAAAGCTGGATCGATACTGGCGCGAGTCCGTGCTCGCGTTGGCCAACGCTCTCGCCACGGCATTGAGCTTCCATGGGCCGCTGGACTTGCTCGCCGCCGGCTTATTGCCCTCAGCACGCCCGCTGAGCACACACAAAACACGCCTCTTTACATCTACCGCTTTCTCCTGTCGCGCTTCGCTTTTACCATCTCTTATCTCCTGGCAAATCAGCCCCTTCTTCTCCGCGTTGCTCCATCTCTCTCCGCTTTACTTTTGTCTTCTATTGCGGCCATCGCTACTCTAATCTACACTAAGGTGTATCTATTTCCTTGCAAAACAGCGTATTTTTCTTTTTCCCAAAGCCCCGTTCTAATCCTAATTGAAAGATACGCGTTTTCACAGCGACAGACTACGAATTTTTCTTACTTTTACTGCGAGTTCCTCGTTAACCCAACTCCTACTGAAATCGACGCGTTCAAATGTTGAAAAAAGAAAAACCTTGACTAGAACTTTTATTTACTCCAAATCATAATAGGTATTTGTTTCGTTATTTCCTCTAACGTGGATATTTGATATGGTCTCTACCGCGCCAATTTCGTTCAAATCATCGTAATTCATAAAGTGCAATGTACGTTTGAGCCTCTGTCTTACCTATTGTCCGCATTACCCATTGTCACAGTACTGTTATATATTACAAGTGTAAGCGAATAGAATAGACGAATGCAAGTCTAACGGCTGGAGTGCAAGAGTTGAGTATACGTGCCGAGTATACGGCAGCAAATATGAGTGCGTTCGGCAATTAAGCTTGCTTAGAGTTCTGTATCGGAGAAATCGCCTCGTCTTTGGCATCCAACTAACGAGCTGCAGGCTGCTACTTCGATAAATCGATAGAGGACGAACGACGAGTTTAATTTGATTGGAGCTTGCGATGCGCTCGAACTGTATGCCCAAACTGGAGTACGCTCTCGCATGGTCATTTTGCGCGCACTCGTTGCACCTGACGGAGGAATACGCTAATATGAAATGTACGACCGGCAAGGCTTTTATAGCGATAGAACAAATGCACGCACGTACGCCAAAGGCCTGGCAAGGCAAACGGTCGGTAGACCGATGTACGACACATCCAGTTACCTCAACTGATTTCAAATTGCTCAAGTGCGATAGTTACCACAAGACATAATAGGCCAAATCGTCGCCTTCTATATTTCAACTGGCATTGCAGCATTCGCAGGATCACATTGGTCAGCAGTGGACGCTCGTGACTGAAGGGCAGTCGACGCTGCACTCGAGTGGAAGGAGCGCACGCTACGTCGTTGCATCGAATCGCCAAGAGTAATCAGAGAATCGAGAACCGACAAATCGTGTAGCGTGACGTTGGTTCGTTGCAGGTGGTCTAGCAGAAGACCAAGAATTGAGCAGCGCTCGCTGTAGCCGAACCGTCGTGTCCGAGAGGCTGAGCTCCGGCGCGCCGGACTCGCGACAGCCGGTTCAAGCGCGCCGAGCACTCGCGGAGCTCCACGATCGCTGCCGCACGCGCTGGTAGGGATAGTAATGCCAACTCGAAGCGAAACAAAGACGCCCAAATAAAGACAGGGGAGAAAAGTGAAATTGAGTATCCGTCACGAAAGTATCGTGGCTCGCGCCTTCCTCCCGGTAAATCGCTTCGACCTTCTGGCCTAGCTGCCTTCGAAGCTTCGCGCCCGCCAACCAGCTGCGCCAGCTCTTATCTTCATCTAAACGTCGTGCCGTCTTCTACTCGATCCGCGTGAGCTTATTTTACGACATGCCATTTATTAATTCTCCATATTACTTTCCTCCCGCTCTCCGTTTCTTCAGTTTAGCTGACAACCTTACAAGTTTCAAGTAATGTTCAAATGCAATGCGTTACAATTACATTTAGGGTTTAAATAGAAATACATCTGACTCGCGCTTGCATGCCGAGTACAGCCAGGCGATATTGACTGTTTGATTTGATATGTGTCTACTTAAGAACAAGCTTCAATCAGCGTTTCATCAATTGGACACATTTACTGGCTTTATTTTAGTATATTTCAAGTGCATTTAAGCTTGCCTTAATTACATAGATTTGTTCAAGTCGTATAATGAAATACAATGCAAGTGATCTCGATCACAGCTAGAATTCTAAAAAACTTTAGTCTTATCGAACTCGCACGCAAACATGGCAAAATGCATTGGGAAAGAACAAATTCACGAGTCGCAGGAGTTGAGATAAGCGTATCATCGTAATGTAAGTATACCAAAGGAAAAAGTAAATTTGGAGAAGGTCGAGAGCTGAGAAAATGGAGAAAAGCTAGCATCGAGCGTGCAGGATTGTGGCGTCGCGAGCGGCAGGTACCAGGGCGCGAAAGCTACATGAAGCAGAGAGGGGGGAAGCAAGGGTGGCAGGGAGCGGGGAGTGTGGCGAGCACGTTTATCGTGCCAAGCGTGACACTCGTGCGAGTCGCAATTGTACAGTTAAGCTTTTTAATATTTAAATATCAAATGACTAGGTCACTATACTTGCAATACTATTTTTCTCAACATTTATTTTACATGATTGTGCTTGCCTAAATACAATCAAGACTTAAATCAAACGAAACATTTAACTAATAGCTTGATAGGGTTTATCTTTTATGAAGCACAGACATTATAAAATTTGTCAAGGTCAAAGAAGTATGATAATCTCTAGAACGATTCAAATGCGAATGTTTTAAAATTGATAATTAAAACATAAAACAAAAAGATTTACTCATTCAGTAGTAAAGCACATGCTATAAAATATAAACTGACTTCGCAAAAAGAAAAGGATATCACTGCCGGCTCTTATGTTGTTATCTCTTGTCTTAACGGATTATTACGACTTTGACAAGTAGTACTTACAGTATTTACACACACTTAAGTACATTATACGACCGGGGTGTGTAACGATCGCATGCCTAGTTTTCTTCTTTTCGAACAGAGGATGGTTAGTTTAACGAATAACGTGATTTATTAATTACATTTCGTAGTAAACAATGCTTGTACATTTAATTACTATCATATTTTTCGGAATGCCCATTAAATACCAGCCTTTGTAGATAATATTTTTACTTTCATTGTTATATACTGTAAAAAAATAAAATATTTAAAAAAATAATTGCTCTTTTATAACATATCGCGTAGTAAATGAATAAAAAGATATCTACGCTGATTATACCACCATAACAAATATTTAAAAATCACTTTCGAACTTGACCAGAAGCTTATTTTTGCCAACATTCTCTCCTACTTTGCATAAAATATCATCTATTATTCCGTCAGATGTTGCTTTAATCAAGTGCTACAAGTTAAAAACAATTATTCGAAAATTGCACGTATCAAAATTGAATACAATTCCAATACTTTATAAATCATGAATGTACCTCCATTTTCATTGCGACGATGACGAGTAATGGATCACCAGCTTTTACTTTATCTCCCCTTTTCACCATTATTTTATCCACAATCCCTGGCATTGGACTAACAGCTGAACCAGAAGTTGTGTTATCTTGATCTGATAATTCTTTTACATAGTCAGGTGATGGTATAGTCAATCGCCACTTGCGATCCTAAAAGATTAATATTTATTATGTTTAACGTTTCTCAAACGTTTTATTTTTAAAAGAAATCAAAGTAGAAACAAATTTTACGTTGGTAAACAAGTAAATTTCGTTGCCAACTTTTACAATTCGTGACTTTTGAATAACGCCGTCAATGTCCGATTTTAACTCTAAAGAATTCCCTTGCTTTCTCAAGGTGCCACTGACGATCCTCCAAGGTCCAAGATCATTAGTTCTCATGAAATACACATCAGGTTCAGTGTATTTTATATCAACAAAATGTTTTTCTTCTCCAATATGAAAATCAATGTGTCTGTTTAAGAAATGATTCAACCTTGCCCTAGTTTCCACGACAAAAGGATTAACAGGATCGGCAGTTGTAATAGTATTCTTTAAAGAGCTCATCTCTTCGTATAAAATTAAACCTAGAGCACCTTCAGCTAAAATTCGATTTGGAACTTGTAATTTAGGGAATAATGATTCATAATTTTCCTCTATGAATCCGGTATGAACTTCGCCGTTGCGAAATTTCGGGTGCAAACAAAGATCTTTTAAAAATTCAACATTTGTCTCCAAGCCTGCAATCTAAAGATTAAATGTTAGTGTGAATTGTGAAATGTGTATGTCATCAAATTGGAATATATTTCTCCAAACTCACGTCATATTCCGAAAGCTTGGATCTTATTACGTTTAAAGCTTCGTTTCTATCTTTTCCCCAGACAACCAATTTCGCTATCATTGGATCGTAATGAACGGATACTTCGTCATTCTGGCGAACACCGGTTTCCACTCTTATATTTTCAGCAATTGATGGAGGAGTCAAATGTATAAGTTTTCCAGCTCCAGGCAAAAATCCACCTCGTGGATCCTAAAAGATAAGATATATTTGAATTAAAGATTTCTGCTTTCAATGTTGATATTTTAAATATTCATAATTACTTCTGCATAAATTCTAGCTTCAAAAGCATGACCATTTAATCGAATTTCTTCTTGTTTCATTGGCAATTTCTCACCAGCTGCAACTTTTAACTGCCATTCAACGAGATCTGTACCTGTTATAGCCTCTGTGATTGGATGTTCAACTTGTAAACGTGTATTCATTTCCATGAAATGAAATTTTTGAGTATGTCTATCCATTATAAATTCTACAGTGCCAGCACCAACATAGCCTACAGCTTTTGCTGCTTTAACTGCAGCAATGCCAAGTTCTGCTCTAAGCTCTTCTGAAAGTCCAGGCTACAAATAAATATTTAAATAAAAAGCTCTTAATAAAAAGAAAGTTATGGAAAAAAAAAACTCTAACAGCAGGAGCTTCTTCAATAACTTTTTGATGTCTTCGTTGAATAGAACAATCTCTTTCAAACAAATGAACTGCATTCCCGTATCTATCAGCAAAAATTTGCACTTCCACATGCCTTGGTTCAGCAACGTATTGCTCCAAGAGTACAGCTGAATCTCCAAATGATTTTTGAGATTCAGTTCTTGCAGACTCTAATGCTTGGAAAAATTCAACTTCTTTCAAAGCAATTCTCATTCCTTTGCCTCCACCACCTCGTACTGCTTTAATCATCAAAGGAAAACCAATTTTTTGAGCTACCTTCAACAAAGTTTCATTAGATTGGTCTTCTCCATGGTATCCTGTAAAATTTGAATTATGATTACCAAAATCATTTGTATAATGTCATTAAAAATGTATATCAAAGAAACCTTCAATTATAGGTACTCCAGCTTTAGCCATAATAGATTTTGATGTGCTTTTTATTCCCATATCCTTAATAGCTTGAGCAGGTGGTCCAATGAAAATAACATTCCGTTTTTCGCATAATTCTGCGAATTCTGTATTTTCTGATAGAAACCCATAGCCAGGGTGAATGGCTTGACATTTGGCATTTTTGGCAATGGCTATAATTTTATCTTGTCTTAAATAACTTTTAGTTGAAGGAGCTGGTCCAATATAATATGCTTCATCGGCCAACTCAACATGCATTGAGTCCTTGTCAACATCACTATAAACTGCTACAGTCTTTACTCCAAGTTTTTTGGCAGTTCTTGTAATGCGGCATGCTATTTCTCCTCTATTAGCTATAAGAATCTAAAAATTTATTAATCAAACATTTTATTAAAAATCAGTTTAAATTCAAAAAATTCAATTGTATTTTAAAATTTCAAAAAATTACCTTACCTTATCTATTTTAGTATTATAGTTTGATAGTTTTATTGAAAATGTTCGTTTTTCATAGGTTAACGTTGTTCTGGAGAGCATAAAATTAAGTATTTGTAACATAGATTGATAATTCTTTTTTATTGATCGATTGAATTTCAAATAAATTAGCTTATATCAAAAACTTACTTTTTGATGAGTGATTTTAAATGTTTTAGTCTATACATATTTTTATAATAGAGTAAAATATAAATTAATTTACTACAATTCGAAATTAAGGCAAAAGATAAATTTATTCCAAAGCATATATATATATATATATATATATATAGATGATCGACGAAAACACATTGGCCCCCTACCTATCGTACATACATATGTGCGTATTTACTTACGTAGTTTACGTACACACATAACGTATGCGATATATATATATATATATATATATATATATATATATATATATATATATATATATATATATATATATATATATATATATATTATAATGTTTAATCTCGTCTTAATGATCTTTCATGTGCATGACATGTATGAATGGTCACTATGTAATGATAATATGAGCAATAATATTTATTTGTTGAACAAATGGTAATAAATTGTGATATTTTGGTTGAATTTCTATAAAAATCGAATGAAAACGCTATATTCAAATTTAATTACTATACTGATCTGGGAGTTTTCAACTTTAAGAAATTCTTTTAATAACAAAAACTCAATTATACGGGTTATTAATAAATTTTACTATCCTTGCTAATCAGGCATACTTTTTCTATAATTTTTCCGGATCAATTTTCGTCAATTTCCGCCGAGTTCCTCCATCCGTTAGAAAGTCATATTTGTTTTTAACTCTGTGAATACTAATTGTTTAATTGAAATATAAATTAAAAAGCAAAATTTATTATTTTTAAGTTTATAAACTGAACCAACTTTGACCGAAAAGTATTGCATAATCATTGAGAATATCAACAATATAGTTTAAATTTGTCAATAACTTTTTGTAAACAACTACTATAAAAAGAGCAACTGGCTTTTTGGAGAAAGCATCTTGAGAACAATTGTTTAAGCTGTCGCACGCCTTATTATTGTTATTTTTTTTAATTGGATGGAGATTTCAAAGAAATCTTATCAAACGAAACCTACTCGATCAGTATAGTATAGTAAAACATGTATCTATGTGGTGATGTGAATTGTCATTGTAATTGCTGAAAAGTATTTTTTTGTAATTTTTACATAAAATCACTTAACATTAAGACTCAAAATGTTCAAGTTTGAAAGAATAATTATTCAAACGTGTAAAAATAAAAAATTCGTTAAACCAATATCGTTCGCAACAAAAAAATTTACCACTGATAAAATACCTACTGATACCTCGCAAAGTTCTGGCACTCAACAAATTTTGCACGAAAATTCACACGAAAACAAAAATAATAATGAAAAAACACCATCAATTAGTGATTTTGTAAAAGCATTTGCAAAGCAGGTTATGTATACCAAAGAAGAAGAATATAAACAGCAAACAGAACAGAGTCAATCATTTTCTAGCTTGCTAAGGCATTCTAATTTGATGCATGTAAATTTCATAAAATAACTTCATAATCAAATTCTATTTTCTAAAAATTTTTTTTGTTAATTCATTTTAAATAATATTTCTTTTCTCAGCTGGGAGATCCTGAAGGCAAAATTGTCATAGGAAAAATTTTTGAAGTTGTCAACAATGATCTGTACATAGATTTTGGTTGGAAATTTCACTGTGTTTGTACTAAACCAATAAAAAATAATAGGTATTTAAATAAGTTCAGAAGAGTGAATGAATATATATTTTATTTTATTTATTGGTTAATAAATAAATTCTATTTTAGTGATTATGTGAGAGGAGCTAAGGTGCGTTTGAGAATAAAAGAGTTGGAGCTTTCTACAAGATTCCTAGGATCTACTAAAGATATAACTATACTAGAAGCAGATTGTGTACTCCTAGGCTTAGTCTCAAGTCCAACAAAAACAATTAAGACTGTTGATAAATCTACTGCAACAGCAGTCTGAAGAATGCAATATATAAATGAAATGGAAACGTAAAATAAGATAGTTTTAGATTAATCAATGTTCAATAAAAATTAAATACATTAATTTTTCAAGTTTAAGCTGTGTATTATTGCAAGTTCTATGTAAACTATACAACTTAAGTAACAATTATATTTATAATTCCTTTATTTGAAAGACATCAATCACAATGAATTACTTTACATCTTGTCCTGTAGATGTCGTATATGGTGAACTGTAGAATACTACTATATATACATACATGTAATGTATATAAATGTACATATATATATGTCTATATACATGTAATGTATGTACATACATACATATAGTCTCCATGGAACAGACTAAACTGAGTAAAAGAAGAAAAGAATGCGTAAAAACTTAAAGGTTAGGTTCTCTGTGTATTATGAGGTTTCTGTTTAACAACAATCTCGCGTGTTCGCCGACTCTTGCAGACTACGTAAAAACTAAATCTATTCACATCATTATTTTATTTTATTATATTTTCTTTCAGAAGATAAAACTCCAAAATGGTTTGTACAAACTTTTTTTACTGTTGCAGTTATAATATCGATTCAAACAAAAATTTAAGATTAAATTAGCTAAAAAATCGTTTGCATGAAATTTCTTACAAATGTTTCATGATTTTGTCCATATTTCAGGAATCAGACATTTGCAGAAGTTGTAGAAGATCTTTAGATGAAACAAATGAAAATAATATTTTTCAAAAAGAAATATTAATAAAGTCAATTGACTTACAGAGTATTAACAACAAAAAATGGTCTATGAAAGTGTCTTCTGCAATTGAATTGATTACTGGACAAAAGGTACTTGAAAACCTATTCTGTAATTATCTTTTTTCTATAAAAACGTTTTATTTACATTAGCTACAATTTTTTTAGGTTCTACAAGAAATGAAGCTACCACGAAAATTGTGTCAAGTCTGTTTACAGAATGTTGAGGCTTTTGTTAACTTTCGAATCCAGTTAATAAGATCTGAGGAAATTTTACTTCAATTAGGATATTCAGATTCAAAAGAAACAATTGACAACAAATGCAGGGAAACACAAAATGTACCACCATTACACCCATCAATTTCTGTCTCAAATGTGAATAATATAATAGAAAAATCTGAAAATAATGATAATCTAACAAAAAATGAATCAAGTAATCGTCTTTCAATCCTGAAACCAAATGATGAGCGTACCCCTAAATCAGTACCTGAAGATCTTATAAATGTTGATGACAGTAGTGTATCTCTTGATATTAATAGTCATGATTATGATAAAGGGACAAATGCTTTTTTAATAAGTAAATTAGAAAATGATCAAGAAAATAATAATCATAATGATTCAGATAATTCTGCTAATAATCCAGAACATAGAAATGAAGATATAGCTATTAAACAAATAGATCATGATATTGAATCTGAAATAGATGTTTGCTCAGGTGAAGATGATGAAGTTTTAGAATTAGATGTACAAAAACAAAGGAACGAGACGGTTGAAATAAATAGTTCATCAGAATCCGATATTGAAGTTTGTGACTATGAACCTGTTGGGAAAAAAGCCAATTATAATACATTTTCTCCTCCTGTAAGATATTAGCGAACTATATAACAATTTGTAAATAATTGTATGTACTATATATATATATATGTATATTATATGTACTAAATACTAAATTAGTTTTATAATATTGTGAATATAACATTGTTATAGAAAAAATTTAACATATTTTTCAATACATGAAGATGTAATGAATAATTGTGAATGTAATTGTAACTATAAAGTATCTCAAAGTAACTGTGATAAGAATTTTTAAATAAATTTTGTTTGTTTGAAAATTGTGTTATATTAATAAAAATTAGGAGATGAAAATTAACTCACAAAAGTTATGAAAAAACTGAACCTTATAAGCAACTTATCAATAACTCCACTATATTTAGTTTTCTGTAATAAAAAATTCCCAAAGGTGAATACTCTGATCGGTAGAAATTGAATCTCAGCAGCGTTTTAATTTAGTTTTTACGAAATAAATGTGTTAAATTGTTAACAAAAATAGCACGCAATTTTTCTATCCAATCAAAATATCAATATATAAGCATAATAAATATAATAAATATTTATTTTTTATTATAGCGATATAAATATACATGCATTTGAAAGATTAGTAGATATGCTCACAAAAGAGCTGTACTTATAAAAGTAGGTTACTTTTCAAATAACCAGTATTGTCAACTACTCTATAAGATAGGCAATAGGAATAGATTTATTTTCTTGAATAACCGTCAATGTTAATTATTCCTTAGAATTGAATTTGTTGAGCCCAGATCAAACTATAAATACTAATTAACATAACTAATTATTCAAATAAAAATAACTTATCCTTAATAATGGTATAAAGTTGGAGACAAAGAGCGAAGTATATCATATTCAGATTCGACTCGCCTAAAACACGAGTAATTTTTTTATAAAACGCATATTTCAAAAGTTATAAATTTTTTAAAGTGTTAATTTCTTAAAATGAAAAAAACAGTTTACTCTATGAATCTTCGCTCACAAATTAATATAATCAATTATTATGATATATATCACTCGCAGACGTAGTTTTTGCAATCAACAACTCTTTCTCAGCGATTCATGTAAATACACATTGAAATTACAATTGGCAAGTCAAAATTGTACAATAATTAAAAATAATCATTATAATCATAATAACTTTCATAATTTTGAGTATTGCATATAATTATTGTCATAGTTGATAAAATAATAAATATAATTATTACTATAACATTATAAGTATCATTATAATATTTATTGCCATATAATATATGTATAATAATTGCGAAACTGCTCTATAATCTTTTTCGATACTCCGTGCGCAAAGTGCGTCTTTCCCGCACACTCGGCAGAAAACATAGGTTGAAAATCACACTTTCCACACGTCGTATTAAGTAATTTCTTTTTAAGGTCTTCCAATACGTGTGCCGTATGACTCACCGAAACAGCATTACTGTTTATTGCAAAAAGTACGTCTTCCAGTGATCTATTCTAACAATGAATATATATATATATATATATATATATATATATATATATATATATATGTATATATCTATATCAATTTGTAGACGAAGATCTACAGAATGAGTAACTTTTTTCCATTTTGAAAAATATTAATTAGATCAAAAGTTATTAACAGCCAAAGTTAGTAAAAAACTTTATATTACCGACTTTAAAAAATTTGTAATTTTTGAAATATGCATTTTATGAAAAAAGTGCAGCATACCATATTGCCTTAAAATAAGCCATAATTACTAAAAAAAAGTCCGGTTGAAAAAATTCCTTTTTTCCTAATTTGTTTAAACAATTGCATTTTAAACAAATGTCTACCATTTTATCGAAAGATCTAGTAGTGGATTCGGATTCAGGAGGTAAAAATATATGCTGATAAGTTTTTACTTGGGTGGTCGTTAATGCATACCGAAAGGTACCCATGCAGCTCCCGGACTGTTATCGACGTTGTCTACTGATCTTTCCAATGTTATATTTATCGCTATAATGAGATATAATTGTATGATTATAATAATATTGTGGTTGGATAGAAAAATTGTGCGTGATTTTTATTAACGATTCAACGCATTAATTTATATAATAATAGGATTAAACGCTACACAGGTTTGATTTCTAATGATCAGAGTGTTTAACTTTTGGGATTTTTTACTAACGAAAACTAAATAGCGCAGAGTTATAAGTGAGTTTTACTTTCCTCGATAATCATGCGCAGTCTTTCTATAATTTTTCCAGCTCGATTTCCTATTGAGTTGCTTGAACCTGTAACTATTTTTCTTATCAGTGTCGACAAATAGTACACGACTACACGTGTTTGACATCATATTTTCAATTTCAATGCAACAGACAAGTAACATAAAGTATGTGTAAAAAGTAATTGCATTATTACGGGAATTAATTTTTGTAGTTTTATAAAGTTACATGTATTTGCGTAAAAGATGTTTCAACGCACTAAAAATTTGAAAACAATATTTAACCTTTCAACATTTCAAAAATTACGTCTTGAATCGAAAACCAGAAGATTTTTTAGTGAAACAAAAGATGACAATCCATCCAAAGAACCAGAAAATGATTTTGTTTCAAAACTTTTGAAAGATTCTACTACGTATTCTGAATTGAACAATACAGAATGGGCAACAACTCCTTATCCTCAAAGTGCTGGTGAAGTTGCAGAGGATTTAAAAACTAAAAAACCTGTAATAGATCCTTCAGAAACATCAGTAATTTTATTTCCTGGACAAGGCATTATCAAAGTAGGAGACGTCAAAGAATATTTGAAATTTCCAAGAGTTAAAGATTTATTTGATATTGCAAATGATATTCTTGGTTACGACCTTTTGAAAATGTGCTTAAAAGGTCCACAAAGTGTATTAGACAGGACTGAATTTAATCAACCAGCAACAGTAGTACGTTCATTGGCAGCTCTTGAAAAATTACAAGAAGAAAGACCTAGAGTGATAGACTCTTGTGTAGCTGTAGCTGGTTATAGTGTAGGTGAACTTACAGCATTGATATTTTCTGGAGCTATGCCTTATGAAGAAGGGCTTCGATTAGTTGCCGTTAGAGCTGCAGCAATGCAAAGTGCTTCAGAAATGTCGGCACAAGGAATGGTGTCATCTTATTGTACACCTACAGCAAAGGCATTTCAAATATGTGAAAAAGCTCAGAAATGGGCTGTGGATATTGGAGCATCTGATCCAGTTTGCAAGTAAGTTTTTATTGTTACACTTATCTTTGGTTTTATTGCAAGAACTTACTTTACTTATTACATTTATCAGATAGTCAGATGAATCATATTAATTAATTAATTGTACTTATTTGATTAATAAAAGTTTATGTAATTAATTGCTTTCAAGGATTGCAATCTATTTGTATACCCAAGGAAAAGTTTTTGGAGGATCTGATGAAGCTCTTCAGTACATACAAAAAAATAGCCAGAATCTTGGTTTGAAAAAAGTGCAGAGACTACCAGTATCTGGAGCATTTCATACAACTTTAATGCAACCAGCTCTTAAATCATTTATCAAAGCTTTACGTAAAACTCCATTTGTTGAAACTAATGTTCCTGTTTACTCCAATTATTCTACAAATACATATACCAGAAGTATGAAGGTTAATCATAAATATTTAATTAAACAAATTGTGTCTCCGGTAAAATGGGAACAAATAATACATAAAATATATGAAAGACCACAAAATATACCATTCCCAAGAACATTTGATATGGGATCAAAAGGGACAATGAAAACGATATTGAAGATGATTAATGCCAAAGCTGAAGAAAAATGTTATGTGTACTAATTATTAATATGAAATAATTTTGTATATAACATATAAATCAAATGTAACAAAAGATAATGTAAAAACTGTAGATATGTTGAACAAAAAAATTAAAAAATTAGAGAAGGTTTTTCAATAAAATATAGTGAAAATATTTTATTCATTTATTTTATTGATAATCATCAGAACTCAGAAGAAAAAGAAATTAAAGAACAATGATGCAAAGTTTCATCACCATTCATGAAATGAAATATTCACTGAGAAATATTTCAAATATGTTACACAATCATTCACGTAGCATTCAAACATTTTTTAAATTTACATTTAAAATAAAACAATTATTTTAGATTACATTGAAGTGCCTTGTATAATATTTTATAATTTATTATGGCTCGAGATTCTTAACTGTTATAATTCAATTTTGCATCAAAGTTAATGTTCATTTATATGCATAATGTAACAAATTTTTATGAATAGTTTTTGAACACATTTTTGTAGACTAGTAACATTCAATGGAGATAGGTATATTTTTAAAATATGGAAAACATCTTCACACTATCAAATGATATAGATTTGTTTGTAATTTCCATAGACCTTTAAAATAGGAGGGAATCGGTCATAATTATTTATTTTCAAACAAAATAAAATAATTTCCCTGCAATAAAAATCTAATTGATAATAAAACAAAAAATTAATTTTAAACAAATTTTATGCAGTATTCTCATCAGTACAAAATCTTAAATGTAACAAGCAATTTACTTTGTCGGTATTATACTGATGAATTTTTCTAAGTGCTTGAAAAGTGATTAGTATTAAATATATACTTGTAAAAAATTTTCAAATAGTACAATAAAAATATAAGATAAATCAATAAATTTGAAAATATCGATAGTTCTCATTGATTAAAAAACGTTGATTTCAATAATTTTTAGAAAATGAATCTTATTACATAATGTGGATCTGTAATTTATGATAAATTTATCATTTGCAATAAGCTATATATTATTTTGTATTCACACAAAGTATAATAATATAAATTAATATTCTATTTTTTTTCTTATTTTGTAATATAATATATAAATATAAAACTGGTCACTACAGTTTTGTTAATATTGTCGATACATCTGTTAAATGATTTTGCAATTTATTACTTTTTTGTTTACAGTAATTAAAAAAAAATAAATATCTTCAAAATTTCAAAACTAAAAGGTTGCAATATATACTTTAATTAAAGTTGTAAGAACTCTATCAATATTTCTTTTGTAAGTCATTAACTCATTGAGACTTTAATAACAATATTATTATTGACATTTCAGTGTAATAATGAGTTTGAGTAATTTACTTATTATAATAATGATTTACCAATCATTAAAATGACTGGAAATCAAGTTATTGGCAATTCTAAGCAATAATAGAATTCAATCTCTTTTTTTTAATAGCAAGATGAATTTTGAATTCATCTAAAGCAATATTCGTAGTCAAATCTGAGCTATTAGCTTATTATGCTTAAATATTTCTTATGTGTCGTGGTCGACGTATTAATAAACAACAAGAAGTTAATCCAGAGCTAACTTTTGCAAGTTCAGAAATCGCTAATGATTTTGTAGAAAACTCGACTTTTTCATCAAAAACTTTACTTGATTGAGGTATTTCATCATTTGCTCGATGAATAAGAGTGCCATTAACATATAAAACGTTGGCTGCTTCATCTTCGGGAACAGTCAAAGTTTGATAAGTATAGGTCGCTTCTCTTTCAATCCTCTGAAAAGATAAATTTATAGTAATATAGTATAGTTCATATACAAATTAAGTACTGATAAAACAATTATATACTTTAAGCACTTCTTGTGATTCTTTTCCAGCACCAACACAAATGACATCAGGTCCGGCTATTGTCACTAAAGCTTTGAGACGTTTAGATTCAGCTACCTATGAATAAAAAGTATATTTAAATTCTAGTAATGTTCATGTTTTGCATAAAAATAATTATTGCTAGATATACCTTTATAGGAGCACAAGGATACTCTGGAAAAGCTGCAGCAACTGCTCTTGCTCCAGCTTCATTTGTGAATTGTGATAACCCAACAAAAAATTCCCTTCCTAAAAAATACAATTATTTTAAGAAACACACCTTAACAATATTAATATATGTCAATTTGAAATGAACCTGTAAATAAGACATCTCCACCATCTAAACGTGCACTTTTATCAGCCATTTCAATTAATGGAATATCCAATTCTTTTTTAAAAACTGCTCTTATTATTTCAATCTGAAACAAAATTTTATTCTAATTAGTTTTTAATTCAAGATAGTAATAATTAAATAGTTTTAATTATCTGTAAATTATACTGATATTACAATAGGAAGACTAAATCACTAAAACTTAATTTTGATAAGTATTGTTGATATAATGTAACAAATAAAAAAAGTAGTACTAAAATTTTGCAACTGCTATTAGTTAATAATAAAACCATGAAAGTATTATTATAGTTAGATTTTCTATCAATTAAGTAATAAAAGTTAAAGAATTGCTGATTAAAAGTTGTAGAAAATTAAGAGATACCAGACATAGATAATATTCACAACAAGGTGCTGGGCATTAAATAATAATGTATACAATTTGCACGACCTCGTGAGGCAATTGAAAAATTAGAGTACTGAATGTGCTTTGTATTTAAAGAGACGCGAATGAGATCACGCAACGATCAACGCACCGGTGGATATGTAATTAATCAAATGGTATATGTTAGCGCGTGGAATGTTTGGTCAATGGGCTTCATCGGTTTAAATATTAAGTTTACATACCTCTCGAAGTCTGGATGGTTCATTGGGTCGAGCGATAAGGGCAATGCCATTGCAGACAACAGCCGTGTCCTCGACGAAGACGCAGAGGGGCGAGCTTTCATCCGGTGGCATCTCAACGACATCGATCCCGAGCTCGCGCAGTTGCTGAGCCAGCGCCTGGTGCTGCTTTCGAGCCTCGTCCAGCTGTACATCGCCCCGACTGCGTAACGACTGCGGAATCCGGCATAGCACCGCGTGCGTGTAACGCACCGACATGCCTCTTTCTTACTTTTTAGCCAAACTACGTAGCTTTGAGTTCTTAACGTGGCTAAAATTTCACTGACTGCTCCGTAGCTGCCTTGCAGGATCAATCCCAATCAGCAACCGCGCACACGCGCTCTTTTCTGGATCCTTGTTAACGCTCTTTCCTCAGCGTATCCTATAGAATACTGTACAGTGTCACTACCGGGGCTCACTTTTATTTGTCGCTACTTTATATATAGTGGCTATAGTCTATTTTGTTTCCCTTGACAGTCGAGTCGCGACCGTACATACATGCTCCTAGATTATATACGTCAGAACACATACGTTACAACGTGTTTATAGCGCATACACTCACGCAATGTTTTCTTTTTAACCCGTTAGTACGAATAGTCTCTATCCTAAAAAATTCTAGTATTTTTACATTTACACTACATTATAAAAATTATTTTTTAAAGTTTATAATTGAAAGCAATAATTAGAAATATATTTAAAAAATTGTTATACTTTTTTAATGGGAACGTTAGTGACAAGAAAAAAAAAATATTTTTTTTTTAAATATAGTTTATTTTCATTAGCCGTGAAAAACTTTGATTACAACAGTAAATATTTACCTAAATGATACAACCAAGATCCGATTATAAAAAAAAATTATAGTAACAAATTTTTATGAAAAAAAAAATTGTTTCATATAAGTATTAAAAGCCCTTATAGTTGTAAACAATTAACTACTATTAATAATATTTTCCGATTTTTTTACATGCTTATTTTTCTATATTTTATAAAAAAAATAGCATGGTATTTTTTTAGAAATACTTCTAACTGACTTAAAGTACAAGTTGAAATACATATTGTGATGAATACATAAACATTTATAAACATATCAATAATCTATAGATGATTTCCTTTCTTTTTATATATAATTATTATATACATTATTTTTATAACAAATACCTAAATGTAATTTAATATAATAAATTACTATATTAAACATATAAAGCTATTTATATCACAGCTGGTAGACCGTTTAAATGGCATTTTCAATAAAATCAATGGAAAAACGTCAGTCGAATGATTTTCCTGATATCATGCATATCTTTGGAAATTATATACCTAAAATATTTCTTTGTAATTTAAACCAATCTACAAATTTTTGCTTGGGAGTTTTTTGTTGCATAAGAACTCTTGCAGCTTTATGAAATTTCTCTTCATTCCTGCGAATATACATGGCAGCATCTTGCTCCAATTGAGCGATTTTTTCTGGTCTTATCTCAACCATTGTTAACATTTCTGTTAAATAAGGATTAAATCTATAATATGCATGATCTGGTAGAAGATCATTAAGCATAATATGTACACCTAAAATAAAAAAAATAGATAGATTTACTAAGATTTAAAAGATATCAATATCAATTATTCCCATACCTTCGGTATCTGTTGCGCTATCCAGAATTTTGTAAAACTTATCCTTCCAGCTGGATGCCGTTGCTTCTTTTTTATTTTCAATAGAATTATTTACATTAAATGGAGTTCTTCCAGTTCCAAATGATACTACACATTGTATAGAATTATTTGGCCACAATTGTTTAGCTTCATGAATAGCAACTGCACAAGGATTGTTGACCATTATACCTAAAAATAAAAATAATTACAATGAATCATACTGAGTTATGAAAATAAACTATGAATTGCAAATTTTATAGGTTCTCACCTCCATCTTGGTGAAGATATCCTCCACACTTAAATTCTTCAAAATAGCTTGGAGCTGCTGCGGATGCTCTAACTGCTTCCCATAATTTGTGTTTGTGAGAGCCCATATATTGACTTTCTACACCAATAGGAATAGTGTAATTTCTAAAAACATAAGCCATTACACGTTCATGATTGACTACTGCTGATATGGCCGAAAACTGAAAAAAGTAATATTATTTTTGTTATTTTTTATGAAATATATGATTAAATATTAACAATTTTTCTTTAAATACAAATACCTTTGGTGCAATCGGATCACGTGTGGTTTCAATTAAATCTTTATTGCCAAGTTGTTCTTTTAACATTTGTTCCCATAATGCTGTGTCATAGTAGGAATGGCTCCAAACTAAACTGCTGGTACCACGTAGTGTGCTCTGTGTAAATATCCTTGTACTCAGTTCCTTATACAATTCAGAAATCTCATTTAAAGACTTTCTTTTATAACCTCCTGCAAAGGTGATTGATTTGCTGTTATAAATATGAAATAATTTGTTAAACCATACAATTCTCTAATGGCCTTTCAGTGATTAGTTCATATAAAAACTATAAGATTATGAAATTAGCCATTAAAAAATTTGTAAATTGGATGATTAAGGAGTATGATTACCTTTTACATCATCTCCATTTATTGCTGCATGAAAAAATGATATTGATATCACGTAATGTCTTGATGTATTTAGATAATATTATGCAGTTAAAATTTAATACATACCTAAGACTGCTGATAAAATAGCTCCTGTGCTCACTCCACAAATGTAATCAAACATTTCATGGACTCTACAGCCTGTTAACTGTTCCAGTTTTTTGAGCATTTCTAAAACTAAAACACCACGAATACCACCACCATCAATAGCTAGAATCCTTATTCCTCGACCAGGTAATGAATCTACATGGCCTAAGACTGCTAAAGCTTCTCGTATGGATCCTAGAAAGTCAAACCATTTGTTTGTACATTCTAATAATTTATTTTATGCTTGTAATGAAACTTTCAATGTCTACCTCTAATTTGTTCATCTTTGGTTGATTCTCGAGTCCTCAGAAGGATTCTAATAGCTCCATCTTTAACAGCATGATGCCTGGCATCAGGATATTGCTCAATGTGTTGCAGTAAATCTTCTATCCTCTTCCATTTTGAAGCATTTGATTCAGCATAGGCTATACTAGTTAAAATATGTCTTGTTCTTGACATAATACTGTTTTTTGTAACACTAGTTTTCAAGTTTGTCTTCCATTTGGGTACTGCAGGTGTCTGTGGTACATCTTTGGTTTTACCAGTTAATTTTGGCATTAAAGCTGACAGTACTTGTGGTAAATAGTAATATGGATCCCTTGAATCTACAGTACTTGACAAATCCTTGACAAATCCAAATTAATGAATTTTAATGATTTTCTTTTTAAATATAACATAAGAAAGGTGTATTTTCAAACTATTACCAATTTAAGTTGCTGTTGTGGAATTGCTTTTTCTTTAACAGGCAATGTAGCAACACTTTGCACAGCTCTATCTTTCTCATCCATGTTTTTCTTTACATTTTGTTCTTGAATCCTTGACTCATCAACCGGATACTTTCTTACAGATGCAATTTGTGCGTACGTTAACTTTTGAAAAAGATCCATCCATTCCTTACTCAATATCAGTTGTAAATTTTTGTCATAGCTATTTTTATTGAAAAATTCTTTGAGTTGACTGAGCAGCTTTAATCTATTGTGTATGGACATCTTAGTTTTATTTAGGATATTTATTGATCCTGTATCAGATAGTTGACTTGCCAATGCATTTGAATTTTCCGCAGCATTTCTGCCTGCAGCACTTTCTGTCAAGGATCTGCAAATGTTAATGAACACAAATGCAAGTTGAAAAGATAATCATTTCAAAACAACTCAGATAGTGAAAGCAAGCTTAATAATTTGATAAGGTTGTACAGCTGTATAGCCAATAAACTATCTCTCTTAACCTCAACACCGTCGGTATAAAGTTTATTCACGGTACCATAATATGATATTAAGAAAGAAAATAAAGAAAAAAATATAAATTAAAAAATTACGTTTTAGATACGTATAGATGCTAAGCACTGGTATTTATCGCCGCCATATTCAAAAGATTGCATATCAATAAACTCTGAATTAGCTGGTATATCAGGTGGCGTATTGAGCGCACGATCTTCTATGTGATATATGGATCGAATTTCAAACGACATCTTAGTCCGAAAATTTTTTTTTTAATATAAGTAATTATTTGCAAGAACTGTTTTCAATTGAAAGAAACTACTTTTTTGTTCATTTTTGAGTAAAAGTTTTTTCGGTAAGCATGAAATTTTCGTTAAAATATTGTCTTGTATTGTATGTATGCATATATACATACCTCGAAAGTGCAACACATCTTCGGCAGTGTCGCACATGTTTGCTTAGAGACATAGCCTGTAGATGTATTTTTGGCTGATCGCTCTATTTGCTCGAGTTAACTTTCTGTACTAATCAGCTCCTCTGATCTATCGAAATTGTAATGTACGTTGAGCTTTTTATATTCTTGCGAATGATGCAATCCTATTCTAAATTGTATTTTCGTTAGCTTTTGTTCCCGTCTTCTCCCCGATCGAGATACGTAACTTCTTTTTCAACTCGACAAGAATACTAAATGAATATTTTTAGTTTTCAGGGTAGTGTGTAAGTTCAGTCTTTCCTTTGTCTACACTTTCGGTACTGATAATACAAATTATAAAAAACACTATACGTAGACAGCTGTACTTTGAAGCTTCTACAATATGGTCTTGTTGCCTATTTAGATAAAAGTCTATAGAGTTGTTCAGATAAAATAAGTTAGTTAAAAAAAACGAACGAAAGTCACTTATAATGCCTTGCTAGAAAAATAAACAGTAAAAAAGGTCGAACGATAAATATCGCCGTAATATGAAAGTGAGAAGTACGTTTGAGTGAGCGTTAATGGTTTACTGAATGTTGTTGAAAGCTTCGCGGCTTTTTATAGACGTTAGAACTTGTACGCTGACGTAGTATAGCGCTTCAGATGTCGCCAGGTCGATCGTACGATGCAGCGGCTTTACTATTTACAACTATTACGCGTGGCGAGCGCTCACCTCACCGAATTGGTATGCTCTGTTTTCTTTCCTGTCTCGAAAAAATTTGCACGTGAGCTTGCTTTGCGTGATCAATCTGTGTGCCGAAGAAAGTGTACGAGTCCCGAATGCTACTTGTCAAAACAAATTTCTGTTTGTGTTTTTCAACTTTTCACCGCGCTCCGCCCATTTTTCTTATTATTCACCTTCTTTATCCGGCTCTTATAGTTTGTTTTCATAAGGGAATTTCGCAATTTTCATGACGCAGTTGTTACTTTGTTATTGTCAATCGGTCGTTCGATTACCATTCCTTTGCAATCACAATGAATTAACTGCAGTGTAACGTTTTAAGATTCTTCCAAATATCATAGTGCAATTTTTTCTTGAAATTTATTCTTTCCAAACTTAAAAATAAACTATGATGGTGCACACAACTGAACACTTATAGTCGTCAATTCTGTTGATTTAATTTTTAAATACTTGAATAATCTAATTGAAATGAGATTGCGAAAAATCATTTTATTTATTCGATGTCTCGAGGATTTGCAAAATAACTTTAGTACTCTCAACCAATATTTTTTCTACAAATAAAATAAACGATAATATAATTGATGACGTAAGTTTTGGCTGCACTATAATTTTTGTTATACTCATTAATTTACATTTCCTATTTTAGCTTGACGAGTTTATTCGGCTCATTTTATCAAAACTACGTATCAACTGATAATAGTTACTGCCACTCTTCGTCATGCAATATTTACATTTTTTTGAAGATAGTATAAGATAATATAGAAAGTATTAACACTTCAGAAGACAATTTCTTTATTTTCCAATCGGATTAGAATATCCATATTGGATATATAAAAACAACATTTGTTCTGACAAATGAGCTATATTATAAGTATAATAACTTTTAACTTTTGATAGTACTGTACTACGTTTTTTGATAACCATTTACCAGTACGTCAAGTTCGAACAAAATAACTTGTCATTGTTAAGAAAATAAAATACATAATCTTTTACATTATTTTCTTTTTTTTACAATTAAATTGTTTGAATGGTGCCTAATTCGAATTGATCGCGCTTGAATAAATTGTCAGTTTACTTATAACTTCAGTCGAAAATCAAATATGAGACAGTGATCTTTTTACAAATAGGTTATCATCGTTTTGTACTCAAAGCGGGTAAGCTTTGGCAGCTATATAGTGTTAATAGTGGCGTGAAAAATGAAAGGAGGGGGGGGGGGTGCTAGAAATCGAAAGTTTTCAACAAGAAATGTTTACAAGTACTGTTTTCAGGGTCGTACTTTCAGCGAGTACAGCGAGTCAAGTTCAAGACTAATAAATGTCGCTAGAGACCCCAAGATCGAGTGCCGGACTCACCACCCCGCGCACATTTGAGGAAGTATTCTCTGATTACGATAATTTTCAGGAGTTGCTGGATGAAACCGAAAAATGTATCGACGAACAAGAGGTACGCACTGAGAATGTTTTAAACAAGCATCGATGTATAACCTTATAAACGAACGTTTTTTATTATAGGAATTGTGGTCTTGCTCAAGCTCTTCCAGCCATTTGTTGAATAACGATGATGTCAAGTTGAATGTAACTGAAAATTTCTATTGTAACAAATATTTCAGTGTAACAGATATATGAACTCTGATAATGTCGCCGTTACAATGCTATAGGCAATAGTATCGCGATTGGTCAATGCATGTTTCGACTACAACAAATGCGAGAGCGAAAATTTGGACAAGCTTTCTCTCTTAGAGATTAAATTTACCGAAGAATTGATGGCCAGGCATCGACAAATGTCAAGTCGCGTATAGCTAATTAAACTCTATATTAGCCCGACCAAATAACGGATGTTCATAAAAATTCCAGGCAACTGATGATCGAGTACGAGAAAAAGATACGAGATTGGTTTTCCGAAAAAAACGTTTTGATCGAAAGGCTGAAGCGCGAAAAATACAATGCCGATATCGATAAGATGAGGCTGTCGGAGAAACTGGAAACAGTATCAAAACATTTGCTGAGTCTGGAAGACGCCTTCAACGACGTGCATAAGTATAAGCTTTTTGCAATTGATGTTACATAAGACCCACAGGAAACTTTGAAAAAAAAAGACTTTTCTTAGGAAGTATGAACGTGCAAAAGTTACTATAGAGCTTTTGAATCGCAACACGGAGATTTTGAAAAGTAGCATGCACGATCACGAAGAGTGCATGCAGCAAAAACAGCAACAATTTGATCGGTTGAAGGATCACGCCGTGGAAAGACTTAACCAGTGAGTATGTTGCAAGCAAAGTTTTATGGAACGAGAGCAAAATGTTAATCAAATAGAGGAATCAATGGATTAATGGCCGGGGAACTAATAATGGAGGCGAAAAGGGAGGGCTGATAATGAAATATAAACCTCGTTAAAGAAAGCGATTTCCCCAATGAAAGAGGGGCGTCGATTACAAATCAATGTTGCCTTCGCCCGGTTTCAGAGCCAACGTTCAGCTCGACCTGGCCGAGAAAAGTTTCGCCTCCGAGCGCTCGTCTCTGCTCGAAGCTTTGAAAAACAGTGAAATTCAAGCTCGGCAACTCAGCGGTCAGCTGGAGCAGAAAGATCGAGAGAACGCCGAACTGTTCAGGTTTACGCTCTTTCCTCTGCAGATCAATCGAACTTTGCTCTTGTACAATTCCACGACTGCTCCTTTTCAACAGAATCTGCGACTTCCTTTTGCAAACTTTCAAGGAGCCGAAGAACTATTCTTCCGACGACTTGATTCAGTCCAATGTGACCAAGTGGTTAAACGATACGCGTACGGTTTCCAATGTGGACGACGTGCGAAAAGTGGAGTAAATTTTTTTAGCAAACAGTCTGGTGAATGAAATTGGTTTTATGTCGATCACAACTGCTAGAAGCATGATAGCATGAGCATCGTTATCGAGCCCAACGGAACAATAAGATGAAATTGTCGCAACGCAGTAAAGTCGACAAATTGGCAAAGCGAACAATTTGATTTGCGGACCGACCGGCAAACAAGTCGATCTTCTAGACTAATACGATGTTTGCACTCGCGCTATGACGACGCGGAGCGAGATTGCCGAATGGGGCGAGAGGGAGGGAGGGTAGGCGCACGCACGTGTAGTATTCAGCCGAAGAACTCGAGACATGACGTAACTCTGATTCGACAAATAATCGCGCAGAAATCACAGGCCAATTGCGCGTGACGCAAGTAGACTTTGGCTCGGTCAGTGGCATGCTAGGTACACGCACGACACAGTTGTATCGTAGCTTAGCATAGTAAACAAAGCTAAGACGCAGGAGCGCCGCTCGAGAAAGCGATTGGACAGAGGCTCGTTGCTTGCCGCACCGATTGGCTCGGACGGAGGCTCGTCCGAGTCAGACCACTTGGGAATGTCGACAACAGCTGTTCGCGGAATCGCAGCCGCCTATCGGTCTATCAGTTTGTACTCGTATTGCCAATTGCCAACGCCTGGACCTGCGTCTCTTGACTTCACTGGCCTACCACCTCACCGCATTTCTTTGTTTTCCCTGCCAGCTTTTGAATTCAAACTTTCATATAACTTACTTTTGCAAAAGAACAGCGTTGCCGAAACAATGCCAGCAGGCTGTTGTACATTATGCTATGCAGACGAAAACTACACTGAAAAGAAATCTTTTTATCAGCAGAAATTTGTCTCTTATTACAAGTCTTTTTCTTACTCTAAGCAATATTATCTGGTTAAAAAGAAGACTGTGGAAGGTATTTTCAGAGCTACGACAAAACTCCAAATCGTTATTTATTCGATGTAATACTGTAGCACTCCATAAGCTGAATTTAAATCTGATAGCAATGACATCGATACTGCCGACCACATTTCAAAATTACGCTATTCTTCAACATTATTTTTTCAGTATACATATAGAAAAATAAAGTTGCTTGCAATTATTGCTGATTTTTATTAGACTTCTGCAAACGCTCTGCTCAGCTCAACTTCCAATTCGTGACACCTTGAATCTCGAATTTTTGGGGACCCCAAGTCAGCTTCAACTATCAAGTTGACATTTTTATTGTTTATTAGTATATTCAAATTGAATATATTAATATTTAGATTGAATATTAGTATGTTCAATCTGAAACTACTATAAAATTCAGCGGTTTTTAATTTTTTTTCTTAAGAAATCAAGCTCAGCAGGCTTAAAAAACTCCCTAGTTTGAATTGTTCGAATTTTTCAAAAAGCCTATACATAATTTTATAAAAATTTTTCGAGCTTCGAAAATTGAGTCATGACAAGACTGAGATCTAATTTTATTAGATCCATTAAAAAATATTCTTTGTAGACTTATAGAAAACTTTGGGAATTCCAAGCAGCTCAAATGTTCAAACTCTAGAGCGTCCCGATTTTTTCAAAATTAGTTAGCTTTTTCAAAAGTTTTTATTATTGCATGTATATACCTACTCCTAATTGTAACGAGTAGCAGTTTATAAAACCATTTAAGCAGATTAAGTTCTTGAATATTTCGTAAAAATTGTAAATGTTGTCATAAATTTACGTGGGTTTCACGCAATAAGATAATTCGCATTTGAAAATCTCAAAAAGCTCTGTCATATCCTTTGTTCTAATTACAATTTAATTAAAGTATTTAAAATTTGTCGATGTAAAAAGTATTTGACTATACAATAGAATAAATGGTATTTATTTGAAAAATGTGAAGAAGGCATTATATTAATTATAACAATTAATTGTTCAGTTTTTTTGTCAGCACAGTATGAAAACTAAGCAATATTTATGCGTAAATATTGTATAGGTGCTTGCTTATAAACACAATATCACATCTAAATTACAACCCCCTATAAATGTATAGATGCGTAGCACGTAGAAATGGGGGCAATGAGTTGTAGCTTATAACGCAGATTTATTGCCCAAGCTATCTGGTTTAGGACGATTTTCGTAGTCGAAAATATATGGAATACGTGTACAAGTAATTCGACGTGCAGAAAAAATATTTGATTCTTCAGTAGGTTCAATAATTCAGGTGATTTCGATAAGGCTTAGTGCTAGCATAGCTCAAAGTTACGTTTGAACATCAGCCTACTCCAACTAACTCGTAGGTGGATCGCTTAGATACGTGTGTAGCAACAATCTTGAATTGCTTAATTGCCAAGATCGAATAAAGATCCAATTTTTTACCGGCAATTAGAGGTGCAAATCCTTGTTGGATCTAAATTGGTCGGACAATCTCAATTTACTTTATGCTTAATTATAAATGTTAAACAACAATCCAATAGTTGTTAATGTAATGATTGATTTGCAAAATTTTTTATGAAAAAACTAGAGCAAGGAATTATTTTGAAATATTTGGTAAAGCTGTAGCCGACACGGATATCGTTATATAAATATGCGTTAAAAACGAGATCATTTACTCCATGATCATATTCTTTCATGAAGCAAAATAATCGACATTCGCATACTCATACAAACACTTTTGATATTTAATTTATACTCAAGCAGTTCTGGACATTGGCAACTGTTTTATGAGAAGAAAATAAAAGAGGGCACGAATAAATATAACGATCAAACTCAAGTTATAAAATCAATAACAAATAGAATGCGTATTCACATTTGTTTTATTTACATTGACGATAGCTGGATTGATTATTCAATTAACAGTTTTTTTGCAGATATAAAATCGTTGCAATCTATATATCAAAAGGTATTTCGCAAATGCATAGGATTAATTCACCTGTTTTCAGCATGTATTTCTGTATATATAGATATGAGGTGGGCTTAAAAGATTCCTAGATATAAAAAGATACATATAATATTTGATAAACAACCTACTTCACGCTATGATAAATTTTATTCACTTATGTGTGCAGAAAGACCTCTACAAAATTATCTCTAATTCAGCACTATAGTGAAAACTAAATTGTTAACTTGTTTGGAAGCATATGAAATACTAAAAAATCTGAAACAACACTGGCTATTTTGATAATTTGAAGATAATTTATATAATCAAACTAAAACTTATCTTTAAAAATTGTTCGATCACTTCCAAAATTCCCACGTGTATTTACTTTTAATAAATTACTTCTATATTCGTAATAAAACATTTGTACGTCAATTATAGATCGCATTTTTTCATGTCTGCCTTACACACCGTGAAAACTTGAAAAGCTCAATGTCATTTTGTTTAAAATAGTGTTATTTAGTTATCTTTTTTTTATGTTTTTCTGTTATATATTTTAAGATGCATTATTAAAAAGATTAATTCGATCTACGATTGATAAAGCTATTATACCATTATACAACACTAAACTTGACATACTCTATAGTAGTGATTATGGCTCCAACCGAATATTAGTACGAGTAATATATTCAACTTCGTGTGCTTTTTGTTGCCTCTGTGAAAATACACATGAATATTCTTGAAATTTAACTGGGTTAATATTCTGATAATTATTTTCCGTTGTTCGCACACTTCTTAATTTATAATGCACAAAAAGTAAAAATGTGTTCTCCTCTATTTTATTCTATTCATTTTCTTTCTCTTTCTACCAAATTTTCATACCGCAATATTCAGTATCACTTGTGGGTAGTATAAAATTAGCCGTTTGCACCGATAATCTTAAAACATAACAATTTATGTTCTCAAAACAAATTATTAACGGCATGTTTCCATTTTTGCAGATTATTATTTATGTTATAAATTAAATTTACTGCTAAAATATAAATCCCACATTCCTAGATATATAATAAAAATATTTCAAAGTATACGAAAATTAAAAATTAAAAAATCGGCGACTCGTCATTATTTTAAGTTAAAAAAAGTAAAATAAAAATAAAAAATAGGAGAAGGAGAATGGAATATAGAAGAATTGAACGTTGAGATAAAATATCGTGCACTGAAAGAATGATTATACGCTAAGCATTCATTTTGAAAGAGAGCGTCAGTTTTATTTTCCTTGCTTAACTTCCAAAGTAGCACATGAAACTCAAGCGAAACTTGCGAAATATTCAGGAATTTGGTCTCCAGCAATAAAAGAGACAAGGAGAGAGAAAAAGAGAGAGAATCGGCTGAATAAGCATGAGGTAAAGAATAGTTGGATAGGTGTGCGTGTGGAGATGCACATACTGTGAAGGGACAAAACGAAGCTGCGGACGAATTAAGCTTAATGCAAAGCTGAAGGGCAGGCGCGCCGCGACGCCCGGAAATCAAAGGTCCGCGATACGCGTGCGCGCGGGCTCGTGACGAACGGCGCCACGGATACAAAAAAGGGAGGCTGCAAAGGACCAGGCAGTCGGTGGCTTTCACTCGGTGATGATGCGACTGAACTCCTGACATCACAGTGCAGCGCTCGGACGATGAGCCTTCGCCGCCAACAGATCAGGCTTAGGGCCGCAGCCGCTTACAATTCGGCGCCGCACTCTCTCACCTGGCTTATCCTCCTCGCTAGAGCCTTCCTCGGCAACCTCGACCGTGCCGCTGCGATCAGCGCCGCATCTGGTAATACGCACCCTTTTTCCGTCGGCATTCGTTGCCGAAGCAAACTACTCGTGGGTGCGTGCTTTTTGCTGTCTTCTCTGTATCGTCTCGTGCGTCAACGACTCTGCCCTCCATACATATTCAAATTTTGATTTGTCTCACCTTATGCCCTTCAAATCTCAATTTCAATATCTTTACTGACGCTTCGTTTTGACACAGAGCACGTTTGCCCTATGTTCTTATGCATCTACTTACCCTGTATCGTCCTCACTTCATTTGTATTTCCGTTACATCTCGTTACACGTGCACTTACATTTCTATTGTGACACTTGTATCTTTTTCGTCTTATATAATATGTCTATGTGAAAATCAATTATGAAACATTGCATTGTAAAAAGATGAAGACACAACGATTGACTTGCTTTACAGAAAAAATGTCGATTCTCTTACGAAAAATGTTTCATTATTGGACAGGTACAGGAAGTTGAAGACTTTTAACTAATCGCGAGTGCCTCAATATGTACGCAAATAAAAATATCACGCACAATTTTTTTTAATTTCCAGGTTTAAATTGGTTCATTATGTAAATTTTATTAATTTTTTAATATCGGTTCTTTATCTATTTTTTGTAATTTCATTCGTAAATCTAGAAATCAATTGTTTTTTTAACAAGACTGCAGTCAGTTAATTGTTATTATAATGAATTTTATATAACGCAGACAAGTGGTCGTTGGACGTTACCAAGCATGTGCTTACTGTGATTGGATGTTTGGAGCTGCAATAATATTGAAGCTAAGACGACAATGAAATGCGATCGCATACGGAAAATGTGCAATGAAAAGAGGATTGAAACGTATAGACTACCGTAATGACAATTTCCAGGTGGTTGATATTCAGCCTGAAGAATGATGAGGAATAGAAGCGAGAACGATGAAGGGAAACAGAAAGAGAGAAGAGAAACGAAACGTGGGAAGCGTGAAAGTGAGATATGACAAGCCGTTGCTGTGTGGAGAAAACAAGCGTGTTCGTGTCATTCTATAAAATTATCGAGTCTATTTCGCTTGCCTATGCCCTCTGCTCTCTCTCTCTCACTTTCTCTATCTCTCTCTCTCCTCTCTTTCGCTCTTTGTCTGACTTCTCGTTGACTCTTTCTACTACAGTTGCCCTTCTGGACGCGTGCGAGCGCCATTATACGCATTATGCGTCGATCAACTATGCAATGGAACAATCGTCTTTGTAGAAATCAGCTTTTATTCCAGCCATTATTTTCCGATCATTGTTGTATGCGGCCTACATAATGAGAAGATCACCCGTGGTAATTCAAGTTTGAAGGTCATGCATGGCAAAGGAATGAAACTTGGATTAGTGTTGCCCCGAAGCTTACCTGTGTATAACTTTTTTTTTATTAAAAAAGTCGGACTCTTCAAAGCGAAGGATAGTCTGTTTGAAACCGTCCCCGCTCGACTTTCATTAGCCGAGATTTTGAAATTGCTGGCGTTTTTTCACGACTAGCACTTGTAGCACCGTTCAAAGTGCGCTTGCTTATCATCAATAGGCAATTTTATAAGTTGCATCACCGAAATTAATTTATTGCAGCCGAGGTATCATTTATTCGGATTTCTCTTCAAACGGAAAAAATATGAAGCTTGAGTGAATTACGAAACTCAATATTTATTGACATTATATGTTGCTACCTGCAAACATAATCAGTCTACTCGAAAGTATTAATTTTATTAATTTTGTTTATGTTACATCATTGAACGCAGATGGTTAATCGGTTTTTGTACGACTTTTTAAATGAAATGCCTGTAATGGATGAAATGTAAATGAGTGTTGCATGCGCGTTGCTACAAAATGTTATTTTGGTCGCACAAATGCATACGATGATGCACGTGGCTTGAGCGAGCGGCATAATGAATTCACGCACGTGCTTGATATACAAATTTGAGTACTAAAAGCCATGGAATTGGCTGTGAATGCGGCTCGTTGCGTAGCCAAGGACATGTCGGTAATGAGGGTATACAACGTCGGAGTGCTGATGGCGTCTCACTTGGACAGTCCCTTCGATCTGGAACGTTGCGGCCCAGCTGTGGATCTGGCTTTAACCGAAGTCAATGAATTCCTCTCCGTTCATAATGTTCAGTTGAGAAAAGTTCAAGGAAGGTAAGCCCGTTTCTCCAAATATTCGATGCCTAGTCTATAATTCAAGTCGTGCTCAACGTGTAATCAAACAGGAGGAACATCCTTCATCAAGGTCACTCTATCCAGTATTTTACGACAGTGTCATTATTGTCTCTCCCCATTGTTAATGGGCGTTCGCTGTCGATCGATTATTCGAAGAAATTCGTTAATTTGACAAGAAATCGGTGAGATTTTGTAGCGCAAATCCAATCCATTAGATTTGTCTTTGCGACGAAAAATTAGTAGAACCACGCGAAGCCCAGTGCTGGCATAATCCTCAAGACTGAATCGAAATTCTAGCCACGCGATTGGAATTTATTTGAAAAGAGGGTTACTTGGCACAATTATGCCAAACGCTGCCAAATCAAATCACTCATGGGCTAGCTATTCCGCACTACAATTTCATCCCTTACTGCGCTCTTTCCATGATAAACTCACTCGTTGATTAATTGCATAAAACGCAGATGTCCCTTGATTTATTTATGCACTACATTCACATTATTATGAACTTTCTTTGTCACACTAAGATGGCACTCGCGTACATTTTCAAGTAGAGTATCGCAAGAAAATCGAACCAAACTGATAGATGAACGTGCAATTGAGAAAAGAAGGTCCATACGATGATCGTTTGCGAAGCATTCTATATCGCTTTCTTTACTGCTATTATAAGGCTTTAGGCGCGCTACACTCAAAGCACTTTTATTGTCGCATTAACGAAGCAAGTGAGCATAGGGGAATAAGACTGAACGTATATTCAGAAGATTGTCGTATATTGTAGTAGAGTAGGCTACATTTCTCGAAATAATGAACTAACAACTAAAGGGATTACCGTAGCGCAAGCGATGTTTTTATTCAATGGAATAATAAGATATTCATACTGTAGATTTGATGGGGAATAACGCGCACAAGACATCGGTCTATTCCCCACGTGATGATCTGATTTGAAATTGAAATGTCGCAATGCGAAACTGGATTGAAATGCGTTGACGCTTCCGCTAGTGCGAGCGACTTGGGCATTAACATTTTCAAGCAAATGCATACGTTCAGAGGATATGCCCTTTGAGAAAAGCAAAATCTTGATCCGGAAATAGTGGATCGCTATGTCGATTGCGAAGAGGCTTTTGCGAGATTTACTAACTAGTGCTTGGATCTACTAACTAGACCAAAATGAGCGCTATAGGAATAGCTTATGGATATAAATTATACACAAGGTTGTTGGGTTATTAGGTTATTATAGTGAATTGAGAAGAGCGGATAAAACGGTACACGCGCGGTTCAACGCGACGGTGCATCCGAGTGGCGTATAGCTGTTTAGCGTTTGGACTTGGTGACAATGGCAAACAAAGCTGCTGCCAGGTTGATTCGAGCAGAAGTTGATGAAGCAGAGGCATCGGCCAAGAGACTATCTTCCTTTCACACCAAAGTCTGGCCGAGGGTCGAGAAATCGAGCACAATAGCGCAGACAATGGGGCACTAATTGGCGCGGCGCTGCGAGGCGGAAGTTGACACGCGCATACTACGCATTTGCGTGTCAACTCGATGATTTCTACGCGTTGCCATCGCAACGCCCGCTGGCCGGCTATAATTTTGTAAATTCAGCTCCAATTAGCTGTGAAAAATGCTCTCGAAAAAGAAAGGCAGGCAGGTATACGGCACGCACGCTCTGAAACGACCTCGTTACAGTCCGCTCGCGCACTCGCATCTACGCGGCTCGCGCGATTCCCGTCCGTGCCCGAGCTGCTAATCCGCGCAATCGCATATTGCCGCGGTAGGTCGGCCAGTCGGATAAAGATACCGCCGACCCAACGAGAGATCTGTTTGTAAAGGCCTCGAATCCCAGCTGCCAACGAGAAGGGAGAAGGAAACGATGGCGCGAACGAAGCTATACGGCCGGGTAGCGCGCGTCCTCGTCTAGCTCTTTCAAAGCTCCTTCGAGCATGACTCGCGTGCGCGTTGATTACCGCGGCCGACTTTGATTTGGTCCGGCCCTTGCGGCCTATTCGGCTGTTTGTCTATGCCTATTCCAACAACGACTAACGACTAACTCGTTTCTTCGTCCGAGCATGCTTCGCCAGTTTTATGCTTCGCACGCCACACACCTCTACTTCTGCGCGCTACGTACTCGCGGTCTACGGCCGATCTTTTGTCGCAATTTCACTGGCGATTAATCAGTTCGGCTGCCTAAGATGGACGCTTGGGATTGCAGCTATCCACACTGCAGCGGTGCAACGGCCCCGGGACTCTCGGCGGACATGCACTTTCGCGACAATGCGATCGCGTTCATCGGGCCGGCGTGCGCGTTCGCTCTCGAACCGGTGGCCCGGCTGGCCGCCTACTGGAACACCCCCATAATCACCGGCATGGGCGATCAGGCACGTACAAATCTCTCATTCCGTCCTTTTATTTTCCGAGACAGCTCCTCTCCGACTTTTCAGCTTTTCACGCATCGCTCAAAGCCAGCTCAGACTTGGATCTCCCTTAATTTCTATTTCTCTGAACAATTCAGTCGAGTTGGTCCTGCACCTCGTCTTCTAGCTTATCTCTTCAATTATTAATAACGCTTACATTTGTTAGCCACCATCCGAAGGTGAATTGTCGGTCACATCAGGAATCTTGGGAAGATTACACAAATGGAAAAACGAGTCATCGGTACGTAAAATGAGTTTTCTCCTTCTCTCTCTGACACGTGTAAGATCAGTGCTAGTGTCGCCTTAGCTTATTTTTTTCCTTACTGAGCTTTTTAATCGGCAAGTGCGCTTTCCAATGACGCATAATTTATGAATTATTACGACGAATTATCGTCTGGAAGGCGCGCCTTACTAAAGGGACGTTATGGATTGTTCTTTGGATTTAAAATGGCACCATGCGTTCCCTCTGAGCATTAGTTGACTAGGATGGCAACGTTACACGAAACAAAGGACTCGAGGAGAGGCGTGACGAAAAAAATTGACCGCAGGGTATATTCAAGGACAAGAGCAAGTACCCGACCCTGACGAGAATGTCGTATTGCCAGTGCCGCTTGAAGCTGGTGTTCTCGAGCATATTCAAAGAATTCGGCTGGTCGCACGTCGCTCTCATCCTCGACAGATCGGATTTGTTCTCGCTGACCGTCGGCAAGAACTTGGAATACGGCCTGAGGAAGAAGGGCCTGCTGAAGTTCGTTCGCGAGCTCGACGGCAACTCCGAGGAGGAGCCGTACCACTTCTACCTAAGGGACGCCAGTATGTACGCTCGAGGTGAGTGGTGCCGTGAGTGGACTCGAGGCCGATGACAGGCGGCCAGGCTAGCTGACCCAGTGCTCGTTCGGACAGTGGTGATCCTGAGCGTGCGCGGCACGCTCGTCAGGAGATTCATGTTGGCGGCCCACCGCTTGGACATGACGAGGGGCGACTGGACCTTCCTCGACGTGGAGATCTTCCAGGTGGGTGGCGGCGGCACGGCTGGCGCGGCGTGCGAGTGACGGACGTGGTCGGTGAACGCAGGGCTCGTACTGGGGCGACCACGACTGGGAGATGGGCGACGAGGAGGATGGGGCCGCGCGCAAGGCCTACGAGGCGCTGTTGCGAGTATCGCTGCTGCAGCCGACGAGTCCGCGCTTCCAGGACTTCGCCGAGAGCGTGCGCCAGCGCGCCCAGTCCGACTACAACTACACGTTCTCCGACGGCGAGGAGGTCAACTTCTTCGTGGGGGCCTTCTACGACGGCGTCTACTTGCTGGGCATGGCCCTGAACGAGACGCTCGCCGAGGGCGGCGACATCAGCGACGGCATGGCCATCACGCGACGCATGTGGGACCGGCACTTCATCGGCATCACGGGCCACGTGAGGATCGACGACAACGGCGACCGCGACGCCGACTACAGCATCCTCGACCTGGACCCCATCACCGGCAAGTGAGTGCGCAAGCCGCGCAGTCCGCCCGCGCGGCCTCCACTGACTCCGCGCTCCGCCGACACCCCGGCAGGTTCGAGGTGGTGGCGCACTACCTGGGCCTCAACCGCCAGTACAGCCCGGTGGCGGGCAAGCGCATCCACTGGCCGGGCGGCCGCGAGGGCCCGCCGCCAGACGTGCCCGAGTGCGGCTTCCTCGGCGACGAGCCCGGCTGCTCGTCCGGCACCGAGGCCTACACCTACGTCGCCTACTCGAGTCTCGGTCTGGCCGTGCTCCTGCTCGCCGCCGCCGGCGCCGCCGCCTGCCTGCTCTACAGGTGCCGCGCGCGCGCTTCGGACGCCCAGCCGCCACGCTCACCGTCGCTCTCTCCGTTTGCCCTGTCGCAGGCGCATGCGGCTCTCGGCCGACCTGAACAACATGACGTGGCGGATAAGGCCCGAGGAGCTGCTGCTGGAGGTCAGTCGGCCCTTCTCCTCCAAGATGAACCTCGAGCAGGCGCTCACGGAAGTGGTAAACAGCGCGTTCCTTTCCATTTTCGCGCGCGCGCTCGCTCTCTCTCTCTCTCTCTCTCTCTCTCTCTCTCTCTCTGCTCGCAGAACTTCGGACTGGAGCAGCGACTGCGCCGCGGCTCTCAGGCCAGCTGCGAGTCTCTGCCGCCGACCACGGTTTTCACCACCGTCGGCATTTACAAAGGCGAACGAGTGGCCATCAAGAAGATCACCAAGAAGAAGGTCGTCGACGTCACCAAGAAGCTTCTGTGGGAAATCAAGCAAGTTCGAGACGTCACGTCCGAGAACACCGTCAGGTAATTCGCAACGGACGCGAGCGTGCCAATGCAATTATGCAATGGGATGGTAAAGCACAGTTTGCGTTGAACGCGCAGATTTATCGGCGCCTGTCTCTGTTCGCCATCCCCAACTGTCCTCATACTCACGGAGTACTGCCCGAAGGGCTCGCTCAAGGATGTTTTGGAAAATGAGGCTATCAAGCTCGACTGGAATTTTCGAATGTCCCTGATTCACGACATTGCCAAGGTGGCTCTCGAACGCATCTACGTCGACGCAGTCTTATATATGCGCTGTCAATTAACTGCTCTGTCCGCCGTTAACAGGGAATGGCATACCTACACGCCAGCGAAGTCTCGGCGCACGGCAAATTGCGATCTTGCAATTGTCTCATTGACGGACGTTTCGTTCTAAAAATCTCGGATTTCGGGCTGAAAACGCTTACCACCCCTTCCGACTTGATCATAGATGAAGCCTATTACACAAGTATGATTATGCACTTTCATTTGTATCATTTTATTTAGCATTAAGGTACTTTTAAATTAACTTTTATGGAATTTTATCCAAGAGCTGCTGTGGGTGGCCCCGGAATTGATTCCCCTGACGGTGACTCCTGGCAGTGTCGCCACGCAAAAAGGAGACGTTTATAGTTTCGCTATTATTTTGGAAGAAATTGTAATTCGTGGCGGACCTTACGAAATGGCAAGAACCTATATGACTTGTCAAGAAGTACGTCGATATTTCACCTTACCGGCGCATAACAATTTTTTTTCATAGTAATTGCCTTACAAACACTATAGCTAGCTTCTTACGCAGCACCAGTCAGGTTTATTTACGACATAATTTCATTACACCAAACTCATTTAAATTGAAAGCATGCAAATCAATAGCGTAAAACCATTCTGTATATAATGGCTGGTTTCTTTTTCTTAGATAGTCAATAGAGTCGCTGCCTCGGAATTCCAACCTTTTCGCCCTGAAGTAACGCAAAAAGACTGTCCAGCCGATATTATATCACTAATGGAAAAATGTTGGCACGAAGTACCTGAAGAGAGACCTACTTTTCACGCTATTAGAGGAACTATACGAGGAATCATGAAGTGCGTATTGTTTTATTTGCGTGCAATTACAAATCGATTGTTCGAACAGCTACAGTTGGATATTTGTCGAATGAAATGTTTGTATTCCAATTATTAACCAGTATTGAATTTTCAGAGGCTATTGTGAAAATTTAATGGACGATTTACTGAGAAGAATGGAGCAATATGCGAATAATTTAGAGGCTCTGGTCGAAGAAAAAACCGAGCAGTTAAGTTTGGAGAAGCGTAGGAGCGAGGAATTGCTGTATCAAGTACTGCCACGGTAATGTTTCTACAAGACTTGCTTGCGTCTAATGTTCGACAAAATTGGATTGAGAAAGAGACGAAGGGTGATTTGTTACAGCCAAGTGGCTTGTCAATTAATGGCAGGGGAGATGGTACAACCGGAGCAATTCGAATGCGTGACCATTTATTTTAGCGACATCGTGGGCTTCACAGCACTCTGCGCAAATAGCACGCCGATGGAGGTAGTGGATTTTTTGAACGACCTGTACAGCACCTTCGACCGGATCATCGGATTCTATGACGTTTACAAGGTAAACGATCCTCAGGGTTACGCGTGAGTTAGCAGTGCGCGATTCCTTGATAAAAACGAGACTTGGTTGTCCGAGGAAAGGTCGAGACGATTGGAGATGCATACATGGTGGTATCTGGTTTGCCGGAGCGGAACGGCGATGAACATGTCAAAGAGATCGCTCTGATGGCACTGGCCATTCTCGATGCAGTCAAGTCTTTCACGATAATGCACAAGCAGGACGCGCAACTGAGCGTGAGGATCGGCGTGCACAGTGGACCCGTGTGCGCGGGTGTCGTCGGCCAGAAGATGCCTCACTACTGTCTATTCGGCGACACTGTCAATACGGCATCAAGGATGGAATCATCCGGCCTACGTATGTTCGCGATCACTTCTGCCTTTTAAAATTATTGCTCTCTTTTACATTTCAATCTTGAACTTTATATTGAAACTTAATTCATGCATAATGTCGCAGAATAACATCTAGAACAGAAACCTAAGCATAATACAAATGAGATAAACTAAGAATATTTGCTAAAAGCTGAAAGCACATTCAATAACTTATTTAGGCACTATCTATAAATGTATCCTGAACATTTATTAATGATCTCCTTTTATAACAAAAAATGAAAGACTAACGTTTTTATGTATATTGCAGCCTTAAAAATCCACGTGTCACAGGCGACAAAGGATATTCTAGACACGGTTTACGGCACATTTGATCTCGAACTGAGAGGTGAGGTCGAATTGAAAGGTAAAGGAAAAGTGACGACATTCTGGCTGACTGGCTGCTCCGAGCCCGACCCACGTCCACCATCCTCAAAACACCTCAGTACAAGCTTGATCGATAACAACACTACCCTCAATCCACTGATATTTCCTCCGAATAATGTTAATGGACCAAAGCCAACTAACAATACTTTTATCAATTTATCAGAGTTATAAATCAAGTCTATATTTCTCATGATCAATGTACAAATAAAAATTGATGCCCTCGATCACCTTTCGATTACGCATTCCTAAAATGCATAGCATTACGTTAATTTTACGGCATTTCAACAACAAGAAGGTATGCGCAATAAATAGCAAGACATTTTTTCCAGGACAGTTATTTTATTTTATTCTAAATATTTCCATATAATACTTAATATTATAATTTTTGTTTTTCTTAATTATTTATTTTTTGATAATTCAACCGTAGTCATAGCTTAGCTAAAAACAAGTATTCAATTTATTTACATGGACAGAAGCATAAAAATTAGTCTTAAAATATTTCGTGGAAATAAGCCATTTATATTACTAGTTGAGTTTAAAATTACATAAAAAACAATATTTTTAATAAAATCATAACTTCTTATAATGCTTAATTATAAAACTTTTAATTGCAATCTATTAAAACAATTCCGCTGTAGTCCAATACACATTTTTCCAATAAATTCATTGGATAATATTGAAAACCTACTTTAAAATAGTCGTGTTTTTGATAATTGATTAACAGCACGGTGCACAAAATTCTCAGCATTAGCAATGAAAAATGTAGAACGCGACTAAAATGTATTTTTGAGAAGTTACAGACTAATCTGACTATTACTGACAATATGTAAATAATAATTCAATTATTTATATTAGCAAACATTAACGTCATTAAAGGTAAAGCAATTTACTCATCAAAGGTTTCTTTAAAGCTATTGCGATCTTAAATGATTTATTATACATTGTTGAACTCGTTACTTGGGAGCTAAAAACATGATTATCCTGAAACGTAAATAAAGTATGTTAAATGTTATTGAATGTAACAAATGGGTATTTATACTTATATGTGTTAAAATTACCGAAAATTGATAGATTTTGCAGCAAGTAATCTATTGCACTCAGCTGTGTCTGGTAAGGGTAATGGTAAGTAGGGACTCTCATTTTCTTGGTCTGTGAAGTCGAATTTATGGATTCTGGGATTGATTTTCATGTCACCGAAGGGTCCTTTTAGAATAAGATAATGGAGAGGTAGGGGACAAGTAGTTTTTGTCTTGAGTATCAACTGAAAAGTAGAAGCGAAATTTGAAAATAATATTGGCGGAGTATAGAGAATCAGCTGAAAATGTAAAATACGTAAGCAGACGTACCTGATAAGTCATATCACGCTCGGAGCTTTGTGTAGGATCTCGTTGGCTGTTATTTATTCTTGCGGTAACAACCCATTGCATATTAAATGCTGAGAAACGAGAGGTTTCGTAAAATAATTTGTGCACAAATTCATCGGTACGATATGGCTTCAACTGGAGATCTGGAAATAATCATTTGAGATTGCAACTGTTTGAAATAGCAAATATGAGAAGTAGAGATATGTGAAACGTACCATTGAAAGTGATTTTTTCAAATGAGAGAAGATCAAAGATACTATCATAAAGTTTGCGTTCCTCTGAATTTTTTGTATCCATGTCGTGCAAAGCCTCCATGACATCAGCTCCTGAGCGATTAGGATGAACGCACTGAGTTTCGTGTTCTGGCCGTTCATGATTGGGTCCTCGCCACGGGCATCCAATTCTGCTGTACTTGCAACTGGATATTCTGCGAAAGCATGAGGATGGCAGTGAGTTTGTATCTGTTGTATGGGGAAAAGGGGAAAAGGAGCATACCTTTCCTCGCACATGACCTCTTCGTGGCGTTCCAATGAGTTTCGAGCAAACTCTTTTGCGCAGTATTGGCATTCGGCAGGTAACTCGGAGACTGCTTTCTCGACAGCGAGATTTCGAGAAGCAGAAGTCTTGCTGATTTCGATTCTGCAGTTGGGGCAGGTCGCCTGCTCATCTCGCAGCCTGGCATCGGCCAGGACGTGAGTGAAGCAGCCGGCGCACATTAAATGACCGTTGGCACACTGTGAACACGAATGTCGCAAATATTTTTAATGTTATACCAATGCAAGTAATCGCATTAGAAGAAAGTGCTTCTCGAAGAATCGTATGCTTAGATTAGAAAGCCACTTATTGAGCCTAGCAAGAGTCAATATTTCAACTGACTTTTGCTGAAACCCTTGCTTATTCTAACCGGTAAACGGTCCGACTTGGATTATGAGAATACTAATTCATAGTAGAGGAATGACTGCTAATGCACTAATAACATTATTTATTGTTTATTTTGAAAATTTTGACTGATCAATTCGTTCCCATTGCTCTGAGAGAAAGAACCCCTTCGATACACACTAGTCAACATAGAGTAATCAAACTTAATCATATTTATTACCCATACTTTGCTGTTTTATAACCTGAAACACAAAACAGTATCGCTATCATTAATACCTCGTATATGCTATGCAAACCAAGAGTTGTATCCTTTTTTTATTTCTCACTTTTTCAAATTACATTTCAACATTCAACTATGTTTATTATGATTATCTAAACTAAGAAAGGATTTGAGGAAAGGATAGTTATTGTCGGAAGTATCTGTATGGGGGAGAGAAAATAGACTTAAAATGACTGATCACTTTTCAGTTTATTTTTATTTTAAAAGATAGTTTCAGGCTATACATGATGGTACAAACGTGCTAGTAATCTAGCTACGCTCAACTCTTATTTTTCACAGGGCTTTCTGCTTTTCTCTACATTCAGCGCACGCCATTCTTTTTCAATGCATAATACTTCGACAAACGCACTTAATCGTGTCTATACATTAACGCTAAAACTTGAGCTACTTTCAAATTCTTTAATACAAAATATATCGTGTCATTGTAAACTATTTATTGCTCAATTAGTTGATGAAATTACATGCTTTTATGTAGATTATTTGAATAAAAACATTGTTCGATTACGCAAATCAATCATATTTAGTATTGATAAAGTTATTGATATTTATCATTTATCGTCACTCTTATTATCGTATGTTACTTTCAAAGGTTTTTAGGAAGCGGAACGTCAATTTCAAATAGAATATTATTTTTGCTAGCAAAGAAATTTTTTTTCTCTTCAAACATCTAGCACTGTGTTATATTAAGTCATAATCATATATAAAAAAGATTCATTGGATTCGCATTCAAATAACTGAAAAAAGAAATTCATAATAAATGATATTCAATCCCGTTAAATAGATTCGTTATTCATTGCAGAAAGCTTTCTCGTGGCATTATAAACATATTTAAAAAGCTTTTCTTAATTAATTTCAAGCATTTGTACTTGGGAATTCAGTCTTTTTTCAAAACATGTATTTTTCATGTCCATAAATACATGCATCTACTTACCTCATAATTATAATAAAAGTTAATTATTCAAGAAAAATAATTAGCCAAATAAAGGGTTTTCATTAATAATCTTTGGGTTTTCAAATGTATTTGTACATCATGCCATTTTTGCACTTAGAACTGTATACTTTGGAGAAGCCTAGATGACCCTATAGAATAAAAAACGTAACTGAAATAAAAAAAATAAACAAAGAATTGAGTGAAACAATAATTAATGGTAAGAAAAAGAAGAAAAAAAAATGTTTAATGAATAAATTTGTCCAACTATCAAAGAGTGGGGAAATAAAATATTTAGGATCGATGGCTTGTGCTGCAAATATTTGGATTAACGCATGTAAATTGATGAAGCCACATTGAGTGAAGGCGAGACGAAGATAGACTGTGCAGATTTGGTTGTATGACGTTGCGAGAGCGCAGGAATGGAACAGAACAGGCAGTGCAGAAGCAACCACGTCACACGTGCGCTGTGCTCTGTGATGCCTCTCTCTGCCGTCCCCACCTACCACCCATACGCGGCCTGTCAATAGCGAACAGCTGTTTCCCTGAACAATGCCATCCTCGGCTTACTCTTGCGTGCTTACACGCATATACTTTACTTACTTGTTCCTAGTACACTTGCACAGATTTACGACTGTCGTACGCCAGTTTATCTTACCTTTATTTTTTGGCTTTTATGATCGATTTTTTCCGAATAAATTAAGTACACCCACGGCACTGACCGACAGCTCGTGCCGAATATACTTGTACATTACCTACACTTTATTATGCACCTTGAAACGTCAACTTCATTGGGTTTACGTTTATATCACGCGACAAAGAAGTTCACTCATTTTCTTACAAAAAAATCAGTTGAATGTGCATTTGTGAGGTTATTCAATTGAAAACTGATCTACAACGTAAGTAAAATCAATCGTATGACGTCTAATAAATGCTTGGCAGTAATAATGCAAAAATATTCGCGCTGCAACATCTTAGTCAGATATTATTGCATTGAATGAAAAAGTTTAAGGTTAGGTCTGAGAAATGAGAAATAAATGGCTGCAAAAAGAATAGGTAATCTGCCCTAATGTAATTGACAAGGGCTGAGAACTGCGGCTCGTTTTCCTCCTCGAAGACGAGTAATCAGCTCTGGTCTTAGTGCTCGAGCACTAAAAAACCGTGCACAGCTCTGACGAACAAGATATATGTGTGCACGTAGCCAATGCTAACTAATAGCAATATTTGAGGAAAAAATATATAGACAAAGACAAGTAGGTAGCAGAGGTTAATGAAGCGACAAAGAGAAAGGTGGTGAGATGATGAGTACCTGATAGACAGCGGAGCGAGGCAAGTCGAAGCAAACGACACAGCAGAGTATACCCCCGAGTCGATGCTCCAGCTTCTGCTCGGGCTTGTGTGGTAGGCCCAGCGGCTGACCATCTTGGTTGGCCTGAGCGGAGGCTTGCACGCTCGACTGCTTGCGTCGCTTGCGCTCCGGCTCCAAAAACTCCTCGGACTTATCCACCTCTGCAGTCGACGGCCCACCCGACATCGTCATCGTCGTCGACTCTGCGGCGACGCTGCCGCTCGACGAGGCGGCCTCGCTGCTCGACTCCGCCATTACACTTGCTCTCGTCGGCGCTCGCCCTTTCTTTTGCTCTCCTTCTCACCGACAGCTGATCGCCACCGCAACACGCACCCAATCTCCTCGGATAAACTTGGCTTTATCTTTGTTGTCAACTAAAAATCAAAAGACAACGGACAAATTGTTAAGATTACTTCTCGAGTATAAATTTTTATTCTACGAACGTCAATGTGGACGCGCACTTGTTATGCAGCGCGCGATTCACTAACTTTGTTTACAAACAGCTCGCGACTGGTGAGCGTCTACTATGGAAAAGCTAAACGAATTTAGTGCGCGCACAGTGTGAACAGCTGCCTGCTGTGTGCTCTTCAAAAAGGCCCTTTAAATTTCTCGTTTAAAAGGCCACATCTGAACCCTATAACTCGCTCTAGTCTTTTCTTTCTTACACTTTCACACACACACGCGCGGGCACGCACGCACACACATATATGTGCAAGTGTTAGTAATATATATATGTACATACAGAGAGAGAGAGAGGGTTCGTGCTTACTTCTAGAAGAGAGAGCTCTGTGTTTGCGGAAAAGCGCGTGAACATGACTCAGTCAGTGAAAAATGGGGATCCTCTTCCCAAATTGCAAAGCGAAACAAACTGAAATGACCTGGAGGTCTGATCACGTCATAACGTGGCATATCTTTTGTCTTTTTACTTGATTTTTCGTATTAGCCGAAATGTGCATTAGATTATAAGTAATTAGTCTATACTAGTATTACAAAATATGATCTACGCATTCTAATATCATTCGTACTTTAATTAATTGCCAATCTTATCAGTTTCTTGGACAACGTCCCATATATATCAGCACACTTTTACCGTAGTTTTTTATGTGTTACATAAAATAAACAAATAAAATATTAAACAAAAAATAAGATTCATTTGATTCTAAAGCCAGTTTTTTTTTCATATCTTGAGAAATACCATACTTCACTTATCAAAATTCTCAGTTCGTTTATATGTTAAATTAGATGAAAATTACATCAAAATTGTTCTATGCTTGAACTACTTAATGAGGAGTGCATTAAGTGACTGATGCAGAAAATTGGAATGCAGGTAAGACAGAGGAAGAGAGAGAGAGAGAGAGAGAGAGAGAGAGAGAGAGAGAGAGAGAGAGAGAGAGAAAGAGAGAAAGAGAGAAAGAGCGAGCGGAAAGTTGATTGACCGATCGCTCCTATCTAATACATTTTAAACAAACGAGAAAGAGAAAAATGTATGCTTTTTCCTAGTCACGCGGGGAAACGTGAAGGCATAACAAGGACGAAGGACTATGTTAAAGGGCCGATGTATCCTTTCTCTTTTACGCGTATCTTTCTTACGACCTTTGTTCTTTCCTCTGACAGCCAACAACAATGGATGTAAGCCCTAACGCGCCTTCTGTCTTTGTTGCCATTCGAGAAATTCATCTTTCACTAATTTTTAGTTCATTTACAAATGTATTTTGCATATTTGACATCGAATCAATGATTTTAAGGAGTTGTATTAGAATAAAATTTCATGAGTAAACAACGAAGACTCAAAATGCATTACGTCAATAAACGTTTTCTTGACGATTGTAGTGAGAAGAGATTTGGAAACATAAGCTTCTATTATGTAATGTTTTAATGATAACTATTGGCATAGAAACAAATTAAATAACGCGCCCACGTTTTCGGATCTTTTTATTGTAAAGTAAATGAAAATGAGAAAGGACGAGGGAGACAGAGACAGCGCTAGAGAGGGAAAGATAGATTACGCCATTGCTGCAATACGTGCACGATAAAGAACAGCTGTTCCTCGTACAACACCAAGTAGGAGACTGACAAACGAAAAGTGCATAATATTTACAAACTCGCCTTGGCAACCAAGTTGAGAAACCAAAATAATGAAAAGTTCGGACGCTGACAAATATATTTGAAATGGACGGCAGCCTAAATATATATGACTGGAAAACTAAAATCTCGAAAGAAGACACGGGAGTGCAAGGCCGAATAAAGACTAAGTGCTGTCGCGAATGGAGTATGCGTGTAAAGGTTAAGTCTCTTCGGTCTCTTTGTTTTGTTCACGTTCGCGTTGGCAGCGCGTACTGCTGCAAACGCGGCGAGCGCCGACATTGGAATCCGCGATTTTCCAGCTTGACAGACTAAACGAAACGTCGGACGACGTGCAGCTGATAGCGAGTAATGACTTACATATTTTGCACAGGAGTAGTGTGTAACTGTGTATGGGGAGGATCGATAAGAGAGAGGGGAGAGAGAGAGACGCAAAGAAAATTAGAACGCAAAAAAGCGTCAAGTGAAGAGAGGCGGGGGCACGAATGAACTATGTAGACGTACATACACGGAGCGGAAAGGGGGACAAGAAGGAAATGCGCAGTATAATATGCGTGCAGCTAGCGCAGCATTGTTGCGTCTGTTGTGAACTCTACATATGCTGACATGTATATAGCAGTTCGAAGAAGCTTCAGTGAAAAATGCTTTGCGCAATAGCGACAGAGCGAGAGTGATGAGGTGTACGAGCTGCTCATTTAATCTCGATCTTTGACTACGACCTTTCCATTAAACACCTCAATGTTTAGGAATGACAATAAGCTTACCTGGAACTAGCAGTTTTCGCCTGGGTCGGACGAGAATGCGGATATTTGATGCAATTTCCACTGTGTTTACGTCGCTGATTTATGTTTGTGAACTGTCAAGGGCTAAAGACTCGCGCACATCGTTCGACTTTAACTGTATGCAGAGTGGCAAAGTGACAGTAGTCCTGCAGCTAGACGCAGGCACAACTAAACACATACATACACGTACAAGTTTATGCGATGACGAGAGAGCGCACACAAAGAGGATGTGGATCAGGGGAACGCGTGCGCAAGCGAGTAAGAGAAGGAGAGGGAGGGGGGGCGACCAGTCAGCCGATCACTGCAGAGTCAACGTATAGGTTCTGTAATATACACGAGCTTTTTCTGCTGTGGCTTTGTTCTACTGCTGCCGAGTTTTGCCGAATGATGCAGCACCAGTTCATTCGGTCGTCGTCGACATATACCTAGCTCATCCCTCCGTAATGCAGCCAAGCATCAAAATAACAACACGCGCCACGATGCACTAATATAGAGACCGGTTATTGAAGAAAATAAAAAAACTTAATTCTTCTACAACTTTTTTCCGAATATCTTCATGCAAACGATTATTTATAAACTATCTTAGATATGAATCAATACAATTTCGGAATTGATGTTTGTTTAGAATATGGATACATTGAATAGCAACTTTTTACTCTAAATAAGTTCTAGCTTGCAAGCTCTACATATTACTTTTAGGTTTTTCTTTTATCATTCAGACGTTTTAGCCCTTACCTATTAAATTTTAAAATATAGAGACGTGAGCTATTTCAAGATAAGACATTAATTCATTCTATAAATCAGAATGATAAAATAAAACCAACTTTAATTAACTATGTTAAAAATTATCATTGATAGTTTCACTCATTTTGTGTTATTTAATTAATAATACGTATTTGAATTCATTTTATAATATTCATAAATTCACCCAGATACCTTTAAAAATAATGAGATTTGTTTCTTATTGCTTGAAATTTTTATTAATAACATAGTTTAACATTATTAATTTATTGAGCAAGTCAAACGTTCAAAGTCAGTCAAGTCAATGGCTACAATAGATCGAGGCACACTTTTACAGTGCTACTTTTGCATACATTATTTCAGTTATTAGTCAGCAGGTTCCAGTTCGATGTTTCTTTATCTTACATTTATTAATTGTTTTACATATTAATGTTTAGCCTTTGAACCACTAGAAGCTTTAGTGATCAGTTATGTAGTAATCTATAATAATTGGTGGTATACATTGAAGAAACAAAGTATAAAAAATTATGCACATAATCAATTATAATCTTCATACATTAAATTGCGTTCGATAAGTCGCCCAAGCATATCTTCGACTTTTTCTTAATGATAATGTAATGTACACAAATGAGTACAATATACGCAATCTTGACATACTCATACAAACTGTGTTAAACACCAAAAAACACTCGATTCGGCACAAAAATCAAGTGTCATCACAGACTTTGGGCCGGATTAAAGGGCCTGAAATCTAAAATATACAAGTTGCATTAAAATTGCTTAAAAATCTATTTGCTGTTTTTCTGCAGGAATTAAAATGTAGCAATGTGTTGACTACGAATAAAAACCATCGTAATAATAATATTATATATAGAAAGTTACAAATGTTCTGTGTTGATCAAGGCTTCAGTTTTTATGAAATTCGAAAACATCATTTTGAATAAAGTTGAGTCTGCATGCAATTTGTACTAACAGATACAGTTTCGGAAAGCTCGCACACATCTTTCGTTCAATTTAAAAAATTTAGAAATCTACATAATTTTGGTCTTTATAAAATATTTTAAATCGTGTTATTCCTTTATATTAACAAATAAAATTATGCCAAATAACAAAATTTACAGTCATAAAATGTCCCTCATTATTAACAGAATTCAATTTGAAAATCGACTTATCAATTGTAATAATAAGGATTAAGTACTAAAGACAACATCAAAACATACTTGTATATGGGTTATTCTTAGCTATTTCGATTGACTTATAATCCTTAGGTTACAGATTTTTTTTTAATTTGGCACAATTGTTGTACACATGAAAGTGAGATTTTTTCCAAATTTTGATGTCGATACATTAATTATATCAAAAGTTATTAACAATTAAAGAAAAATGATAAAAAATTTTTAAACGGCTATATTTTAAAAACTAATAAAGATATCGAAGTCGGATTTTTTTCAAAATACTTATAATGCCTTAACATTTCGAAATAATTACAACAATAAACAATAAAAGATTTTTTTCGAAAGATTAACTTTTTGTTTAAAAAATTGCTAATATCTCAAAAAGTATATTTTTCTTTTGATAAATTCTTGCTCCTGCGTGTTCCTGAGGATTTTTGCTATCGAAATCGATGATAAAATTCAAGAGCCCGACGTATCGGAAGGTGCAGCCCTAATTAGAAGAAAACGCCTCAGCGTAAGACCACGAAGACGACCCGCTGCCGTTGCGACCTACACCGAGGCATCTTCTTTTGATTAGGGCTACGCCTTCCGACATGTCGGGCCCTTGAATTTTATGATTGATTTCGATAGCAAAAATCCTCAGAAACACGCAGGAGCAAGAATTTTTCAAAAGAAAAATATACTTTTTGAGATATTAGCAATTTTTTAAACAAAAAGTTAATCTTTCGAAAAAAATCTTTTATTGTTTATTGTTGTAATTATTTCGAAATGTTAAGGCATTATAAGTATTTTGAAAAAAATCCGACTTCGATATCTTTATTAGTTTTTAAAATATAGCCATTTAAAAATTTTTTATCATTTTTCTTTAATTGTTAATAACTTCTGATATAATTAATGTATCGTCTTTAAAATTTTGGAAAAATCTCACTTTTATGTGTACAACAAGTGTGTCAAATTACAAATAAATCCGCAACCTAAGGGTTACAAGTTAATCGAAATAGCCAAGAATTACCCATATACAAGTACTAACGAAATATAACACACATATTATTCTATGCATTAAACAAAATTATTCGACAAATCCATTCACTGCAATCTTCTCTAATAGAAAACTAGTTGGCGCTTGTTAGCGAACTTGCAGATGGTGGGACTGTAACGCAAACAAATATATTCCATAAATTAATTGATTTTGCTATTGACTTATAATTTTTTATTGTTAAATATCCATTCTTATACCTGAGGTTCTGTAAGTTGACTGAGCTGTAATTTCTGTACTCTTTGGTTTATTTTGAAACAGTGGCTCATTTGGGCCATTATTTTTGAAGTCAGCTGACGAAGACATTAGTGTACCACTAGAAGATTGAGATGTGTTATACATTTGTTCTAAGTTTTGCAGCGTTTGTTGATGAATTACGCTACTAGAAATCTTGTCAACTCGATCGGACAATGACTCAACCGCGTGTTGAAGGACTTCCTGATCTTTTCTTTTTACATACTCCTGCTGTAACGTTTGTATTAGCGTACTAGCATTCGTGGCTTTATCCAACAGTGATGCTAACGTTTTCTGCATGAAATATCAAAGAAAAAATTATACAGTCTTTAACATTATAGGAATGAGATTGATTCAACAAAAAATGTACACTTACACGGTCCTTGATTATATCTTCTTGGGCCCATAAAATATTCATGGCTAACGTTTGATTAATGTGCGTTATATTCTTGCTCAATTCTGTAATCGTATCCCGTAGTTTTTTAGTTTCTAGCAGAGTTTCATTTGTTGGCACCTTCTGAGGTTGTTGAGTTAGATTTTGTAGACCCTGCAGTGTACTCTGGAAAGAATCGAAAAAAGGTGTGATATGTTAAAATATAGTTACTTTATATACAGGGCTATTCGTGAAAGTATAATATTATGTTGTTCGATTGTCAAGAAAAGAACAACGGCACTAATCAGCAATTCGTAATTTGGTTAGTTTGGTTGGTTTTCGATTTTTTAATATTTCAATAACCTTTTTTGAGTTTTCTAAATGAAAATACAGCTCTTGTTCCTTTTTATAATAGTGTTTGTTATTGTGCATCTGTGTGAGTTTAGCAATGATCTTATAACTACCTCAACTTTATTAAAAATATTCTTTTGTTCTTCTTGAGAACGTTGTGCAGTGTCCTTCAATGTCTTGAAACCAGCCTGTAGATCGTTAAACTCAAGCTCCAACTGTCCTATATTATTTTGCAGATCTTTAACAGTAGCAGGGACGCTCGTTAGTTCTGGCGCCGATTTCACTGACACTTGCAGTTGCTGCAGTTCTTGTTGGAATTTCGATATCTGCAAGTAAAATAAATCTCTTTTATATATTTGTTTCGAGCGATTCTTTCATTTAACCTCATTAATTAAATATACATTCTCTTGAAGTAGTTTATCTATTTTACCGCAAGTCAACATCGGTATTGAAATGAATGATGTTTCATTATCATAAAGTGATGGCGTGGAACTGTTTACGCGAGAAAAGCTGAGATATTGACATGAAATTAATACTACCGTTCAATTAAAATGATTCTAGATTAATTGACAGTTAACTGACTGCTATCGATTTAGCTTGAATGGTGACGATGGCCATGATAAGCTCAACGTAAGCCAAGAGTAATTGATCAAGCAACTCGAAGGACCTGCCACTCTTACAATTTATGCAAAAGGCTGTCGGACTCTCACTTATGCGCGATTCGCGATTATTAAGTAAAAATAAGCTATGCACTGATCAACAATGCCAGAGTGCTTGAACTTGTAGCGTTATAAAACTCGAGCGGTTAATCATACAGAGCGCTTTCTCGGGGGCGAGGGTCACACTCAAGCACGACGTGCCCAAGACGCTCCGCTTCCAATTGGCGAAGAATAAATTTGGAAAGGCTTAGCTAGAGCGTGCCGTTGCATGTAGATTCTGAATCAATAGAGCTGCGTGAATTGGTTTACCTGAGTGGAAAAAGTATTAAGCGACGTGTTGAGTTTGCGGATTTCATCATTAATACGCGTAATATTAGCTTTAAAGTTCTTATCAAGGGTGTGGCACGTTTGGAGGGCATCGGGAACACCTTCGCTGCCGGCGATCACTGAAATCAAAGAGCACGATTGGATTATTGGCACAGCACGGCTCGGAGAAGCCAAACAGGCGGCATTCGCAGGTAGAAAAACCAAGACAACAAGACAAGACAACAAGACAACATTTTGGGAGCATCACAGAGGTGGCGACGCGACGACGAGGACGAACCTTGATCGAGCTCGACCCTGAGCGCGGTGAGCTGCTGGCGCAGGTCGACGAACAGCCAAATGAGCACGAGGGTGACGAAGAGGAGGAGGCCCCCGAGGAAGAGGCCGCAGGCGCGCGCGAGACCGCCGGCGCCGGGTTCCGGCCTGGAGCGGCCAAAGGCCTTGCGCCCGAGCAGCCTGCCGCCCGCCGCCGACGCGTTCCAGTACTCGGAGCGCTCGTCGCTGCTCTCCGACAGCAGCTCCTGCAACGGCGGGCAAGCTGCGCGTGAGGGTGTGCTCGCGACGGGCCGCGGCGCCGAGGCTACCTGGGAGCTGCGCTTGCCGGAGCTGCGCCTGGAGACGGCATGCGGCGGTGCCAGCGCGTCCAGCTGCTTGCGCTTCTTCATCTTCTTGGCGGGCGCGCGCAGCGGCACCGTCACGGCCACGGAGTCCATTTCGAGGAGCACCAGGTTGCCCTCGTCGCCACGGCGGCCCAGCTCCGTCACCTTCTCCAGTGCCCGCCGCCTTTGGGCATCGTCGCTCGGCGGTCCGCCTCTAGCCGCCGCTAGCCGGGCTCAGCGCATCTCCCGCCGCCCGCTCGCCGGCTCAGCCTGCCCGAAAACACACGTGCAACAACTCTGCTGACTCGTTCGCGACGGCTCGCTGCCGCCTCTGGGTCGCCTCGCTCTGGCGCGGACGCGTCGCACGTATACGCAGCCGCCTTCGTCGGGCTGTCGCACGGACACGTTTACCGAGCCGCCCCCCGTCAGACGCGCGCGCGTAGTTCTTATTCGACCGCGCACCTTGCCAGGCCTTATCGGACGCCGCGCTCGCTTGCCGTTCGTTCTAGTGATTGCTTCGTGGCCGCGCGCGTGGATAAGCGGATAAGATACGCAAAGACAACCGCGCCATTGCCCACCAACGAATGCCGACACTGTACAACCAGATCGTCGAATCGATCGAATTTTCTCTCTACCGTTTTCTTCCTATTCCTTCCGAATGATGGTACGCTTAGTGGTCCCGCTTTGCCCCCTTGAAAGCCCAACACGGCGCGCCAGCTATCCACGCTCCTTCTTTTTATTTCCCATCGTCCACGTGTAGAGAATATGATCGATTCGCTCGAGATAAGATCGAATTTCGGAGCCAAGTCTACTTGTACTTATCTTGAAAACACGCGTCGTTATTGAGTTGATGGGTTTGCATCGAATCTTCCGGAACGTGCAAACTCGCCAATCTAAGCTTATATTCTAGCAAACGGCACTTGACGGACATTCGGGTAGTACACAAAGCGAATTATTAATTTTCAGCGAGTGATAATAATTTACTCGGCTAATTTTACTTGTGCACGTGTATTCTGGCGAATGTCAAAGAGGTTTGACGTAATACTTGAATAAAAAGGCGATGCTAACCAAGTAGTTTTTGCCTTACAGCAAACGGCAGCGAGGAAAAACAGAAACGGTTAGAAACGAAACGCACGACGACAGAAAAATAAAAGACGTAGCGAGTGATTAATAGATTTGGATTGCCGAAGGCCGATAAGCCTGTATGACTTTGAATGATCAACCAAGAAGTAAGCTAGAACGTTCCAAATGGCGAGACCATTGCATCACACGAACCAGTCTACATGGATGCACGAGCTGGGTTGAGTCCAGTCACTTTCTACGGCGAATCATGACGAATGCACGTTTTGCCGAGATAACCTTCGGATCGGGTTTTCTGCAGCTAATCACGCTTTATCTTGATAGAGGAAGACGGCATCGGCACACGGTCGTTCTCGCAAGCGCGCGCGGGCCTTTGCCGAGAGGAGCGGAGCAGGCAGGGTAGACCGCGGAGGTGCAGGCGGGCCGGCCGCGTGCAGAGCAGCGGAGGCTCTCGGCGCCGCTGCGATTCGCGCGATAAAGAGGTGCGCGCACGTGACAAAAGCGACCCGTGCGGCCTCGTTGCTTTCGAAACGCCGATACGTCGCAGTTTGTACCTCGGCTGCCCAGCTCTCCGTGCTTCCGTGACTGGTGCCTGGCACAGCGACTATATGCGACGACAGGCCGACAGATGCGGATCGAAACTGGGCTTCCGGCAGCCTGGCAAAAGCACGCCAAGCACAGAGCGAAGCTAGCAGCAGGCGCAAGGTACACGCGTGGCTATATGCCGCCAAAGCGCACGGTAGACTGGCGCTCGACAGAGTGCGGAGTGCGGAGTGCGGAGTGCGGAGTGCGGACTGGCGGCTGACGTAGTACTCGGTAGTAGTTCGCGCTCTCTCATCCGATAGACCGCTCCCCGCTCTTCTCCTCCAGCTAAGTATGCGCGTGTGTCACGATCGTCGCTCGTATGCGCGCCCGTAGCAACTAATAGTGCTCGCGCAGCATCCGATCTCTACTGAACCGATAGTACGCGCGCCAAGCTTTTCAGCCGAAAGCCCGTTACAATGGCCTTTCGCTCATTTTCCATCAGCTCGCGGCAAATTAATGGATTACTTCCGTCTCATCGAACCTCGAGTCGATAAAATTGCACCAGCATCTTCTTAGCTGCGCAGGCTAACAACATCTACTTAAGCAGTGTCGACCAATTTTTATGATCAGTTCGTACGCCAGATAATTCGAAAGGGTGCACGCGCTCTTTGGATGAATTTTCATAAAAATGCATTATAACACGTTTTGTACCTTTATCGAGCAATTTTATACCAATTTACCTTGATAACCAATTACGGCTTGTCTCGCGATCGCCTACTTCTCGACGTTAAACATTGGCATCTCATTTAATTTTAATTAGTTTCAAGTACTTTCGCTACTTTCGAGCCCTTGAAATTCACTGAACAAGCTAGAGTATCCAAGAAAGAATATTCATTTACAAGCCATTACATTATTCCATTGATAGATACCGCTTATTATTTGACTTGACGATAAACTTGTTTTTTTCATTTTACGCATAATTTTTCATACATTTTTCATTGTACAATTTTCGCACATGAATAATGCGTACGAAATCTCTATGAATGACGATTTACATTTTGAAAAATCTAACAAAAGTATACAATTTATACTGCGAGAATTTATTTGAATAATGGTGATTATGAAGAGCACGATCGACTGAAATAATCGTGCAGTGAGATTTCGAAAGCTCAACAACACACTATAATGTAATTTATTCGAATTTTCAAAGTGACTGCTCATTCGACGCGTACCGAACGATCGAAATTTGGAGCTTTAGTATATTTTTAACCACTTCGAATGATTTTTTTATGCATGTCCGCGCATATTCGTAGAACATTCGATCGATTTTAATAGGGGGGGGGGGGGGTGAACTAATTTGTGAGGGTATGCTTTCGAAATGGTCCCGATTCATTACGTTTATTCGATCTAAGTATATAATTATGAGCTTTTCTAATGAGATTAATCTTGCGAGATAATTAAAAGCTATTTAAAAAGGACAAATGTTCTGGCAAGTATAAGCGAAGCGAAGGTTAAAGGATGTCGAACGAACAAATCCGCAGGCTAATATTAAAAAATGAGGGGGCGCGGAAGAGCGCGCGCATTAATGTAGACGTTAGCGTAGAGAAAGTAGAACATCAGGTGGAAGGTGAAGCGAGTAAGGAGGAGCTGGCCGAGGTCCCTTTGGCCAGCGCCGCAGTCCTTTCTTCGGCGCGCGAGGCTGCCGCTCTGAATAAATGACTAAACACTTGCGCTAATGATACGCGCCGGCACCTCTCTCGCTCTTTTTCTTTGTAGCGGCATATCTCTGTTCCTTGCCCGCCGGCTCATTAATTATTCGCTTTTTCTCTTGTCCCTTGCCTGTTGACAGCCGAATGCAAGCACATGCCTTTTTAACTATGGCCGATCAGTGCTAATGCAATTTTCTTGCCAAGATGATCTCACTGCTTGCCAACAGCTTTATTATGACAATTATTCATTATCTATTTTTCACAGATACGAATTATTTGCGTGCCGTATTCAATGATATTCGATTGACTGTCGGATAGTTGATAACAATCTCGTGCTCGCAATCGGTCACAGAAAAGATCGCGACGCGGAGGCTGATTCCAGACAAACATTTCTGTGAAGCAAATAATTCTTCGTACAGATATGGGCTCTAATTTTGCCATTTTTTTTAAGTGAGCTTAAAATGATTTTACTCAGATGTATCAAAAATATGTAGTGACCCAGCGATGACGTACATTGAAAGTATGAATCATTCAAGGTCAATTTATATCAAACGTCCACTGTTGTTTTTGTGAGAAAAACATTAAAAACACGTTCTTGGATAACAATCGAAACTTATCGATACCGATTCAAGTATATTTGTTTACGGATAGTTGTAGTGTAAAAAGTGGAGTTTTTCTATGACGACTAGTATTTTTCCTCTATTCCTTACCAACACTCGTAAACCGGACTTTTTGTTAGTTTTTACGAGCGTAGAAATCTAGTGATTCTGCAACTTTCGTACTGACAATAAAGTTACAAATTTCTAGGTTATAACGAAAGAAAAGACACGAGCAGTCGATTGTGCACTTTGTGATCGTAATCAAATGTAATAGCTTTAATTCCATGCGGAGATTAGAGGCAGATGAAATTAATCGCAGAAGAATTGCTTATGTTATGTTATATACTATAAATAGCGCTGGGTATCTTGAGCAACATTTAAAAGATAAAGATCTTTTACTGTCGATGACAAGTCAGATAGTGTGCTATTATTGCATTCAGGTTATCTGAATGCGTTATTACGGAAATTAAAGTACGATTGCCGTTTGTTGGATGAGCTTCATTTTCTGAAAATTAGGTAAAAGACAGAGGAAAATGAAAATCACTCAGTTCCCAATGTATGTAAATGAAGAGGTAGGACAGCAAATCCACTTCGTGCTTTGCATTCTCAAAAAATCTGTCGAACTGGGCGAAGGTTACGGATACAATTGCGATGGGCCCGAATGAAGGCGTTGACAATTGCTCATGTTAGATTTTGGAACAGGCTTATCCGGGCAATGACCATATCGGTCAATTCCAGATAGCGTTCTATTCGAAGTTATTTTTTTACCAAGATCAAATGACAATGTGCGATAGACGTCGATTTAGTGGACTCAGCAGGTGGTGCGAGTAGAAACACTAGGTCTAACTTATTTAGAAAATAAGCTTAAGAAGCTGAAGAAGACAAGCCTGGCAACATTCACGCGCACTCAGCTCATCGGCATGTCATTGTTATGTACATGCGCGTAAAATTCATTGATCGCATTGGATGCTTCACTGATCCGACGTCAGAGCATGACGATCCCGCACAACTTAAAAATAGCCATAGTCCGCTTGGTTCCACTCGCAGGCACTTATATGAATCGAGATTCCTATCAATATTTGTATTTACGTGCAGCGCACTCTTTGCCTTTAATTTCCGAGTGACAGAAAATTCAGTTGCTGGTTATAAAATATTGGAATGCTGTCGAAGCATTTCCTTAATATTTCTTCAGATAAGTAACGAAAATAATACGCCGTTTATCAACATTATATGGACCAATGTAATAATTATAGCATTCATAGCGGTTCATTGTTGAATCACGAAGAATTTTATCGGGCTCGTTGCAACGCTGGTCGAAGCCGAATTGATAAGTTTGTTTTGACGCGCGAAGCCACTTGTTTTGACTGCGCGGAGCTTTATTAAAAGGTATCGCAACTCAGCGGCAAACCCGTTACACGTTTCGAATGGATTTCGCGAGAAAATCGATTAGATACGGAGGCAGACGAATAATCAAAGTAGGTCGCAGGTGATCGATCGAAGCACATCGAAGTTCGTCAGCGTAGCTCCCGCGTATTCGAGCACACGAATAGCGACAGAGCGTTTGGGCGCGAAAAGCTCTGTCTCGTGACAATCGAATGACGTCGCTTTTATCAATCGCTAGTGGTAATTGTTGGTCCCGCCGCAATTTGCAAGTTGCCCTTGCAAGTGCACGAATACACTGGTGGAAAGCACACCGGTAGTACGTCAAAGTTCATTGTTGTTTGTCGGCGCCGGTGCCACGTACACGATCGCGCGCGCGCGGCCTTGATTGATCGGGAATTGGCGAAAGCCCCGCTTGCCGGCACTGCCTGCTCGAGCGCCTAACACGACGAATAAGCAATACCTGCAGGATCTTGCGACGAGCGGTCGTTGAAATATCGATTGAGCGTTCGGAACGCGACGGACTGGCGGTGCAATGATGCAGGGAAGGCCGTGCGCGTGGGCCTTTGAAACGTCGGATTGTTTACATGGCCATGGCTCGAGCCTGCGTTGACGATCGAGGCGGTCGACGTGTCGGCTGTTTGACCTAGAACCACCGCACACGCGCCGTTCATCAAGCGCTAATTCGCCGTCGTGACTAGCGCCTATGCGGCAGCGAGCAGTGCAACGATGCGCGAGCTGGCGACCAAGGGCGTCGAGGCTCCCGCCCGATTGAACGGCGAGCGCGCGCACCAGACACTCGTGGGCAGAGGCAGCCGGATGACTTACGTGCGGTCGAGCAGTGAGCAGTACTTTCGCTGGGCGAAGGCGTCAACTCGTCTCGAGAGCAGGCGCGACAGCAACGGGAGCTCCGATCGGCTGCTGTCCGCCGTTCAGCCGAGCCGACTACTGGCGCGCCGCGCGATATCGACTGAAGAGGGGTTGCCAGACGGCGGCACTGGCGCCTGCACTGCTCGACGCACGCGCCGCGACGGAGCTTCTACGTTGCCATCGTAATGGGGCTGGGACGCCCACACGCCCTCTTACTTCACTTCTTACTCGCTATCTATCGTTACTTATCTATTTCAATCGAATGTCTCTCTCACTCTCACTCTCACTCACACTCTCACTCTCACTCTCACTCTAACTCTAACTCTAACTCTAACTCTAACTCTAACTCTAACTCTTACTCTCACACTCACTCTCTCGCTACACCACTATCCTGCGACTAATTACCATTTGCCCCGTCTGATTTACAATTAGTATGTGTATTTAATCCCCGCAATTAAATGAAGCATTCACTATGATGTAATCTGACTGTGTAACCACGCTATAACTTTTACAAAAACACCAACCAACATCCATCGGTATGTTATTCAACTAGAAACAAAACCTAGTATTGCATTTCAAAAAAACCGTTCAATTTATTATAGACGATTACTTGTTCTCTTCGAATAAAGTGCTTGATCTTTGGTACTTATCTAACCTTGTATAAACATCTAATAGTTCCAGCTCATTACTGTTCATAGTAAAAATGTAACAAATTATATTCTTAAAACATATCACCATTGAATTTGATAAATATAGGGAAGTTGCATTAAGTAATCCAAAGATAGTTTATTCTAATGTATAAGTAACAAAAATGATAATTGCAAACGTACAAATACATTTCTTTTATACCAAACATGATGCTCACAAAGTTATATATTCATCACTAAAAATAATATTATGCTTATGGTAAAAAGGTTGTCTTGAAAATTTCTACTTTGCAAATCATGCTAACATTAAAGCATAGGATGAGGCAGCAAATTTTAACATCATTAAATACTTTATTACGCATTGTAACTTGTGTGAAACTTACCAGACTTTACGGAAACATCCATTCTTCTTAATTCTCCATATAAAACTACAGCTAACCAAGATAAAGTTGCAAGCCATATAGATACAAGAATAGCAGCAACCCAGAATGAAGCTGCTCTCATTCGAGAAATTTTACAGCTTGTGGAACGAAGTTGTCTTGATTTTAATAATCCATTTGATCTGTGTCTTCTGAAAAATTAACACTAATAGTTAAGCACAGCTTTAACATTTGATAAAACAAAGCTATACACCAGTTATGTTACTGTAATAGACAAAGCCATCAAAACAACAGAAAATATATATAACAAAAATAAGTATAACATATACTTGTTTTTTCTCAACTCACCTTTTAACCTTTTTCTTTTTAGGTGTGATAAACAAATCAGAAATGTCAGATTCATCATCTGACAAATCTAAGAGGTTAATCGTTTCTTTGTTACTCAACTTATCCATTTTACATAATAGTAAACTTTTGAAAATATACTTACAAAAATAAATGTCAAAAAATAAAGCAACAAAGCATAACCTTTAAATTACATTAAATTAATTGTTTACGGGTCAAGTAACAAGTAAAACCAGATAGTATTCGCGACCTCGTTATAAGTAACATTGATATAAAACAATAAAGGCATATTCTACAGCCAAGAAAGTATTATTGCTTTGGAAGTTGAGTGTTTTCTATAAACGGTCACATTTTGATGTAAACTTTACTTTCAATGACCTCGCCAATCTTCTTCGTCCATGTCACGCTTGCCTCATGACTCGCCGTCTCGCCGCGACTCGATCATGACATTCATCCACACTCACAGCAGACAGAAAAAACTAGCTGCATTCGCCATCTACTGGGTGGGATGCTAATGACTTTTTTGATTTTACTAACGAGCAGAGCAAAATAGTATATTGTCTCATCAAATATTATTTTACTTTTTTGACTAAATCTTTTTTTACTGGCACATATAACAATTGAAATCATACAAACAAACACGGTTCGAATTAGAAATAGGTTAGTGAGTTAATAAATCTTTCATTTATAGCTATGATAAAAAATTAGATAAACTATAGTTACAACGAAGACAAAGCTATAGTTAACTTGATTGACAACCAAATGTAAAAGTAATATGTAAGTAATATACGCGAAAGAGAATTTTCTTTTCAATCATTTAAATACATTTATTACTTCCAAACTAGTCTCTAAAAAATTAATCAAGAAGGCTTAACAGAAAAATTAAGGAAATGAAAAAGAAATTAATGGCTCGATTCCAATTTTTAATATTTTTCCTTCTCTTTCCGCTTGCAATCAGTTTGCTTTTTTATAGGGAAATAGTTACATAAAACTATCACATCATAAATCAAGTGAATAAGTTTGTCTCTTCTTACATGGACAACTCACAGAATTGATAATTAAAATTTTGAATACAAATCATTTAATCACGCTACTTCTAAGACCGCTTTCTCGATTACTAAGTAAATATACTTCAATAATGACATTTGAAGTATTTAATTTTCAATATTAAATTTGATTCACTGCGGATACAAGAAAATATATGTTATAAAATGGAAGGCGATTAACTATTATTGATAGTTACTTATTATTTCTTCAAACTTCAAAATACTATCTACTTAAAATAAAAATTGAAATGATAGGAGTGTTCAATAGTAATTAGTTTGTAACTCTGTAGAGATACTGAAATATGAATGAAATATGAATACTGATATGAATGAAATATAAAAAATTAGCAAATCGCATATTTGATAAGATATCAGAACAACTTATAAATTGAAGATATCTGATAGGATATAAGATCAACCTGTAAATTGAAGAAAATCTTCAAGCTCCTTTAAATTATAGTTGAAATGTAGAGAACATGGAAATAATTCATAAAATTGTCTCGATGGATTGCAACTAAAATGGGTAAATTAATCTTGCAGTGAAGTTGTTTCAACGATCCTGAAATTTTATTCACAGCAAATACTGAGATGAGCCAGTGGTTGTTTTAACAAATGAAGTATAAGTAAAGTGGTTTGATGGGCTGTGAGTCACTTTTAGAGATTCAGGATCACTTTCGGAAACTTTATTATACCAGCTCAGTGGAGTCATTTGAAAATCAATCTTATTGTCTTATCTTTGAGGTTTTATTATTTATAAACAAGACAACATTACATTTGTACTATAAATTAAATGTTGTTTATTTTATCGTACACAATGACGTCGATATATTTTACGGTTTATCTGTTCAGATGAGCATTCATATACATTAATAATGAAAATAATATTTAAGCGAAATTATTATGGTGAGACAATACAAAGACATGAATGAAAATACGAATTCATTATTTCTAGTACAAGTAGTACAAGTGATCTAAGCAAATGGTTGGAACTACTGTCAGCATTTGCTATTATAATAAATCTGAGTCTCTATAAGGCAGAAGATTCTCAATAAGAATCAGAACATTTCGATAACAGAGAGTCATATCTTACTCAATGAGAACAAAAACAACAAAATCCTTCACACAACCGACGTTTCGCTGACTACGTTTGTCAGCCTTTTCAGGATTTCTCTTTATTAATATACATGTTACAGATATTAAACTTGTGTCAATAAAAATATACAAAAATATACATTAACTAACTTATATTAGAAGTAAATCGTACTAATAATATATAATCATTAAGTGAATGACTGAAATGGAGTTCGATCAAGTAATGTACGAGATATTCCTGGGTTAATGAACGATTCGATGAACCATATCCACAGTAGATGCGCCTAGGTGAAGTACCTCAACTTGTTGAACGCCCATGAATTTCACAATTTCGGAATGAAGATTGCCGTCAGCAAACGTAAAACCATCGTGCAGTTCATACTGCATCTGAAAAATCTGATTGGTGAAATCTGTCTGACACCTCTAAATCCTATATGTTTCCTCGATTTTCGCTCAGCAACGCCAGGTACTATGCTTTATGAATTCTTTGATGAAACTTACCATGCTGCCATACTCATAAGTTTTACACTTTTGTTCTTATTTTCTACTTTGTCTCTTTTTTCTTTTTACTTAACATATTTTATTTTTTCATATCGAGTAATATTATATGAAATAATGTGCATAAAACTCAATTTTATATATACTCGCGCAAAGTAAATACGTCATTTGAATCGATAATGTATGTGTAGAGAGATCTCACCTTGGTATGACCATTATACCCTCTTAGAAACTATTTTATGCACATTGGTTGAAATATAATATATTTTTTACAATTTTTCAAAACAACTCTCACATGTGAAGCTACACATATATACGATACATATCTTATGAAAATAATGGAGGCTTTAAATTCAATAAATCGTCCAACAAATATTAATAACTCAATTAATCGTGAAGACGACAATAACGGAATTAACGGATATTAAGTAATAAAAATATTTGCTGTTTTTGTTTTTTTTTCTGATCAAATGAAATATAACGAGCAAAGTTTAAATTAAAACAACAATGGAATTATCAGCAGAAACTTAAAAGTTTATTCTAAAAAACTGTGATGTCAATTTTAATTGTTTTGGACAATTTAAAAGAAAAATAACCATTTTATTTTATCGCAAACATGTGTATCTATTGATATAGAAATAAGCAAAGTGATTATGGACAATTTTTTTCCGTTATCGCATCATGAGAGTAATTTTGAAAATGCTATTACATTGTACTTAACTGCAAACATGACATTAGAGTATGGAAGATCAGTAGTGCTTAAATAATGGGTTTGGATTTGAAGATGGTTATATCCTTATTTATTGGTTAGAATATTTAAACAAAATATAATTGGCCAATCAAAGAACTTAAAAAAATTTATTTTTGAGGAAAAAAATGCGGATATAAAAAACTATCTAGAAAATGTAACTACTACAGCGGCATCCGACTACTTACTCTGAAATAGTACATTACAATACAAGTGCGGGAAAGTAGATTCTTGTCTCGTGTGGCGTTTACGCTCGAGCAAAACGAGAAATTCTTTTCTGAACATGTGCCGTACCGTATTTTTTGATTCGACGTGTGGAAAGTGCGATTTTTAAAGCACGTTTTTTGCCGAGCGTGCGGAAAAAACGCACTTTCCGCACGGAGTGTCAAAAAGTAAACAAATTTATAAAGCAATACCTAAAATGTTGTCCTCCCATTTTAAAACATTTTAAAAGCCGACATGACATGGACAATAACAGGCATTGATAAAACTACTATTTACTACATATTTTAAAAGCGTATACCACCCCCCCCCCTTCCCCGCAACGTGGTATAACAACAGAAGAACTCATTTTATTAAATAGTACGCAAGCTAACAACGACAACCACAAACATTACACATTTTAAAATATAAAAATCACAGAAATAAATGACATAATTACTAATCTTGAAACTAAAAAGAGACAAGAGCACAATAAAATTAATGGAATATTACTAAAAGAACTATCTGTAAAAAAAAAAAGATTTATTATTGTATAGATGTGATAAATGTAATATTTCGATTATCTTATTTTGCTGCTGTATAGAAAATAGCAACAATCACATACTTATTCCCAAACTGAGCAAACCATCCAACCTTATTACGTTCTATACAGAAAACAGCCAATTTCCTGCACAGCTCTCGAAGTCTGCGAAAAAGTAATAATCAAAAACTAAATAAAATACTGCTGGAACAATTATTATATCATTCCCCATCATAAGTTCGGTTTTTGTAACAATCACGCACAATAAAACAAATAAACAGAGTCACCGCTAAAATCCGAAAGACGTTTGAAAAACACAAACGTTGTAATGCAATATTTCTCAACGTACCTCACAAGCATTCGATAAAGTCTAATACAAAGGCTTGATGCACATAAACTTAATAAAATCCAACCGAAAATCTCTAATACTCTTCGAATATACTACATACTTGAACCGTAGCAATTTTAAGGTTAGACATTATTTATAACGAAATTATTAAACTGTATTTAATAAAAACCGGTATTTCTCAAGGAAGTGTTCTTAATCCTATACTATATTTAATTTATTCCAATAACCTTCCAACCATGGAAAATATTAATATTGCTACTTACACAGACGACAGCTATATTTCATAACGTCACGCTCAAGTGCAACAATTAACGCGCGGCCTCTTATAATATGCAGAAATACCTATAGATAAAGCTCTACTGTAGTTTAAACAATGCAGAATAATAATAAACGAAACAAAGGCAACTTAGTCAAGCTTAACGAAACAGACTTGTGCTTCAGTACATATAAGCAGCAAATTAATTCCTCAAAGAGACGAAGCTAAATATAGGGATGTATTAATTTAGACGATTAACATACGGAGAAATACTACTGATTATGCTAAGCAGAAAATCTAAATTATCGAACAATAATAAATTACTAATATACTAAATGTATAATCAATCTAGTACGGATATATGGAATTTAACTTTGGGGTACAGCCACAAAATCAAACATTATCATTGAAAGATTCCATAAGTTTCGCGTGATTCGTTACAAATGTAATTAAAGTAAATCAACCGATTAACGGAACATTCAAATCGTCTGGCGAAGAATGTAATGCACATAACTATGAGTATCAAGATTCAAGAAAAACAAAATACAATTTAATCAAATTTAAAATTAATTTTGTAAAGAAAATTATTTTACTTTTTCTTTAGTTTTTTAATGTACTATTACGATACAAGTGCGCGAAAGTAGATTGTTGTCTCGTGTGGCATTTACGCCCGAGCGAAGCGAGAAACTCTTTTCGACACTCCGTGCGGAAAGTGCGTTTTTCCCGCACGCTCGGCAAAAAGCATGCGTTGAAAATTGCACTTTCCACACGTCGTATCAAAATAGTACATTACGATAAAAGTGCGGGAAAGTAGATTCTAGTCTCGTGTAGCGTTTACGCCCAAGCGAAGCGAGTTATAAGTTTATATGCTAAACTTATACTAGTTTAATATCATTTTATACAACAAACTTAAAGTCTTGGTATTTTCCAGAGTTTCTAAACCCAATAGTTTCGACTTTGGGATGAGATGTATACTTAATTAATGCACGACCAGATGATAAATGCATGATAAATTGTAGGTAACAATAGTGCAGCATTCCAGTAGCCTGATTTCAATCCAGTTTGTCAACGATCGCAAAGATCAATGATGTTAGATTAAACTTACCAGAGGCTATAGTGTTTTCTCTCGTGAATTGAAATGCTATATATCTTACCGAAAGAAAAACAGGATCAAAGTGAGATTCGAAGTGTGAGTTTTTAACTTTAAAATAAAATGAGTAATGTTTGTATAGTGTTTTTACGTTAGATGGTATAATCCAGGTGGAAAAGATAGTCACCTGAAGTGATTATTGCAATGGCGAGATCCGTCAGCAATTCCACCTCAACTGCTCAGTTTTCTTTTAACTACCGAAAACCTAGAAAGTGATAAAAACGTGGTTTCAACAAACGTATCCGCTAACATTGAAAATGGTCTTGATCCTGAATATTCTCTTTTATCTTAGATAATGTTATAGTGGGCATTGATGAAATTTGAACGTAGTCATCCAAATATGCAATGACTTTTGTGAGAATACTGCTATAACAGTCATCAAAATGTTGTTTTTATTATGGATTCCCACAAAAATTAAGTAATTTATCAATCAATTCAGATTTGTTGCTCTATACGCTTTAGCATATTAATATGACTTTTGGCAATATATATTTTAGTCTATGTGATGAAATATTATAATTAGCGTGAAATTTGTTGTGATGAGTTTCCCGCTAAATTGACATATTTCACACTGTAAGCTTGACGCAGGCGATTGTAAGAATGAAAATCCTAAAAATTGAAAATCTATAGGGAGGAGACGACAACGATTGACCTGCCGCAGCCTTGCGAGGCGAGCGTTCCGAAAAAGTCACTCTCTGCGTTGGTCGTGCAGATCAGCAAGGAGAATTTGTGCCCGGTTGCTGCGAACTTGATATATCGTGCGATTTGTCTTCGTGGCGATAAGAAAATGCAGCGCTTTACGATCTGGACGGTCGGGCTTCCAAATGAGAAAGTTGGAAGCGAGCACGGTGAAAAGGTTTGGGCCAGCGAGCATCGGAGGTGTTCTCTTGATATGTACGCGAGGCAAACACAGGTGACGCCGAGAGAAAGAGCGGGAGAGCGAGGCGCTGTTGGTGAGATTTTTCGTATGCAAGGTGGGTCACGCGCGTTCCTCCGGAGAGGCGCGCTCGAGGAATTGAGAAAAAGACAAAGGAGTTAAAAAGAGAGGAGAAGGAGAGCGAGAGAATAAAGCAAGCAGAGGTGTCGCGGGAGCGCCGAGCCGTCGACGTCATATCCGGAACATTCAAAAGCCGGACACGCGCGCGAACAGCCTCTACGCCCCCTGCGCGCAGCCGCACGCATTCCGCGCAGCTTCAAATTATACGCGTGTACGGTGTGCGCGCTTGCCCAAATGCACATGCTCAAATCGACACGCGCACAATGTCGATTGTGCCACGGGGAACGCTCGCGGCTGCTTTCAGCCGAGACCAGTCCAAATGTTGTTCCTCCCAAAATGTTGGGCTCCTTCGGGATCGTCGACTCACGAACATAACGATCCTTGGCTAGCAACTTACCACTGCTCGATTACCTTTCAGCGGCGAAACGGCGACAATCTTCTCTTCGTCCAATACCAATAGTTTACGTCCCTACGATCTTCTTCTCTTTGCTTTACGTTGACTATCTCTACGTTCGTTTGATTGTACTTGACGCGTGTGCATTTAGCGCGCAGAGTGGCGACGACGCAACTAATGCACACGCAAACTGATTTCAATCGTACGGATTCAATAACCGGCAAATCGACACATTTGCTCGTGCAGCAAAGATTGCCAGCACTCGGCTTGACAGTGCTACAGGATCGTCATTGACACTCACTTTTGCTGAAAATAAAATCCCATACTCCGGAACGGCAGACACGAGTGCTGCGGTGGAAAGGTGAAATCTGGGCGTTTGGCTGGCTGGATGTGACACAGCCGAATTTTCAAAAACATCAGCTATGCCGACATCTTGCCTCCTACACGCCCATAGGAAGTTTCGCGATTGAAACAATCGCCGGCCGACTGTCGAAGCACACTCGTGAAATACACTTGACACTGTCGACGAGAGGACGGGAGTGACGAACGCCTCGCACCCGGGACACTCGGGCAGCTCGGCTCGCTACCGAGCGATATAACGCTGCTTTATCGAGCCACGCAATCGAGGCGATCCCAAGCGCGTCTTGATAAATCGATCCGAGTTTATCTTTGGCAACGACGCGAACGCACACTTTGCTACGCGACGCGCGTTCATTCCCGTTCTTTCCTTCTTTCGCTTTTCAACAACGCTCTCGGGCTTGAATCAACTTTTCAGTCGCCATTCCAAGTACGCTCTTTCGTAAACATCGCTCCTCCGCTTATTTGCCACAGGCTGCACCTAACGAATCGCTCATAATTGCCAATCGCAAATCATTCCTTGTTTTTTAATATCATGCCAACGATTATTACGATGTTATGGCAGCGTTTGCAATGTCTTCCGAACAATTTGCGATCTCGCTTTACACGCTCAGTCCGTTACTGCAAAACTACTCGCAATGTACAACCTCGCAGACTCTTGTCTTTCAATTGCTCGAAACAAATGGTCAACGGAATTGTTCTTGAATTTATCGAATAATCGGAGTGACGTTAGTCAAATGAATCATTCTAAGAAATTAATCCTACGATAAGTAT